ATTGTATTAAGTATTAATTGCCAGAGACTTCTCACTTTTTTAAAATTTTTTTATACATTATGTCTTCTGATTAATGGCAGTGATTCTGACATGGTTCTGTTTGGACTTCAAGATTTGTTTCAGTATTCAGCCACTTGATGTTATTTAACTTGTTCTTTAGCGTTCTGTTCTGACTTATGAGTCATGAATGTTACAGGAATTTATTTCTTACTTCTTTGAACTAGAGTTGAGAATCCTGAAATTGTTAGAGATACAGTCTTTATAGCAGTATTTCTATAATACAAGTTCTGTTTCTTTTGTCTGATGAACTTCCTTGATATGATTCACCCTGCCCTAGTGGGACAGTGGTAATGGAGAAATAAGAGACTTTAACAGCTTTGAGTAGAAAAGGAGCTTTTAAGGAAAACTACCTGGATGAATGTGTTTATAACTATGGTAACAGTTATTTCTTTATGATTATTTCTTACCTTGAACTATCAGTCAACATTACTTACTTGATCTGATGAAAGTAAGCCAGTAACTTCCTGTGGGAAGGTTTTGCTGAATTTAATCCTTTATAAATAATTCATTGCAAGCACAGTGTCAGATTTTACATAATGTAGATTCTGGAGAGATATGCATTAAAAAAAGATAAAGCATATATAGATACATGATATTGGTATTTTTTATGAGGAATTGTTAAAAGACAAGGACTCTGAATCTTAGGGTAAAAATATGATTTAGGGCTCTCCCTGGTGGTGCAAAGGGTAAGGATGCAGCACTGCATGCTAGCCACAGCTGCTTTCATGCAAGTTCAATTCCCAGCCCCGGAGATGACCCTCATGGCATGGCAGACCTTTCTCCTGACCCCTCCCCCCCTCTGCTCCCCTCAGCAGTGTACGTCATCGATCTGCCTGTTCTGCTCCCCACCGTCTCTGGTGAAGCCTCTCACTATCCTGCACCTCTGGCTTACCCCATCTCTGTATGCATAAAAACAAATAAATCTTTAAAAAATATTATTTACAAATATCTGCATCAAGTATGAAAAACTGTATTACATTATATGTAGCCTTAGGACTATTCACAATTAATGATTATGTATAGCTTCCTTATTTTAAGAACAGTAATTCTTTCACACCTCCTTCTATGTTAGTTTACGATTCCATGATGTCACTGTGCTGCTGAAGTAGCTTATATTCATGGGAAGGGCTTGTTTCATGGTCGCAGTTTTTTCACAGTACAGCAATCTCTGCCTAATTAAAAAAGTACACTTTCCCCTAAAATTTTAGGATCAGAGAGTCTAACTTCTTGGAGACTTGTAAAAGGACAAATGTTTAATCCATTGCCTGCATAGTGTAGAAATATTAAAAATCTGACTTATTGTAAATATACTTTTTGTAATTCCCATTTATCCTTGGCATCTACAGTTTTACTTACAAGTTTTTACATTATAGAGAGAGCTAATTATACTTGTTAAACATGTGTAATACATAGTTATATTAGATACATATTTATACACAAACATGTATTAGACTTGGCCTTGAAGGTTACTGTCTGATCTTTACCTATTCTCTTTCTGGGATTCCAGTTACAGATATGTACGATTTTGTGTCCTTTAACACTAGGCTTTTAAAAATAGTTCCACTTTCTCTTTATAATTTATTTTTAAATTACATACATTTTTTTTTCATTAAAGTAACAGTTTAAAATACTTCTTATGCTTCAGTGGTACAGGATCACATCTCTTCAGATGTATGTTACCATACCACACCCACCACCCTGACACCCATAGTTCATTATGCCCCCCACCCCACTTTGCTCTATACCTTTTGTCTTCCCCATCAGTAGCCTCCGTTTTACGGTGAGATTTCTAGGGTTTGCTCTGGTTTTGTTTTGTCTAATTCTTTGTTCCCTATATTCTATGTATGAGTGAAACCATTTGGTATTTGTCTTTCTCCTTCTGGTTTATTTTGCTTAGCATAATCCCCTCCAGTCCCACCCTGTTGTTGCAAATGGCAACAGTTCATCTATTTTTATAACTGTGCAGTATTCTGTTGTGGGTTTATGACACAATCCACTCATTAGTCATGGACAGTTAGGTTGTGCTGCAGTGAGTGCCCATATACCTTTGAATTAGTATTTTTTCATTCTTCAGATAGATAACTAAGAAAAGAAATTGCTGGATCATATGGTAGATCTGTTTTTACTCTTTTGAGAATGCACGATACAGTTTTCTGTAGACCTGAGCCAGACCCCATTCCCACAAACAGTATATGAGGGTTCCTTTTCACCAGCACATATTGCTTGTATTCTATTTTACTTTTGACATGGGCCATCTTACTGGTGTGGTGTTGTATTTCCTTGTGATATTCCCTTTCTTCATCATAATAGTGATGAACAACTTTTAGGTACTATTGCCCACCTTCTATGAAAAATGTCTACTTACCACTTCAGCCTATTAGTTGATTGGGCTGTTTTCTAACTATTGTGTTCTTTTAATCCCAACTGGCCACTGAGATTAAGTAGTTGTAGTAGCCCTTTATCAGATGTATGATGTGCAAAAACTTGCTCCCATTTAATGGAGGAGTTTTCAATCTAATGATAGCTTTCTTCCATATGCAAAACCTTTTTAGTTTGATACAGTTCCACTTTCTTTTGTTTTTGTTTATCTTGCCATTAGAATTGAATTTAAAAACATATCTGATGCAGTGTTAGTCTATTTTTTTCTATATATTTGAGTTAATATTTATGTATGATGTGAGATGGAAGCTTAATTTCACTAGGGCAAGAGTTGGTGTTCTCTGGAATACCATGAGGGTAAGAGAAATAACATTTCTAATAAAGTCAAGGAAGCACAGTAGAGACAGTAGAGATCAGAAGGAGTTGGAGTCACTTTGTAGATTTAGATATCCTCCAAAGATAATAATAAAATTGTAGTGGCTTTTATTGAGGCCTTTCTATGTGTTAGACATTGCACTAGGCATTTTGCATATCTTTTTCTCTCTGACTGTGTGCATACTTAAGCACTATTATTCTTTTTTCTACAATGGTTTAAAGGCCTGGACATAAAACCACAGCACTAAAGCAACCAGTCAGAAATTTGATTTGTTTGTATTGGAAGCAGAGAAAAGGAGATTCATAGTGAGGAGAGATCTACACATTATGGCAATACCTAGATTTGAATGATCTTGGCAGGTAGCAGACAGATTTTCCGAATTCATTACTTTACAAACACCCCTAATTTCTAATTCAGCAAGATTGATGCTCATTAGAAGATGACCTTTCAAAATAGGTAAGATTACAAAGGGAGATTGTATTGGCCATACTCATGCAAACATTCAGTGTGTAAGTTAGTTATTTTATCATCAAGAATAACACATCAACTTCTACTTTACCCATTAGTTCCCATGCATCCTTCAGAGCTTGACAAAGAAATCTCTTGGGAAGACTGTGTAAGAATATGGGGAAAAAAACTCTAAACATGATGGTTAATTCAAATTCACGTTAAATTCTTCCTGTATTTATTAATAAAGATACCTAGACAAGAAATATAAGATTTCTGTCATACTGGAATGCATAGTTAAGATTTCTGTCATACTGGAATGCATCTATTGATACTTGTATGTGGTAATTTTGGGAACTTACTTGGGAGACTGAGTATGACATTGGAATAGTATCTGCAGTAACCCTTTCATGATATAATAATTTATCTTTCTGCCTTGGCTTCCATGAGTTGCATAAGAAGTATTTCATTTCCTTTGTAAGTTTTCTATTAAAATGCCTCTTTTCATGATATGTAAATTTTCTATCAAATGCTCTTTTGCTTCAATAAAAGTACAGTTATTATTACTATATTTGAATCAATGTGATGGTTTCCTTTTTTAAATATAGTTTTAATGCTATTCTATCTTAAATTTCTTTCTGATGTCAGAATGATTTTTGCTATAAATAAGAAGTCATTGCCAGTGGAATTGTGACTTATATTCATATTTGATTAACAGTTTTTAAAAAAATTATCACATGACAAAATATATGTAATTGTGTAAATTTTAACAAATCCATTTATATACATCTGTCATTACCATGAAAGGGGAAAGGAAAGGGAAATATCTAAAATTTAAAATGGTTTTTAGTATGTTATTACATTGACTTTATTACATGCTCTTAATTATTTTCATATATTTGGATAGCTTCACATTATAGGTATAACGTCATTTTAATTTAACATTTTAGAATGAATCAGAAAACCCATTATCAGTAATTATAGTGGAAATATGAAATTAGAAATGAATGCTCTGAGATTTAAACATTAGTGGCTAAAAAACATTGCCAAATGTTCATGGCTCTATTCCTATACCAGGGAAAGACAGGAGGAAAGGAATGTCAGTGTTTTAATGCTATGAATCAGTTTGAAATAAGCATTTTAAAGAGCATAGTAGTACATATATGCTTATACATGTATACACATATATAAAATAGCTAAAATAAGACAGATATACTTTTAACAGTAGTATCTATTGAAAATGGCCAGGCAGAGACTGGGTGAGGTAGAGTCCTATATTCAGTATATCAATGTTTACACTGTTTGAGCTTTGTCTGTGTATATATTACTTTTTCAAATAAAACAAATATTTTTTCCTTTTATAAAGAATATATTTTTATTTTTTGAAGAGATTTATTTACTTATGCATATAGAACTGGGGTATAAGCCAGAGATGCAGGGGCAGTGAAAGGATTCACCAGAGACAGAGTGAGGAGCAGAACAGACAGATTGACAAAGCACACGGCTGAGGGGAGCAGCAGGTGAGAAAGGAGAGGTCTGCTGTACCATGTGGATCACCTCCGGGGCCAGGTTTCAAACACACACTGAAACAGTTGCAGCTAGCTTGCAGTGCTGCACTTTAACCCACAGCACCACCAGGGAGGGCCAAAACAAACATATTTTTAAGAAGAAAAATCATTATACACATAAGTTTCTATTAAGTAAAGAGACATTATTATCTCCTTTCTTCCTGACTTAGGGATCCAACATTACTGACACCTGCACTGAAATGCTAATGTGTGGAGTCTTATTGAAAATTTCTTCTGGAAATATTCAAGAACGGGTGTTTTTTCTTTTTGATAACCTTCTGGTGTATTGCAAAAGAAAACACAGGTAAGATGATAAACAAGTAATAATTCAGATATTGTTTATTCAATTTATGGTTCTACTTTTTTCTCTTTGTTCCCTGGAACTCATAATTTCAGTAATTTCCCACATACTAACAGTCTTTTTTCCATGGGCTGTGATGAAAGGGAACAGATTAAGATTAGAGTTAAAGGCAAATAAATTGTTGTTTTCTCTTTATTAATGAGAGTCTAAAAATTCCTTTTTACCACATCAGAAAATGAATGTCTATTTCTTTTAGTATTATCTTAATTTTTTTGTGCTTGTTAGTAGGACTCGGAATAATAGGAATAGTTTATAGGAAGATTCAGAAAAGCTGTTAGTTTTACTTCTAACTCACTGCAAAAACTATAATTTTATTCAAGTTGCATAGAAGCAATTTCCTAACTCCTCCCTCCCCCTTGAGTTATTAAGATATAATTGAGGAATAAAATAGTAAGGTGTTTAAAGTATAACAACATGTTGATTTGATCTACCTGTACATTGTGAAAGGATTTTTCCTATCAAGTTAATTGCCACACTCGTGTAGGTAAGATTATTATTGTATGTAGTTAAGAATGAGATCTTTTTTCATTACATTTGTTTTCATAAATCTTTCTGTCTGCTCTCAAGTGAATACTTTTTGCAAAATTATCAGCGTAATAACGATGGGGTCATTTATGGCGTCAAGGGGTTGTAATTTAAATTAAGTTGAACAACAGGAAAAGTTTTACAAAATTCCAATCCTGTTGTTTAGCAAATATCCTCAATGTATGTATAACATAAAACATATATATAGTGACTAGAAATGCAAATCACTAACTAAATCTGATTGTTCTTGGATCAGAATAGTGTGAATACACTATCACTTCCTTCATTTTAGATACTCCCTCTCCTTTGATATTTACAAGATAGCATCATGATGTATCTAGTTTACTGCAAATTATATTTTATATACAGTATTATTACTGAACTTTATATCCGTGTGTAGCAATGATTATTCATTTCAACTACTACATAATATTGCATTGTTTGATTTTTGTCACAATCACATTTTTAAATAATTCTCTATAAAAGGTTTTTAAAGTTCTTTTACTGTGAATATTTCTGTATACATACTCTTGTTCCCTCTAAGTCACAGAAGTAGAAGAATGATAGATTCAAGATATGTAAATATTTCACATTACACCATAGAACATAATTTTTTTTAAGACTTATTTATTTGTACAGAACTGGGGTACAGGCCAGAGATGCGGAGGGTGAGAGGATTCACCAGAGACAGGGTGGGGAGCAGAACAGGAAGATCGATGAGGTACACTGCTGAGGGGAGCAGTGGGCGGGTCAGGAGAGGTCTGCCGGGCCATGTGGATCTCCTCCGGGGCAGCGGGGATCGAACTCATGCTGAAGTGGCTTTAGCTTCTCAGTGCTGTGCTTTAACCTGCTGTGCCACCAGGGAGGGCCCAGAACATAATTATTTTTAAACCATAGTCTGTTCAATTTTTATGCTTTGTTAGAGTCATCTTCTTAAGTGGCCAGAGATCTTTCTATTTGAGCTACGTGTTATAGTATTGATCAGTATATACTTGAATTTCAAATTGAATAGCCTATACAGAGTTTATAAGACCATAAATAAAATGAAATATAAAAAGCCTATACAGAGTTTATAAGACCATAAATAAAATGAGTACTTTGGAAAATGGAACCAGGGATATATTCAGGTATTAGATTAAATATTATGTGTATAAATATTATGATTAACATTACATGATGTACATCATAATACAATAACATCATAATATTATGCACACCGTGTAAATATATATTAATAAGTTATGCATACATATGTGTATATGTATGTATGTGTGCGCGTGTATGTACACATCTACACACATATAATTTGCCTGAGACTAAAACTGCTACACTGTTATTGGGGATATTGAACTTTTCTTCCAACCCTGTCTCCTCTGGTAATCACCATTCTTTTGATTGATAAATGTCAGAATCTAAGAGTTTGTTTTTGTTTTGTTTTATCTGTTTCTTTAGATTCCTTGTATGAGTGAAGTTACACAACACAGTATTTGTTTTTCTTTTTTGATTTCTGATTTTACTTAACACAGTTCCTTTAATGTCTATCTTCTTGCAAATGGTAAAAAGGTTCATCTTTTTTTTTTTTTTAATAGCGAAGTAGCTTTCCATTTTTATATGTACCACGTCTTCTTTACCTAATCATCTGTTAATGACACTTAGGGTACGAAGCTGTATTCCTTGCACAGTGTTCTTAACCACTGTTATATAAATTTTTAAAAAGTATTGAAAATTAAACTTTATTAATCTATATTAAATTTTAAAATATGATCATATTTAAGTATAATGTATCAGCTTACAGAATGTTCTGTTTTTTTAAGGTACTGGGATACTGTTTCCTATCTGAGAGAATATACAGTTATTTGCTTTTAATCTGCTCTACATTCTTTATCTTTAGCCACCTATGAGAAAATTTTAAAGATACATTGCCGGAATTGCTAATCTATTGCATTGATTTAGGCTTATTAGCAAAGGACATTCAGACGTCACTTTCAAAATGAGCATGAACATGAAGGGAGGAGAATGTTAGACCAACAGAACCCCCAGTCAAATTAATCATTGTAGTTATCTCTAGTAGTGATGAAAGCTATAAAGTTTTGAAAGGTTTAGAACAGATATGTCAGGATTATGAACTCATTTCTAAGAGGGGACATATGGACAGTGATATCACCTTGGAGTGCTATTGAACCATTGCACCAGCACTCAGCCCTTTCACTCCAAGGCAGAAGAGGGGAAGGGAATTGTCAGCACTGGTGGGTATAGGCTTCTGAACTTGTGTTCCATGTGTCTATATAACATAACAAATTAATAATACTATTTTAAAGTTGTCAGCTAGACTTGTCAAATTAGTTTTAGGTCAATTGAAATTTCTTCACTGACCGGCCCTTATTTAATCTTGAGTCATTTAAAAAATATCTGCTCTTTAATGTTAAAAATCTAGTTTTTAAAGTACTATCTTGGTGTAAAGTGATTTCACTATAAACATATATACCTAATTAATTATTACAAATGTTCATGTATAAGCTTGAAATTTTATACTTTTTAAGATTAAAGACAAGTAGTAGACACACCACACACAGTTTTGAAATGTTATAGAACTTTTATGAATGATTATAAATTAAAAGATTTGTTCAACAAGTTCACAGTTATAATACAAAAGTGATTAAAAATCATACTGCAGGGCCCTCCTTGGTGGTGCATCTAGTTAGGATGCAGCACTGCAAGCTAGCTGCAGCTGCTTCAGTGCAAGTTCAATCCCTTGCCCTGGCAATGATCTACATGGCCAGGCAGACCTCTCCTGACCTGCTCGCTGCTCCTCTTAACAGTGTATTTTGTCGATCTGCCTGTTCTGCTCCCCACTCTGTCTCAGGTGAATCCTCTCACTGCCCTTGCACCTCTGGCCTGTATCCCAGTTATGTATGCATAAATAAATAAATCTTTAAAAAGTCATATTGCAAAAAATAAGGGAAAATATTTTCATCTGGATGGAACTGAGCTAGAACTTTCAGCACAGTCAATATATTTTCAAAGGGATCATAACTACTAGCTCAATTTATTAGGACTTGAAAAAATTTGGAATTGCCAGCTAGTCAGTATGAAATGAAAAATGAAGGTAAAGAAATCAAATGAAATTTAAAAATAACCAACTTCTAGAATCTGTCAGAGTTTATTGGGCACCTTTGATGTGCTTCAAACTCACTCAAAGCTTCATTGTATTTTTTTTAAAAAACTTGTGTTTAGGTCAACTCTCAGAGCAATTAATGTTGTTATGAATGAAAGGAAACAAAAATACCAAGATCTAACCTTTCGTGTAGTTGAATGAGTTGCTGTCATATTCCCAAGAATCACTTAAATGATGCTGTTTTAACACTGGTTTGCACAAAGTTGACTAACAAAGTTTGCATGCTTTAGACGGTTGAAGAATAACAAGGCATCTACAGATGGACATCGGTATCTTTTTCGTGGCCGAATCAATACAGAGGTGATGGAAGTGGAGAATGTCGATGATGGCACAGGTAAGTGATTATCAGTATATTTAAAATGAAATACCAGTTGTAAACTCTCTCATAAGACACAGTACCCACTTGATTGATTTGCGGTGCATTAGAGCTTAGAAAAACTGTTAGAGCAATTGGAGGAGAAAGGTGAACTAAAAGAAAGTAGGGCTGTTGTCAAAGTGGAGAATTATATTGAGTCCAAAACACCAGCATTAAATACTGAAATACAAAAAATAACTGAGTAAAAGTCATAGGATACTCGCAGTTCCTAGTGTAGAGACCATGAATGACAATATTTAATGAATGAATTGATTTTCCTTAAGCGGTATTTTAAGTCCGCATTTAATTTTGTCAATAGGTTTTTGCAAAGTGTGACCTTAAGTAAAATGACCAAAATGAAGTCAATTTAAATAGGCTAATTTACATAAACAAGAGTTAGGTTCTTAGCTGTGTTTTCTAGCAACATAATCATCACTAAACTTCTAAAGAAAGACCAAAACACTTAATTTTAAGTCATTTGTAGTTGGTCATTCACTCATCTCCCAGCTTACTTGTTTCAATTTAGGGTTGGGTTGCAGGGTGACCAGAGCCTATCCTGGTATCTCGGGGCACCAGTTAGGAACCAACCCTGGACAAGATGCCCTTCCTTGGGGACACATCCACTTCTGTGGCAGTTTAGATCTGTGGTGAACCTGACATGTGCACATGCCCTTCCTTAGGGACACATCCACTTCTGTGGCAGTTTAGATCTGTGGTGAACCTGACATGTGCACATCTCTAGGATGTGGCAGAAAACTGAGGACCCAGAGAAACCCATGCATACATGGAAAAAGGTGTACTCTTCACAGTCAGTGGCCCTGGACACAAATCAATTTTCTTGTTGATCAACATTATAATAGATGACATTGAACAAAATGATGTTGTATGAGACTCTGGTATATTGTTTTATAAATATATATGTGATATTTTGTTCTTAGGATATGTTCACTCCAGAATGTAGAAAACTCTGAATTTTTTTAGGTATACAACCATTATTAACCGTAATAGGTTGCATTGTTAATTTGCTTGTACAGGAAGTTGTGGATGGAGGTGGTTTGTGTAATTTAAGTGCTTATTTTAAGTACCTTATTACTCCAGCATAGTAAATTTGGCACTGTAGATTTGAAGGTAAACAATTTTTTCAAGTAATTTCATGAGATCATGAATAGACACAAACATTAAATAAAATGAAGTTAAAATGAATTACTTTCTGTTTGAAAGTGTACAACTTAGTAAATTGAACCTCATTTTTCCCTAGTGATTTTTTTCACTAGAATTTCAAAGGTATGTTTCTAAAAAGCAATATAAAATGCATTGATTTTTTTTTAACTAAATTAATTGTTGCTAAATGATTATTACTCTCATGGTTTCTTTTGGTTTGTGTATTATTTTTTGATGTGGTAATGGTTTATACCAGTGTAGCAGTATGATTCAGAGGAGAAGATTCACACATATCCAGATGTGCATCACCTCCCTTACGCTCTCACTCACCCCAGAGCATTCTTATCTCTTTTATTATACCTTTGGGCCCTTTTATGGGATTGGGGCTCCTCTTTCCCACATGTTTTTGTTGCCATTACTGGTCCCAGAGGGGAGAAGAATGTTTATAATCTGTTAGGCATATAGTTTTTCAAATGCTCACCTATGTGCTCTTTCTGTCCAATTTCAGTATCCTAATGAATTGTCTGGGACTTAGGTAGTGACATGGGATTAGTTCAGGTAAGAGGGGGGAAAAAAAAACAAACATGCAGTGAGCAAAATACAGGTGGTACTTGAGTTAGAGCGTTTACCTTGGGAACGAGGTTCTTTGGTTGATTTTGGGTGTATGTATGCAACTGTCAGACAGCTAGCACAGGTAGGGAATCTCTACATTTCAAATCTTGTTTTATACTGCAGATGATATAATGCAGTTACAATATACCCATGCAAACTTGTGGGACCTAATACTTTACCTTTCTGTGGCAGGATGTGCACGTTATTTTTGATAAGGTGGCAGTAATTTATTTTAATGCTTTCTAAGGAGACTGATGACATTAGGAATGCTATCTGTTTCAATAACCTGAAAATGCTCATAAGTCCTCATTGTACTTAAAGTGGGAGGAAGTAAGACCATAGGGGAAGGCACAGTCTACCCTCCTCTCTGTCCTTCCTTGACTCTGTCTTACTCTAGTGGAACCACCTCTCATCATTGCTTCAGCACACTTATTGTTGATGCTTTTCCCCCTTTTATCTTTTTAAGTGGGAACAGAATAGAACTTCTGTGTCTTACCATTTTCTTTCATCCTCAGAATATACTGTTTATACCACAAGTCTAGGTGAATTTTGAGAACAATTACCAAATTTATGGGAAGCTGGATACTTGATAAAGAAATGTTAGAACCAGGGCCTTTGGGCTCATACAATGCCATCCTGTAGGAGATATAGGGAAGTGAGAACCTGTGAAGGTGGTGGGACTTGTATGCAAATTGTCCTTGGATTCTCTCTCTTGGGACAGTTCTATTAGTGTTGGTTTGATTCCAGTCTTCAGGACCTTGTGCCTGAGAGATTAGGGACATTGTAGAAACACTGCCTCTGACCCTGGTGGTTAGTGGGGCAGGCAGGATATTTCAATATACTTACTTATTTAGCTGGCATAAATTAGTTATCTGAGGTACCTATTGGCATGAATTTTCAAGACTCAGCTTTCATTTAAATAGCTTGAAGAAATTTATTAGGCTTTGTGTCATTCAATTAAGGCTTTATTTCCTTATACACAAGCAGTTTGATACAGGAGTTTAACTGTAAATAGTTTCTACAGGTTTACTTATAGAAATTTTAGACTGCAATTGGATACTTTTTCTAATATTCCTGCAAGGAAAATTTAGTTTTCTCATGCGTGTATCTAGTAGGTTCCTTGAGGAAATTGTATATTCAGTTCTAGGACTTAATTTTTTTTTAAAAAATCATTTATTTATTTATGCATACAGAAATGGGGTATAGGCCAGAGGTGCAGGGGCAGTGAGAGGATTCACCAGAGACAGAGTGGGGAGCAGAATAGGAGGATTGACAAGTACGTTTCTGAGGCGAGGTCTGCTGTGCCATGTGGATCACCTCCAGGGAGAAATCATGCAGAAGTGGCTTTAGCTTCTTAGTGCTGTGCTTTAACTCGCTGCGCTACCAGGGAGGGCCCGGACTTAAAATTTTTTTTTTTTTAAATACAATTTTGAAGTGTATAAGAGCTTGAAGATCAACTAATAAACCTCATTAACACTCAGATGATGGAAATGAAGTTAGGCATAAGAACTAACTCATCCAAGTTTACCCAGCTTTTAGTGTATAGCTGAAACTAGAATTATGTATATATACTAGGCTCCCATATCTATGTCTTAAGAAAAAGGACGAAGGCCCTTTGTGGGTTTTAAATCTGTAAGGGCTCCTGGAGAGCAGTGAAAAGAAAAGGAAATCATTTTGACAGTTTATTTCTTCTAAGAAAATCTGAATGCTACATTAACTTTCTTCTTTTTTTCCCCTTGACATATACTTTATCCTGAATGAATGGGAACTCTTGTGTTGCTAGTTCTTAGCATAGTGGATCCATGTTCTCCTTGCACCTGAACTCTCACTGAATTAATTGAATAAAGGGTAGGCAGGTACCTTTAAGATCAATCAGGACCATCTGCTTATTAGCAAAAGCAAAACAAGGTTTATAGTGCTTTTTTTTTTTTTAAAGATTTATTTATTTATTCATACAGAACTGGGGTACAGGCCAGAGGCTCAGGGGCGGTGAGAGGCTTCACCAGAGACAGAGTGGGGAGCAGAACAGGCAGAATGACGAAGTACACTGCTGAGGGAAGCAGCGGGCGGGCCAGGAGAGGTCTGGCTCGCCATGTGGTCTCCTCCGGGGCAGGCGGCAGGCGGGAATCGAACTCATGCGGAAGTGGCTTCAGATTCTCAGTGCTGCGCTTTAACCCGCTGCGCCACCAGGGAGGGCCTATAGTGCTTTTTATCAGGTTTCGGTGTAAATAATTAAAAGTAAAAGGACCACACTCATCTTTTTTTTTTTTTCCACACTCCTCTTTTTAAGTATGTGTAAAACTTTTAATGGGAAATGAAAATGTTCCTCATTCTATTTGAATATATTTTAGAATGAATGATAGTATTTTTTATATTGTAGGTATAAGTAAAATGCTTTTAGTTTATTAGGTTCTATCATACTGCTAATTGTATGATTTAATCCAAAAGTTATAGCAGAAATAATTACATTTGGAATCTCAAATCTATTAAGGATACATAAATATGATTCGTTTTATTTATATTGCTAATGACTCATATTATTATCATGGTTGTATCATAGAGTAGAAATGCTTTCAACTAAATGATGGTATTACTTGTAGAAGTATAAAAAGCTTGTATCAATTTGTACATTTGTTTAATATATCCTTGATAGTCATTTACCATGTTCAGGAAGATGATAGCAAGTTTTAATGATATTTTTCAAAGAAATAGAACAAACATTATTGAAATCTGTATGAAACCATGAAAGACCACTAACAGCCAAACAATTTTAACAAAGAATGGAGAAAAACAGTTTTCATACTCTCAGACCTTAAACTATATTACAAACTTGTAGTACTCAAAACAGTATCATATTATAATTAAAAAAGACACACAGGCCAATAGAATGTAATTGAGAACCCAGATAGTTTCTAGGGACAGCTAATCTATGACATAGGAGCCAAGCAAATTCATATAAGAATATCTTCAATAAATAATTTGGGAAACTGGACAGATACATAGAAAAAAATGAAAGTATATCACTAACTATATTGTATAGAAAAATTAACTCAATATGGATTATAATTTGTATATAAGACCTCAAACTTTACAATACAAAGAGAAAAATATAGGGGAAATACTCATACATTGGCTTCAGGGACTTGACTTGAAAAACAAAGGAAATAGAAACAAAAAAATAGGATAATTTCATAAATAAATAAAAAGGAAAAGTTTCTGCACAAAGAAATTATTATTAAATTGAAAATATGCTACACTGAATGGGGAGTATATCTGCACACCTTTGATTTCGCAAGGAGATAATATATCCAAGATTTACAAATAACTCCTACAACTTAACAGAAAGAAAACATTAAACCTTATCAAAAGTGGCAGAAGAGCAGAATAGACACTTATTCCATAGAACACATACAGGTGGCCAACAGACACATGAAAAATGCTCATTATCTTTTATCATCAGAGAAATGCAAATTAAAACCAGAATGAGATACTATCCAACCTTTTTGAAAATGACCAGAAACAAGTGTTCGTGAAGTTGTGAAGAAAAAGGAACACTTATACTGCAAGTAACATGTATACTGGTCAAATTACCATGGAAAGCTGTGGAGGTACCTCAGATAATATAGGTGATTTTGCAGCATATTGTGGTAACATACATCTGAAGAGACATGAATTTACACCTCTGAATCAGATAGAGTGTAAATTAAAGTTAATGTAAATCAGACATAATTGTCAAAGTTACCAGAATTTAGAAAAAAAGCAGATTATGGAATAGTGAGTACCAACCATGTCTCTCTTGTACTCAAGTTTACCAAATTAAATGTATCATTTGAGGAAAAACAAAAATAATTGCAGAAATAATTGCAGAAAAGTCATTTCTCTAATCTTAATATTTTCATTCATCCCCTCTATACCAACCGTTACCTCTTAGTGACTTTCAGTGGAGACAAACGAAAACTGTCACTAATCGGCACCTGCTGATTCAGTCCTTTGTCGTATGTTTTTCTGTCTTGGAATCTTTGCTTTGCAGAACTTTGTGATTGTAAAGTCTATGATAAGTAGTGTCATTGTTCTTTAACTTCTCTTAGGCTGAGCGCTGTCATAGAAGGTTTTCTGTTAACATTTCCAAATCCAGTATGACAGCTTAACCAAAATTACAGTGAGTTCTGGAAAAAGTCAATTTAATGTGAATTCATACTGAAAGAAAAATTGTGTGTGTGTTGCTATTCATGTTGATTGCATGAAATGCTGTGTTTTTGAAATGGGAGAACCCAAGGTATTGGGGGGTGACCTAGTGGTGGGTGAGTACTGAATACAGAATATGACCTGAAGGCAGAAACCAAAGCTGGTTATTTACACAGAAAGTGAGGAAAAATGAAAACAAAGACAGAATAAAAGTGGAAAGAAATAATTGTCCAGCAGTGAACAGATGCCATCTGTCCTACTCCAGTTAGTATTCCCTGAGTCTTCAGTTGGAAGCCAGATGGCTGCTCCTTCACTAGTACTCCCCTGGAGTTCTTAAACTGCACCACCCTGCCCTCATTCCCCATTAATAGCTCTTCTCTGGAAGTCAGCGGGTAGGGGCCAGGAAGTTCCACCTTCTACCTTTGAGTTGGCTGTGAGTAGCATAAACTAGTTCTAAGGTAGTTCCTTACCATTCTTCCATGTTTAGCATGTGTGTATTGTTTAACCACATGCAATGGTAATGGATTGGCATTTGCACATTTCTATTAATTATGGTTTAAGAAAAGGAAACTTGATGGGCCTCCCTGGTGGCGTAAAATGTTAAAGTACACTTTTTACTACAAGTTAGATCTCTGGCCAGCAGGGTGACCCACATGGCTCAGCAGTCCTCTCCTGTCTCACCTGCTGCTCCTCTCAGCAGTGTAATTCATCAGTCTGCCTGTTCTGCTCTCCTCTCTGTCACTAGTGAATCTTCTCACCAACCCTGCATCTTTTGTCTGTGCCTCAGGTCTGTATGCATAAATAAATATTTTTTTTTAAAAAGGCCCTTTTGGTATGTTCTATTCATTTTCTCTGATTCATTTGTTCTGATTTTTTGTAGTGATATCATTTATCTCTGAAGCCTAGAATAATATTCCCAAGGAATATTAGAAAAGTAAAATCAATATATGACTACAGATGAAAATTTTTTCAAGATTTTCCTTTATTGCTTTAGGAATTTAATATTATTTTGGTAGATAAAGAAAAAGGAACCTTAGGTGTTTAATTTCAGGTAACATATTAATGTTATCAATTAAGAATATTCCACTATTAAACACTGACTACATTCAAAATATAACCTTTCTTTCTTTCTTTTTAGTTTTTATATTTTTCAGTACATATAGGTAAAGCAAAGGTATCCTGAAATTAATTCAATGGTTTTGGAATTTCTGTGAATTGGATGAATAAATTGATGCAATGTTTTGTATTGTTTGCTCATTTACCTTTACTCATTAATCTCCAGCTGACTTTCACAGCAGTGGACACATTGTTGTTAATGGATGGAAAATACATAACACAGCAAAAAATAAATGGTTTGTGTGTATGGCAAAAACACCTGAAGAGAAGCATGAGTGGTTTGAAGCTATTTTGAAAGAAAGAGAACGACGGAAAGGTAAGTGTGTGGATGGGCTCTAGACCCTAACTTGACAACATGTAATGAGAAAAGTTAGGAGACAGTGAAAAGTTAAGTGTGCTCAGTTGGATTTTCTATATTATTAAGTCAATACTAAAATACTTTTGACTACTTTCAATAGTTATAATTAATAAATGATAGACCATATAGTTAGTAAAATATTTATATTGTAGTAGCAGTATCTTTTAAACAGTGTCTTAGTCTTTGGACATTGGTATAACAGAATGCAAAGACTGGGTGACATAAACAATAACAATTTATTTCTCTCAGCTGTGGAGACTGGGAAGCCCAAGAGTCTATGAGAACACTTGCCTGGTCATACAGGACCCACTTCCCACTGTGTCCACACACAGAAGGAGTGAAGGATCTTTCTGGAGTTTTTGTGTAAAGAGGCTAACTCCATGTATGAGAGATCCATCCTCATGATCTAATCATGTCTCACTACCATCACCTTGGCCATTAGGTTTCAGTGTATGACTTTGGAAGGTCACATAAAACATTTAGTAAGCAGCGTATAGTTTTACTTGCTTTAAATTATGTTCATTTTTTTTTTTTTTGCATTTTCTTCTTGCCATTTCTAAAGCATCAATGATTTTCCTTTAAAAGAAAAACTTCAATAATTTAATGCCGTGTTATAGGATCTCCAGAAATTATTATTTCTCTGTTTAACAGTACACAAAACAGTCCTAGGCCAAATGTTATAGCATCATAGTTTGTAGATGAAATAACTTTGAGTATAAAATCTTTAAAATTGTTGGAATAATATAATGAATATAAGGTAATGTAGCCAAATAAGAAGCTTGCTTACATGAGGAAACCTAACCAATATTTGTTTTATGTTTTCAACAAGATTCACAAAAGATATTTTGGTTTGGCAATATACCGTTTGTGAAGTTTGTTTGCAAGTAAAAATATTTCTGTCATTTAGTTAGTAAATAACAATGCTTGTGTTAACTACCAGCTTCCCTACCAAGTAAAAAAAAAACTACTGTGCTTATTCCTTTTCCTAGCACTCTAGGAGTAAAACATTTTACTGGTGATGAAATTTCAAAACACGAGAGTCCTTTCACCTTCGGATATTTTTTTTTTTTTGAAGGATATACAAAGCTCACCTTGATTAAAATATTCATAATACACATTTGTATAAGAATTAATAAGGCATTTTTCAATACTTAATCCACTCTTGAAGAACCAGTTAAAATATTTTAACATATGCATAATTGACTAAAGTTTTTTTTTTTTAACTTAGCAATCAATTAAAATACATAGCAAAATCTTGAAATTTTCAAGTTGAACTTTTATTTTACTTTACATTTTGGAATGGTTATATATTTAGATAAAGACAGAAATATAAAAAACAAGTAGAAGAGAAGAAGACATTCTTGTAATCTTTTTCTTAATAGGCTCAACTTTTAGTGGATTATTTGTATTACTGCCAGATGTTAATGATTCCACCATTGTAACTGATGTATTTTAGGAAGAAAAGTTGTAGCTAGAAGAATATAAATAATTCCAGTTTTTGTTTTCTATAATAGTTCATCAGTGCCGTCATTGGGACTGTGCTTCCAAACTGCCAGCTTTCCTCTCCATCTCAATGTGCAGTCTGTCCTCTCAGCCGAGCCTCATTCTCATGTTTTCAGTTGACCCCTAAACTTCTGACTCTCTCTGACCATCCAAACTACCTGTATAGTAATGCACTTCTTACTTGAACACTGTTGCCACAGACTTCTTCCCAGCTCCGCCAACCCCCACAACTAGATCAAAAGTCTAAAAGGCATCCTGATTTCTTCTCTCTTCACACTGACACTTACCCGACCACTTCCTTGATATTTCTTAGTTTCTTCCTCTTTGCCATCTTACTAGCATTTGTAAGATGTTGAAATTTTGTAGTTTCCTCCTAATTATCTCCTACTCTAAAAACCTTCTGCGTTTTAGATTGCTCCGCAAATGGTCCTCCAAGATTTTTTTTTCAAAGCAACAAAACTCTCTTGCATGACCTGCTTTTCTCCTTGCTTTGGTTAAGGAACTTAGATGTTTCACCAGCACCTAACAAAGAGTGAAGTGTGGTGCAACTGCAGTTGAGCAAGGTTCCTGCCTAACCTGCCATGTGTCTTCTGACTTCTCACCTAAATACATGTCTCTGTGCCTTCGTGCTTCTCCTTGTCAGCACCATCTCAGGAGCTTCTTTGAAAATTCATATTCAGACTTATGCATTCAAACATGCCCTTTTGTGAAACCCTTGCAAACTTTTCTCAGATGAGTTAAAATGCCCTGAATATGCCTGTGATATATCTGCTTCTCTCCACCCCCCCCCCCCCAAGCTGTCTCCAGCACCAGCATGTCAAGTTTTGCTAATTTAATCCCTCAGAAGGGGCTGCTGGAGTCTGAGATACAGGTGATCTTCCTCCACGGACCAAACCTATTACCTTGGGGGCATAATTTTTCCAACATTACCATATAGACTTGGTGATCTTACCTTGTCTATACTATGCTATGAGGTTCTGGAAACCCAGGACCTTGTGACAGCACTCCAGACCCACAGCCCCCAGCACATAGTAGACAAGTAATAAGTGTTGGTTTAATGATGACATGATTGAATGGAGAGACTTTTTAAATTATCTGTCGTTTCTTTCTTTCTTTTTTGACAGGTTTAAAGTTAGGGATGGAACAGGATACCTGGGTAATGATTTCTGAGCAGGGTGAGAAGCTTTATAAAATGATGTGCAACCAAGGAAACCTGATCAAAGACAGAAAAAGAAAACTGACTACGTTCCCTAAATGCTTTCTTGGAAGGTAGAGTTGGAGACTTTTACTGCCAGCTTTTCCTGGGTCATGAGTTTGATGAGGGAATGGATATAGAGTCAGGAACTATAAACAGAGAACAGGAAACATCCAACCGTTCATCCATGACTTAAGCAATTTCTGGTTTATGTGTTCCAAGGATAAAGCCAGGTTGCAGTCGGGCTGGCAGTCAGATGGACTTGCCTTTAGGAGGTAGTCTGGATAGAAGTACAGAGTAGAAGTATAGAACCTGAAAGCCAGGGAAGACTAGATCTGGATACACACAGTCAAGTTACCAGTTATCTCAGGATTTACAGAGCAGAGCTCAGGGTGAAAGGATACAGATGAATAGTCTGAAAAGCTGGTCTTGTGAAGGACCAGCACAGAGTAAAAGGTAGGGAAGTTGCGTTGGTTTTCAGCACAGCTAAACACATTCACCATATCCACTGCTTTATGCCTACATCAGTTGATGGAATCCCAAATGGGTTAAGCAGGACTGGGTCAATAGGGATGGATTGCCTGCAGATAGCTGTAGGCCAGGCTTTGTGTTGGCTCGCTCCTGTACATTGTTTCAAATTCTCAATATTCAATTCTCAAATATTTTCAAAAGTCAAAGTTTAACTGCTGAAATCCAAGCAACTAGTAAATTCAAATGTAACTCCATAAAAGTAGCCTGAAGTTGTAGTTCCAACTCCGACTTCTCAACCAGACTGTCCCTCTTCATATCTGGTTCTACCATTAACTACTTGAGGGTATTAGGAAAGTTAAATTCTCCTTCCACGAAGACATAGACATCATCGCCTTGCTCACCTATACTATCTATCAGAATGTCTTTTGATTAGCCATGCAGATACACAGAATAATCATAGGCCACACTGTCTCTTAACCCCTTGTAGAAAAATGTAGACCTCGGGCTTGCAAATTTGTGAAGGTGTGGTCCCCACAGCAAGCCACACAACTCTCAGCCAGACAGTAATGCTGGTATCAGGAGCTCCTAGAAATGGTAACTCTTGTGCAAATGGAAGTTCCCATGTTGGAATCCCCATTTTTGTAGGGAGAAGTAATTTCATGTAACGACTCCTTTGGTATAACTTAAGAATCTCCATTGGGACAAGGCCACTTACAAGGGAGTCACTGCTTCCAGCTACATTTTCGTATCCGGTATTTAAAAATATATAGTTTATTTTCCTGGGTAACTTCTATCATAAGCAATGCTGTATGGTAAAACAGCTGATAACTTTACCTTCAGGTTTCTAGGGAAACAAACCAAAAAGCTTACGCAGGATCAGATCTATCTTTATTTAAAGAGGGAGGTGATTTGTCAATACTTGGCCCACACTGCCTCTTGTGGCTGTGGTGCTAGTTACTTGCAAAGATATGTAAAGCATTCCCCAGTGTGCCTTAGTGACTCCATCAGTGTTAGAGTCATTGTGACCTTTGCATAATGGTATATTATCTCTGTACTATAGTGTTTTAGATAGGTTCTGAATGGATCCTTTTTTAATGTTGATGAAAACGCCTGGTGAGGACTTGATCCCATCACAAAGCCACTCACTCACTTCCTTTCCTTCACCTCCCTTTTATGTATCTATTCTTTCAATTCAGAGCAGTACTTAAAATGTACTCTTCCTTAATTTTAATTTGTCATTTTCAGGAATTTGGTGATATCAAAATGGAGAATTCTGCGATGTCTTTTTACCAACCATTCCAATCACCTGTCAGTGTTCAATTTAAGGGGCACTCAAAATCTGTCAGTCACTGTGCTGAGTTTCTGATATTTATCAGCTGGTTTAATCCTATGGCAGCATGATGAGGCTGATTCTATTATTTCTATGTTACTGAGGAAAAATCTGAGGTCTGAAGAATCAGATTTACTAACCCAACATCATACAGCTAGTAGAAACAGATGCAGGGTTTGAATTCAAGTTATTACATGATCTTAACCACTATAATGTACTATAATGTATAGAAGAATAAGGGCTTTTAAGACTTCTTCTGTCTTAAAATCTACTGTTTGCACTAGACATCCATTTTTAGGATTCCCATATCGCCTCGTCTTTGACTTCAACCATGTGTTGCTTTTGGTTTTGAAATAAATGGAAAAAGAATTTCATATAACTCAAAACTTTGTTTCTCTAACCTCTGTTTAAAAATAAAACCATTCCATAATACATTCATTCATCAGTGTGAAAGTTCAAGTGTTAGATTTTTATAACATGATGATGATAAAATATTTTATTGTAAATGAACTCAGTATTTAGTGTGCTGTTAATGTTATCACCTAACCATTAAATAAAAATTCACTACCTAGCTGAGCCTCTGTTAAGTGTTATAAATCATCTTTCTTCTTATCTATGAGCCTGGGGCTCCCCCACATTCTTCCTGAAATGATGAAAGATGTGATCTGTCTGTAATCCTCAGTGGCTTTTCATAGTTCTAACAGGTGTGTGAGGTAGACAGCTTTTCTAATGGATGGTTTGGGTTGGTGTAATCCTTATGGATGTCAGTTTAGAAGCAGCAATTAATTAACCAAATTGGCAAACTGTAGTAAAACTTGTATAACTTTTGGTGTATATCAATTTTCTATTGCTGCAAAACTAATTACCATGTACATGGTGGCTTGAAATGACATCCATTTAGTAGCTTGCTATTTTAAACATCAGGAGACCAAATGAGCAGAATTGGTTTCTCAGCTGAGGAGCTATTAAGCCCCAAATCAGGGGTGACCTGAGATCTTTTAGCCTTGAGGCTACAAGGGGAATCCATTTCTTTTGCAGGCAGGTCCCTGCAGAGTTCAGGCCTGTCTAGTAGTGGGGATGAAGTCCCATTGTTTGCTAGTTCCTGGATAAGTTTATGTTCAACAAGAGTTAATCTACATTCCTTGGTATATCAGTACATGACCTCCTTGATCTTCAAAATGCAAATTCAGTCTTTCTTATACTTTTAATTTTACCAATTTCCTCTTGTACTGCCAGATTTAGAAAGCTCTGCTCCAAAGAGCCTGACTGTTGGGTCAGAGACAATTGGATAATTTTTATGTTTTGATATCGACTGACTTGGAGTTTAATTACATATGTAAAATCTATTTACAGCATTAGATTAATATTTGACTGTAAAAGCAAGTGGTAGGATTTTTACTGGGGAGCTGGGGTAGTAAGGTCACTTAAAAATTCTACTAGATTGGACATTCAGTATTGTTTGGTTTTCTGTTAGTTTCAGACCGACCCATTCTCTCTGCCTGGAAGACCAAATTCAAGATGGTTCATCTCTTGTGCAAAGTCATTATAACCTATTGAATTCTGTCATTTTACTGTAAGATTGATTCTATTCCCATTAGTCCCCAATTTGCTTCATATGGAAAGTAACCTTCAAATTAATGCTGCTCTAAAAATTCCCTTATGTGTTTGAATTCTCAACACATTCTCAAGTTGAATAGTTATGGAGTATAGTTTAAGTATATTTGAATGTACAGACATGGATTTTCTCCAGTAGGGTCTGATCTAAGTAACTGAGTCTTAACAATGTGAAAAAATTTGTGCAGAAATATTACATAAATACTCCTTTATATTTTGAGACTCCCTTTATAGCTTTTTGGTGAATGCATAGTACAGAGAGCCTTCTTGGGGAAAAAATTAACATTTGATTTCTTTTGCAGTGAATTTGTGTCTTGGCTGTTGGAAATTGGAGAAATTCACAGGCCTGAGGAAGGTGTTCACTTGGGACAAGCATTATTAGAAAATGGAATCATCCACCATGGTAGTTATCAGTTTAGTTTTTTTTTTTTAACTTTTTTTTTTAATTAAAGATTTATTCATTTATTCATACAGAACTGGGGTAAAGGCCAGAGATGAGGAGGGTGAGAGGATTCACCAGAGACAGAGCTGGGAGCAGAACAGGCAGATCGACGAAGCACACTGCTGAGGGGAGCAGCGGGCGGGTCAGGAGAGGTCTGCCGCGCCATGTGGTCACCTCCGGGTCAGGCTGGGATCGAACTCATGCGCAAGTGGCTTTAGCTTCTCAGTGCAGTGCTTTAACCCGCTGCGCCACCAGGGAGGGCCATCAGTTCAGTTTTAATAATTTTCCACATTATCAGATACTTATTTTTTTTTTTCAATAGTTTTGAGAGCCTAATATCTATAAAACAATGTTTTCAGAATGGGTGGGTTTATGGTAATGCATTTGTTAACACTAAAACACATGCAAGAATCATAAATACAGGTAAGTGTTGTGGGATTGTGGAAGAAGGAATGACTTGTTCTGAGTAGAATATGTACTTCATTGAGGGATGTGGACTTAATGCTGGAATGAATAGAATGCTGACAGGACATTCTACCCTGAGAAATAATAGCACAAAACTTGGGTGGAAAATTTCATGGTGGCTTCTTTGGAAACTAGCATGGAGTCTTATGTAACTAGACAATGTGCTTCATGTATGAATATACCTGGGTGTGGGGAGGGAGTGTGGTTAGAAAGGTTGGCAAACATTCGATCCCAGAAGATCTTAATTCTGACTGTGGCCTGAGGGCCTTATTCTGACAAAGATGAGGCGCTAACAGTTGGTTTTTCAATAGAGGACTGTTCAGAACTTGTGCTATCAGTTGCAATAAGGTAGAACCTAGATCAGAGAGCTCTGGAAGGCTAAAGAGCCCTGCACACGAAGGCGCTCTTTACAGCTCCCAAAGTGAAAGGACAAAGGCTGTGTCTGTGGACACCTCCACAGTGCTTTCCATGGAGAGATTCTAGTGGTGCTGAAATAATACATTTGATAACTTTGGATGTGGGAGGTGTAGAGTGAAATCAGATTATCCCAAGCTGTCTATTTGGATGACTGCGATAGTTAATTCAGGAAAAGGAGAAGCTTGGCAAGAACATAAAGGATTTACTGTGGATTGGATGTAAGGCATTTATGGTGACATGCTTGTAAGAAGTTGAAAAGCTTTGTGTAAAAGTTCAAGATAGAGATTGAAAGACAGATTTGATAATAATTTTAATAGAGTATCAGGTTATTAAGAACATTCATAACCAACACACAAAAAGTGAGGAATCAGTGATAATAGGACTAAGAAAAAAACTTGAGGATTTTCTAATGTAAAATGTGGGGGAGCAGAAAATGACAGGGAATTATGACAAATATGAATGTTTGCCATGGTGTTTTGATTTCCACTTCCTTCCTAAATTTGAATGGGGTTCAACAAATTAGATCCTCCTAATTTTTCCACACCACACTGGCTACTACGGTCTGTCCAGATGGTAGTCCTCTTTAATTCTTTTCCACCCGCATGCCAACACATCTGAGCTCTGCCACCAAAATATGTCTTTCATCAGATCAATTCCTTCCTTCCCAGTCTCCGCCTCTCCATCGTCTTTCTTGTTTCTGCTTTTGTTCTCCATCCCCTTAGTACAATTTTCAGGTATCAGCTGAAGAAATTTTAAAAAATAGCAGATTAAGTCCCTTTCCTACTTAAAATCATGTAATGACTTCCTTTAAACTTAAAGGCGAGGCCTCTTACCCTGGCCTGAAGCTTTACCACGCTTCACCAGTTAGGACTGGTGACTTCCTCTCTGGATCCCATGAAGTGTTTTCCCTAACTTGTTATACTCTACCCCTAGCCTTCTGTGTCTTGCTTGAACACTTCGAGATGACTCCCTGTGTAGGAGCTTTGTTCCTGCTATCCTCATTCAACAGTTATTTATTAGTCCATAATATGTACCAGGTCTTTCTAGATGCTAGGGAGGCAGCAGTTACTGAAATGACAGAAGTCGCTGTATTCCTGACTCTCATCTTCCATGACCCTCTTACTTTTAGAAGTTCATCCAGTTTCATTAGTCTTAAAGCTGCTGTTCTCATTTTAGACATTTTCTTGTACTTGTCAGACTCTGAGATTATCATGTTATTTATTTCTTTGCATTTTATTTTCTATCACCTATCCATTTTCTGGGATCAGAATAAGAAAATTTCAGTTCTAATCATTTTATCTCCACTATCTCATGCACTTGTCTCTTGTGGTGCAATTTTGAAAATGAAGTGATAGAGAAATTCTAAATTAAAATTTACTTTGAGTTTTCAAATGCAGATCCCTTTGAGTTTTTAACTTGTGGGAGTTTATAACTTTGAGCAATGATATTGATAATATAATTCTTTGCCCTTTTTTCTGAGAAATGTAGTACAGAGTTGCTTTCTGTTAATATTCTGTTCATCACAGATTTTAGTGGCCTATGCCATAGTTGTTACAAAGATTTGATCAGTTGTAATGTCAGATTTGGCATACAGAATTGTTGTCACCAGAAACAATCTTTTTTAAGTGACTGAAATAAAGTAGTACATTTCCCCCAAACTGGGGATAAGAAGACATATTATGCAATTTCACATTAATAATTTTAGTAGAATGTAGAAATATGAGCCAAACATACTAGTTTCATTACTATGTGTTTTCATCTGCATTTTAGTGAAAATAGAATTCCTACAATATGCTGAATTTATCTCTTGTTTTAAAGAGAACAAGCACATATAGACCATAGTTACCACTATTATTCACATTACAAACATTGTTGATAACTTTAACAAAGGCATAACTTGGCTATACCTATAATTCTTGTGCTAAGGCAGTTTATACTTTTAATATTCCTCGTTTAGCTCTACATTTACATTATAAATGTTTATGTGAACATAAGAAACTGCATTCATTATATCCACTGTTGTGTTGAAGTTGGCTGGCACAAGTTCAAGAGAACTAGTAATTAAATTCTTTAAAAATTTGCAGACAGTTAAATATAGCTATTATTCAAAATTATTGACACTTTAATACACACATTTTATTGCAAATAAAAGCAATATAGTCTTAAAACTTTATTTTCTAATTATTTTCCTACAATTTTTGTTACTTATGCTCTGAGTATTTCTTAACTCCCATTATTTTTGTATGATAGTGATACTAAATCATAAAGTGTCTCACTACACATTCAGAGGCTTTTTTTTAGTAGCTTCATATTACCCAGTATAGAATTTTATGTAGCTAAAATTGGTGAACGCTACAAATCGCAGCTCTTGTCCTCTGGTACTGAGACTGTTATTAAAAATTCCCCAGTATATTGTAGTGACATCATGCAGTTGTTTATAAGATGGCATGAGCAAACCTTGTTCACAAGCTCACAAGCTCACCTGAACTCTCATCTATTAGTAAAACCCATTTTTCATGCTGGAGAAGTTGAGGAATTGGCTTTGGATGCAGCATTGTTTACTATGTTTCCAAGGCAACACCTCAGAGTTGGAGTAGACCCATGATTGATTATCAGAGTCACAAGAGATTATCTCAAACTTAAGCACTCCCTTTTGAATAGGTGAAACCGCACTTGTTTTACTGCGCCGGGAAAGAGGACATTTGGGGTATATACCAAGACAAAAATTTGTTCCAGTGAATTTTTTTTTTTTAAAGATTTATTTATTTGTGCATACAGAACTGGGGTACAGGCCAGAGGCTCAGGGGTGGCTTCACCAGAGACAGAGGGGGGAGCAGAATAGGCAGATTGATGAAGTACACTGCTGAGGGGAGCAGCGGGCGGGTCAGGAGAGGTGTGTTGCACCTGGAGGTGGATCACCTCCAGGACAGGCAGGGATTGAAATCATGACTGAAGTGGCTTTAGCATCTTAGTGCTGTGCTTTAACCCACTGCACTACCAGGGGGCCATGTTCCAGTAAATTTTAAGGATAAAAAATGGGAATAGGTATGTTATATTATGTCCAAAGACCACCAAGGAGCCGATTCTGATGCAAAGCACATAAGGGTCTTTATTGCAAGCTGGAGCCTGGGCTCCCAACATATACTGATGCAGCGGCTGAAGTTGAGAGCCCTGAGCTCAGGGAAGGCAGGGTTTTTATTACAGGAGAGGGGAGTTTCAGCTCAGCAGTACATTGATTGGTTGACACTGAACAAAGTTATCTTGTCTTAACCTGTTTGGTCTATGCGTGTAAGATGTGACCTTAGGACATCTGGTGCTTTCCTGATCTGTACTGGTTACTTGCCTACTTGCTAACTGGCTGCTGCTATGGGATGAGCAAGATTAAGACATTTACAGTTAAACTCGGCCTTAGCGCCTTGTTGATAACTGAAACTTAGGCCTGGATGATTCAGAAGCACTCTGAAACCTGTCATGGCGTCAGTTTGGTCTTTCAATATGGGAGAAATAAATTATTCTTCCTGAAACATGCCATTGGATTTCAAAATATTTTTCTCAGTTTTATGTGTCTTTCACACATGCTTTTCTCCTTTTGGTTTGATATAGAAACAGAAACACCAAAAGCTATATTGTCTATCTTTTCGTGGCAGCAATTCTGTTTCAGTTTTTATGGCCACAGCCATGCATGTGGTTTGCATAGGTTAGGATAAAACAGCTGAAACTTGTATGTGTGTGTGTGGTGTGTGTTTGTGTTGCAAGTCTAGACTTAGCAAATGTAGTTCATAAGAGTTAATGCTAACAGCTTTTTCTTCTCCTTCAGCATTTTAACAAAAATGTAAAGGTCAAAGTTTCTATCTAATGATGAAAATAGAACCCATTGCAGCAAATTCTCTCTTTTGTAAACATTGCATTCCCTGTAAAGACAGCACTTAAAACACTTTCAGCTTTAATTTTGGCTTCTTCTTTCTGGAAATCATTCTTTATTACACTGTTTAGAAAATAACTTGTACTGGAAAAGAAAAAAAAAAAAAACTTCAGAGGAAGTTTAACAGGGGTCTTTTGAATTTGAAAGCCTCCCTAAGAAAGGAAGCTAAAGATGATCATTCACATTTGCCTCTGAGAAAATCAATCTTCAGCAACATGTAATGGAAGCATTTCAAGTATAAGAAAACTGCTAAAATTTTGCAATCACTTACATGTTAAAATAGTGCTATCTACTTTTGAGATCTAATCATAGAATAATTGGTGATTAATATATGTTCTTGGCCTAATGGCAGTGGATGCTAACATTCACTTGGGTTCTGAAACAATTGGAGTATCTGCTTTCTGAAAGGTGCTTTTTGTTTGACTTTGTGGCATTGTGAAGAAATAGAAAACATAAACTAAATATTTATATATAAGTAATTATTCTATAAAGCACAAATATGTTTACCTGGCGATCTAACTGTTGCTAATTTCAACTTCTTGAATCGTTAAATGGAATTCACAAGTAAAGAGCAAACTTTTGTTACGAGTCTTACTGTCAAAATACTAGATTATTATTCCTTGTTAGAAAAACAAAAGTGGTTTATAAAACTGAAAGTTTCAATATTTGGGAATATGTATTTCAAAATTTTGTTTTTATTTGCAACTCTTTAAGTTGTCAGTATTTTAATATATTGCTCATATGTTTTTAGTGACTGATAAACACCAGTTCAAACCAGAACAGATGTTATACAGATTTCGCTATGATGATGGAACATTTTATCCAAGAAATGAGATGCAGGATGTGATTTCAAAGGTAACTATATCTCTCAGAAACTTGTTCTTTTTTGAGGGACATTGGTTTACAACATTATGTGTTTAAGGAGCATAGGTTCTTAACATTTCAAATGAATGTTGCTGTATTACACCCACTACCAAAATGCCAATAATCCACTGTAGTCCATTGGAGGCCCTGTATCTTCTGCTCACTCCTCCTCTGGTAACCTCAGTTCTGTGGTCTAAATCTAAGGTTTGTTTTGGCTTGAATTTGTCCTTTACTTAGTTTCTTTGCAGTCCATCCACATGAGTGAATTCATCTAATAATTGTCTTTCTCCTGACTTATTTTGCTTAGCATAACTTCCCCACTTTCATAAATAGCAATATTTCATAATTCTTTAGATAGATAGATATATCTCTGTGTGTGTGTGTATCTGTGTTCTCTTTATCCAGTCATCCATCATTGGACATTTTTTTGTACATCTTGAGTATTATAAATAGTTCCAAAATAAGGACAGGAGTGTATAGATCCCTTTAATCTTTTTTTTTTTTAAATAAGTATCTACGAGTGGAATTTCTCAATCCTATGATCTATTTTTAATAATTTGAGAGGCCTCATAATGTTTTCTGTAGGAATTGGACTAGTTTACATTCCCACCAACAGTATATGAGGGCTCCTTTTTCTTCACATCTTCAGTAACACTTGCTGCCTCTAGTGTTTTTCATATGGGCTGTTCTTACGGGTATAGGATGGCATTTCACTGTGGTTTCTGTGCAAGTGAAAATAAACTTTTTTTTTTTTCATTTGTCTTTTGGACATCTGACTGTCTTTTATAGATAGATGTCTGTTTAGCTATTCTGCCTATTTTTATTGAATTTTTTTTGTAGAGTTGTATGACTTTATAGAAGAGGAAAGTAACCCAGTCAAATGTATTGTGTGTACATATTTTCTCACATTCCATAGGATGTCCTTTAGTGACCAAATAATATGGCTATATTGCTAAATAGATTTTTTTTCTGTTTACATGTTATCCACAAATTTTACAATCTTAAGAAAAAATAGCTTAGAATTACTTTTAAAGTAATTTAGAATAATATACAATAATTTGTATATGTTTATGTCATGCATATGAAAAATTCATAGCACAATTTAATCCTGTTTTTAATCTTTTGTCATTATTTTTAATGATGTAATACAGCATTTGAACAACTTTTAAATTTAAATTTGAGACTAAAATAATTCCAGATATTGACAATAAGTTCATTTATATTGAAATTTCATTGTTGTAGGCTTTGAGTGTTTTGCTTTGCTTTTGAAATGTCTTTGTTTTACAATAGGGTGTAAGGTTATATTGCCGTCTACATAGTCTCTTTACTCCAGTGATAAGGTAAGTTTGAGAAATCTAAGTGGAAATGTTTAATTATCTTACTAGTTGAATAGTATTCAGTTATTTTAGTTTTCTTCTAAAAATGAAAATTTTGCACTTGATCATTTTAAATAAATATATAGCTTAAAATATTTACATTTTTCTGAGGCTCTAACTATAGTTTTGCTCTTTTGATTTTAATTTGTAAAAGTATTTCCCACTAATTCACAGTAAAGCATATGCTTGTTAAAGTAATAATACATATTAATTAATATTTAATTAGTTAACTGGAAGAGGATTTGAAAAATATATATTATAATTACTTACATACTACTTTTTTGTTTAGTCAAGCTTTGATTGTGCATCTGATTCCAAAATATTTTCTTCTAGTAGTCTTTACTCCAAGATTAGATTTGCTCTTGAAAATAAAGATTATATTAGCATTACTAAATATAATCTTATTATCTACTATGCTTTTCCTTCTGAAGAGATAGACCTGTTTCCTTTTAAGTGTAATCAAGATTCATTATCAGTGTATCTCTTATAGAGAGTAGAAAATTTTGAAACTTGCGATGTGATTTTTCAGGAATATTATTGTCTTTCATCATATATATTGATATACACTAACAGATAACATGTTAAACTAAATTCAATGACCAGCTATCATTTTGAGTTTATTAAGTAAATCATATAAAAAAAGGATGTATTATTTCCAAAATAGAGACATTTTTCAGCTTTGGCTGTAGAATCTAAATGTTTGATGTACAGTTTTTTTGTTTGTTTATTTTTCATTTGGTTTTCAGTTATAAGGAAATAGACAGTTTTTTTTTTTAAAAAAAATGATGCCCAATATTACTACCTAAATGTTTTGTTATGCTCTATAACTAGTAAACACATTGCAGATCCTAGAGGGGAAAAAAGGTTCTTACTTATTACTCCTGAAAGTACCATGTCTACTTTCACAAACTGGTATCACAAAATACACTTTCTGTTATGCTCAGAATACAGACACCCTACAAACTTACGGGAAGAAACAGCTACTTAATAACCACTGGATAATAGATACTTAATTGTTACTATGTTAACAGAAAACATTAATGATTTAATTTTCCATGTCACATATGTATGCAGACTTCATATGTGAGATACTGTGTTCTGAAATATGTTTTATTTATATGGAATTTCTTCTCAAGAAAGTTAATGGTGAGAACTTTTAAGAAGGAATTGTTCTTTAGCTAGAAATGACAATGTTTAGGAATTGTCAATGGAATTTATCAGAAACAAGTCATAAAACAGATGGAGTATATGATAGTCATGCTTTTAATATACATGAATTCAGTTTACAAAAAGAAAAATTCTTTGGTGAGGAATCCACTGACTCACATTTGATCTGTAATAGACTACTACTTTACTTCTTATTCATGCTGATGAGAACCAAGATAAAATAAATAGTGAAGTAATAGAAACATGGAAATAAAATTTAAAAGACTAAAAAAATTTGGTAATGTCTGGCTAGTCTAATGCATTTATGGAAATCAAGGAAATGGTATAAAGATTAATTGTAAGTTATGGACAGAGTAGAGAACTATGCAAGTGGCTCTTCTCGGAAGGTCACTGGAAATCTGAGGTGAAGAGACAGTTAATGTCCTTGGTTCCCTGGGGATGTGGAATTGCTGTGTTCATTCTCTGATCAGAGAAAATTAATGACAAGGTTCTCAGTATGTCTATTTCAGGATAGGCCATTAGAGCCAAGCTTAAGGAATTATCCTTCAGTACTGTCCGGCCTTCCCAGAGAATTCAAGAGCAGAAATAAAAAGGGTTGCCCTGTTCTTAGTTTTGAGAAATACTTTAATGGCTACTGTCTTAAATGGAAACTGATTTAAAGGAAAGAAATATTAATTTATATCAAGATATTATATTTCTTGATACGTTATTGCTAGATCTTCTACTTTTTAATCTTCTATTAAAAAGTAAAAGAAAATAATTTGATATCCTTGAGGATCTCTTCGTATAAGTTGATGGAGTTTTCAGGGGTTGTAACACTCCTTGTCAACCTCTTTTATTTACACATAATTTGGACTGTTGATACAGATTACAGTGAATAAACTTTTCTGCTATGTATTGATATTAAGTGATATATTTCCCTATCCTTCTGATCCTCTTGCTTAGTGTGTTTTTGTTTTTGTTTTTGTTTTTGTTTTTTAAATAGAGATAAGGATTACCACTTAAGGACCTACAAATCTGTGGTGATGGCCAACAAACTGATAGATTGGTTAATTGCACAGGTAATTGTGGTCATTGCTTTTCAAACTTTGAACATGTGATTTAGGGTTTATTTTGTTTTGTTTTTTAAGTTTCTGAGTACAGAAACAGCACAGTGAAATAAGGTTACCAAGTTTGCATAACTATTGAGAATAAACATAGTCTGACTTGAGAGTCTTGAAAGGTAACTTTCTATATTTTATTAAAGAGAAAAGTGTGCCATTTTAAAAATACCAACTGAAATCCATCAAAAAACTAAGCACAATTTGAATATAACTGCAGAGAGGGCAATGTGCATATACTAAAATTTGTACATGTTAAGTTCACTAATTTGTTTTTAAGATTCTGCTTGATAGTCCTAACAAGTTACCCTAATTTTCCTGTACCTTTCTTTTGTTCTAATTGTGTTTTGATAGTGTGAGTTTTAATGCCCATCTGCATGTATTTTAAATAGGAAGGTACTGAATTTGTTGTTTTTGTTCTGCTTCTCAGAATATAGGAACTGATAGCTGATGCTGATCAAGGTATTTAGCCCATCATAACAGATAATAAAATACAATTAAAATTTTTTTATCATGTTAGTAAGTTAATCAAATATTTTCCACTTAATAAAGAAGCCAAGAAAACTGATATCACTATGAGGAACTTTATATTGAAGGGGAGGAAATATTACTTGCTTGAAATGTTATTATGCTTGGATATTTGAGTCAATTACATAAGCAGTTTCCCTTTTGTATTAACTAAAGTGCTCTACTTCCTTTGTTACAAGTGGATTGTGGCATTTGATACATAATCATAAAAATATTTCTTTTTTATTTTTTATGTTTATGTTTAATTTGCATTTGATATGCATACACACCATGAACTTTGAGATTTTTATTACCTAGCATTAATTGCTAGGCTTTCCTATATTTTACAGAATTTAAAGTTAGTCTATTTAGAGATTAAAATTTTAAAATAAACCAAAAAATTTAGCTACAGCCCTACTTCCTACACTGGTAAATTTATTTGTTTCAGAATCTTACAGCATGGGAACTTCACATAGAAATTAAGGACTTGTATCTATTTTAATTTTGTTGGAGAACTGAAAAAAATTCATTTGAAACAAGAGGTGATACTGAGTAGATATTTAAAGTTTGACTCAGAAAGTGAATTATAAACATGTGTTTTTTCCTTTTCAACATTTTCACTTCTCAAATGTGAGCATTAAAAATAATAAATTAAGTTGGTCAAGTAATGAATCAGTTTGAAATTACTTAGTTTATTTATTTTTTTTTGGTTTTCTTACTGGCCTGGAAGCCATGTCTCTAGAAATTACCTGTACAGAAACTGTACTGGATTGGGACTCAAGCAGCCTGGTTTTTGACAGTTCTGCTGACTAGTGGCTATGCAAATTTGTTCAAGGCGCTTATTCTCTCTGTATTTTCACAACTGTTTACTATTTTACTATTTACTGGAATGGCTATACATGTCATTCCCTGTCATTTAGGCTTTGCAGTTTGATAATACAACACATATCTAAATTGTTGATGAACAGTTGTCATGTTCTTTCTGGCTATATGGCATAATTTAATATTTGCACATATTGTGAAATGATCTCCACATTAAGTCTAGTCAACATGTATCACCATACATAGTTGGATTTCTTTTTCCTTGTAATAAGAACTTTTAAGATTTACTCTCATAGCAACTTTCAAATCTGCTGTACCATCTTAATTATTCACATAATGTTGTACACTACTTTCTCAGGACTTATTTATTTTACAACTAAAGTTTATATCTTTTGACCCCATTCATCCATTTTGTCCACTACCCAACCCCTGCCTTTGGCAACCACCTATCTGTTCTCTGCATCTATGAAGTCAATGAAATGTCAGTCATTATTAAACAAACCCTATTGTAAATTTAACATTTAAGCAAATGCTTTGATGATTAAAATAAAACAAACAAATGAAACAGGAAGCAGGCGTGATTTCTGCCTCCAAGGGACTGTTAGTTTCTTGGACTAACTTTTACATATCCTTAAGAGGCTGCTTCACAATCATATCTCCACAGAAACTTTGCCATGCCCTCCAGCCTGGGCTCAGGATCTCTTGTGGCCTCAGTGCCTTGGGTATATTTACCATAGTACCATGTTTTGCAATCATTCAAAAATGCTTGTTCTGTTTGCTATGCAAGGAGATATTTAACCTTTGTGTCAATATCTAGAGCAATAGCTAATTGAGAAGTTTGACTAAACTGGATTATGGTAATTATATATTGCATTTTTAATCTTTCACTGGATTTAATTTACTTGCATAGTGAAGTGTTTTCTGTTTCTTGTTTTACTGTATTATTTCAGCAGCTGGCACATTGTGGGAACCAAACATAAATATCTCAAGTAAATGTATCAAAGTTACTTAAAAGCTAGCTTTATAACAGAGCACAGATGCTTTCTTTGAAATCATAGAATATTAAGTGCTTTGGTAATTAATAGGCACTGTTAATGAAAATTAGAGCTGTCACAGCATGAAGTAGAACTTGTCTTGGTACCTGATATAATTTAAATGGATGACAGGTACAGAGAATGGAATTGTTGGTATGAGTGATTATATTTTTGAGGCCACGGATAAAAATAAACACATAGATTTCAAGAAACAGTAGGGGGCCAACTTGACTTACATGAAATATAGCAATATTTAGCAGGTGAAAAAGCTAGAGAAGTAGAATGAAGCCATGGTATGGAAGTTCTTAAAAGCCTAATGGAACTTTTAATATCTTTTGGTTATGAAAAAAGGAGACTATCTAAAATTTGGAACATGAAATTCCTGTAAAATAAAGTTTGATTCTGGGCCCGCCCTGGTGGCGCAGTGGGTTAAAGCACAAAGAAGCTTAAGCCAATTCTGCATGAGTTCGATCCCCCCCTGCCCTGGAGGAGATCCACATGTCAGCGGCAGACCTCTCCTGACCCGCCCGCTGCTCCCCTCAGCAGTGTACTTCATCACTCTGCCTGTTCTGCAACCCACTCTGTCTCTGGTGAATCCTCTCCCTCCGCATCTCTGGCCTGTACCCCAGTTCTGTACGAATAAATAAATAAATCTTACAAAAAAAAAGTTTGATTCTGTAGCAGCACATACATTGGAAAAAGTTCAGAAAAAAAAAAAAAACTAGGATAACCTAGAAGATGAATAACACTAGACTGTGGTGTAAACATGGAAAAGTTATAAAAGCCATGTAAAAGAACAAATAGATTTGGTAGAGTATCTTGTGATAATAACAGGACTAGGAAAAATTACAATAATATTTTAGAAAACACAGGTTAAGTGGTAAAACCTGTAAGGTTATATACACTCACACATATACATCTACATATGTGTATATGCATATTTATATAAATAAGATATATGCTTTCCAAATAGGAAAGACTGCCTTAGAGTTGGTTTTAGGTTTTAGTTGTTTGATCTGATTATTTTCTCAGCAAAAAAGTGGGAGAGAAAGTAGCATTTGTTGGGTCAGCCTATTTGCTTTTAGGGTCTTACAAATCAGTATAGATTAATAGGTTTTTTTTACAAGTCCTAACAGAATAAAGTTATTTGGTGGAAGGAAAGTGATAGCAGACATTACAGAGAATGATTATTATTTTGCTTTATATAGTGTTTTTTCAATATAGGACATTTCATTGATGCATAATTGGAATACAAGGTTAAAATGTAAGAGAACAGGATCATTTATAAACTTAGAAATCTTAGTAACATTCCCATGTTTAGTAAAGTACAGTTTTTCTCAAGAAATACTAAACTTTGTTTTACACTTAATGCCAAAAGGTGTTTTCATTATCAAGCAAATGTTTTATAACAATTAGAAGTGTCATAAGTTTATGACAGCACTGTAGGTGATAATATAGGAATAACTTTGTCAGTATTGTACTGAGTGTGTCAAATGTATTAATAGCAAAGCCACAACAAAGCCTCCAGTTACCTTTAAACACAGTGTTTTTGTGTTTAATAGGGGGATTGCCGCACCAGGGAAGAGGCAATGATATTTGGCATTGGACTCTGTGACAATGGATTTATGCACCATGGTAAGGAATTTTTTTCTGGAAATACACAGATACATTTCATGTTTTGTTTTTCTGAAGTCCTGAGAGATGACCAACAAGACTGTGTCCATGCTGGCTTACCACATCTGCATTCAGTTGCCCTGTTGTGCCATTCCTGTGATGGTAGATAATTACTATTATAATTACTATTATCTACCAGTTGCCATGACTTCTACTTTTCTAGACTTCACTGATACAGCAGAGCTTTAGTTAGAAGCTTAAAAAAAAAAAATGACTTGTATACCCCCTTAAAACTATTGTATATCAGACTTTTTAAAAATTCCGTTATGTATCAGCCTGCTTAAGTGAGGGTATATATGATTGAATATTTGTTGTGTAGGAAAAGTGCTCTCAAAATTATGTCAGAAAAAATTATAAATCTCCGAAAAATACCTGTTTCTTTTTGGTCCCAATTGAAGATTTTCTTGTTTGTTTGATGAATTGATCCCCTTAATTTTCTAAAAATAAGTGACTTCATTTTCCCCTCTCTCATATCACCTTACAGATGTCATAAATCCAAAAGTCTTTTTTAGTAGTAATAAACATATCTTTATCAATATTTATTTGAGCATCTGTACCTGTTTTCAGTTATTTTCAGAAGACTTACCTTTTTATGGAAAAGGAAGCAGAGACAATAATTTTGAGAGCATTCTTGGTTATATCGTCCTTGGGAATTCCATTATGTTAAGCTATATGTAGAGCACTATGTGAGCCGTGGTGAGAGAAACAACAGTTCTTGAAGAGCAAACTAAAGTGTAGAATCCTTATAGTAATTAAGACTGTAAGATCAAATTGACCATCTTCAGAAATTTTCACTGTGTTTACCTTTAAGCTAATGTATTATGGCATAATAATTTATTCTAAACATTTCTGTTAAAATACCAAGTAAAAAACAACATTTCCCAGGCCTCCCGGGTGTCCTAGAGGAAGTCTCAGTGCTACCACAGCACAGCCTGTGTTCCATCCCTGGCCAGGAAGAAGACCCACACATGGCACAGCTGAGTTCTCCTGTCTTGCCCACTGCTCCCCTTACTAGTATATTTCAGAAAATCTGTGTGTGGTGAATCCTGTCACTTCCCCCCCACCCCCACTCCTGCCCTACACCCCAGTTCTTCTATGCAAAAATAAATAATTAAAATCTTAAACAAAAAAATAACAACAGAAATTATTTCCCATACACATCACTGTCAGTAAAGCAAATCAGCTCAATTTAAGCTCGACTTCATTGATTCCTCTGTCCTTCATTTTAAGTAAATTGGTTAGTGGAAGATAACAGTGGCAGCAAAAACACTATGTGAATTTTAGGAAATGTCTTAGGTCATATAGGCGAGACCTAATTCAATCTGAGCTTTGTTCTCATTTCTATTTTTAGCTATGACTTATGTTGCTTTTTAATTTGTAATTGTTAGTTTGCTAACTCAGGTTACTGGGCATTCTTTTATCCAAAGATCAATATATACAAACGTCAACAAGATTTGTTGGAACTGTACAAGATTTGTTGGGACTGTAAAAATAAAACTGCAATAAGATTGCTATCATTTTTGATGGGTACTATCTGCCAAATATTTTATTACTTCATTTTAGTTTTATATGACATGATTAAGAAGTCCATTGCCCCTGTTTTACAGACGGGGAAACTGAAGTTCAAAGAATTTAAGTAACTTTCCCACAGTTACAACCAGTGCCAGACCTGGAATTTAGATTCAGGTCTGTCTTATCATAAAGCCTAACATTCTACTGTGCTGTGGCACCTCTGTCTTCTCTTTCACTCTCTGGCTCAGTGACTCAACCTGCCCCAGTAATTTCTCTCCAGGTACAAAGGGTGATAAATAAAGAGCAGAAATTTCCAAGTACATAATCCTTATGTCATCAGGGTAGGTCAGGAATCTTACGGAATTTGGAGTAAAATATTAATGTTTAGAAAAAGGACGAAAAATCCTGACCTTTGCAAAAAATAGTGTCATTTGCTAGTAATTTTCTTAAACAGAAATGAACTAAGAATTAGTGGAAACTGAGGTCACAATTTATCCAGAAGATTTACTTCTGATTTGAAGTGTTAGAGTAAAAGTGACCGTAGAGCAAGTTGCAAGATGGAACTCATCAGTTGCATACTCATCAGAGCAAGATGGAACTCATCTGATTTTCCCAACACTGAGCAGGATATTAAAATCAGATGTGGCCCTCCCGGTGGTACAAAGGGTTAGGATGCAGCACTGCAAGCTAGCAGCAGCTGCTTCAGAGTGAGTTCAATCCCCGGCCCTGGAGGTGACCCACATGGCATCACAGACCTCTCCTGTCTCTCCTACTGCTCCCCTTAGCAGTGTACTTTGTCGATCAGCCTGCTCTGCTCTCCCCACTCTGTCTCTGGTGAATCCTCTCACTATCCCTGAATATACCCCTGAATGAATATATATTTTCAATACAGATTCGGGAAACTGTAGGTTTTTATGTTTTTGATTCCATACATTTTCTGATTCAATATAATCTTTTTTTGAAATTTGGATTTTTTATCTGGAAAGTGACAGTTTAAGTATAAAAAAGCCAACATTGAAAAAAATGCTTCATAAAAATTCAAGAACTTTTAGGGAACAGTAATGGAAAAGCTCAAAACTATGAAAAGAAATAGAAACATAACACAGGCATATTTGAAATGTAAATTGTTCTAGGAATATAAAATTTTTAAAAATTCCTTTCTTTAAACTAGCTTACAGTTTGAAGATAATGTGGGATAGTCTTTACTACTTGTATATTAATTGTCTTATTACTTATATATTTTAATTAACTAATTTATTGGAGGTAACATTGGTTTATATCACTCTGTGATTCAGAGAATGAGGTTCACACCTCCTCATGTGTGCATCATGATACCCCACACATCCCAATAGAAGTAACAAATTAAAGTTGTGAGATAGGTATTGACTTACTGAATAACTATTGGTATGAAAAAATGAGTTTTATTTTTGACCTAATTGAAATAATCTGAATTTCTCTGTTTCTGTAGTCCTTGAAAAGAGTGAATTCAAAGATGAGCCCCTCCTTTTCCGGTTTTTTGCGGATGAGGAAATGGAAGGTTCAAATATGAAACATCGACTTATGAAACATGATTTAAAAGTTGTGGAAAATGTCATAGCTAAATCATTATTGGTATGTTTATTAATATGTTATGTATAAATTTTCTTCCTGAATAGACATTAGCAGGACATTGCAAAAACACATCTAATGCTGTATATTATTTCATCCTGTTCAATTTGTAACTTTTTTTTATAGGTGCTTTACTGATAATGTCAATATTTTGCTTTTCAGATTAAATCCAATGAGGGCAGCTATGGTTTTGGTTTAGAAGACAAAAATAAAGTTCCAATAATAAAGTTGGTAGAAAAGGGGTCTAATGCTGAGGTAAAAATAAATTAACATTTTAATTTAAATTTGTACTCATTGACATGCAAATATAGTAATTCTAAACAAATTGAAATTGATCTTCTAATATCTCTATTAAAAATAATATTTCTGAATAATCTTTCTCTAAAGTTTTTTCTAGTGCCATTTGATTTTCTGACAGGTGATCCCAAGTCTGAGTGTTCAGGATAGTTGTGGAGAGGTACTGTAGAGATCTGTAGCATTGAACTTCTTGACCTTCTATGCAGTGAACTTTGTCATTCTGTGTCCCTCAGACTTCCTTGTAACTGCTTCCAGCCTGGAAGCCTGTGGACACTGCATATCCTGAGACTATTTTTTTTTATGTCAGATATTTTACTAAATCAAAGGCTGTGTCTTTCAGTTTCCTATCATTTTTTACTGTCTTTTATTTAAATACCACTTCCATAAGCAGAGTAGGTGCTTTGATTATTTTCTCGTTGAGTTACTGCTGGTTGGTGTTCTCTCATCTCTGCAGACTTTTAGACAAAGGACTCTCTAGATCATTCATTCATAAATATTTATTTAGTACTTATATGCTGGATTGTGTTCTACGATCTATTAACATACCTATGAACAAAGTAGACAGAATTTCCTGTCCCTATGAAACCTACTTTCTGTTGTTTTATACAAAGTAATAATAGATTTAAAGTAGCCTCACCATGATCCTGGCTCATAAAAAATGCTTCATCTCTGAGCAAAGCTCTCAATGTTTAAATCTTTGTAATGTATGAGAATGAATGAGGTATGAGTTTAAAGTTTGTGGTAAACTGTTACTCATCCTTCTGTCTTATAATATTCAAGGTCCTTGTCTTTTCCTAAAACACAAATTCAAAACTAGGTCAAATATAGTAATATTATCTCACTCAGGTTTCTGTTTCTTAAAATGTCAAAGTTTATGAACCTTTCAGATTCTAGATTCCTTACTAATATATAACCTATTATTTTCTTTTTTTGTATTCTTTGTTAGATGGCTGGCATGGAAGTTGGAAAAAAGATTTTTGCTATTAATGGTGACCTAGTTTTTATGAGACCTTTCAATGAAGTGGATTGCTTTCTGAAATCATGCTTAAATAGCAGAAAACCACTAAGAGTTCTTGTGAGCACAAAACCAAGAGAGTAAGTTTTATGGCTTATGTGGGGTTTAAAATACACACACACATACATACACATAGATGAATAAAATAGAAAAGTGAACTAAGTAAATCTCTAAAATTGAACATTTCTTGTTTGAAACATTTAAATCTTACCAACATCACTAATACTGGTGTTTTTAATCTTGCCATCATCACTAATACTGGTGTTTAGACTATGGAAGAAACTACAATGCATTTTATACTAAAATACCTTCCTTCTGTAATCATATTATGTCGGCAGTAGTATTTTCTTTTGGTTGCCCAAATTTTCCTTGCCTGTGTTAGGCTGAATTTAACTTTGAGAAAGACTAATAGAATGACTGAGATTAAAGGACTTGCTCCTTATGGTCAGCTATAAGACTTTCTGGGCTATGAGTTGATCATGCACCATTTGTGATTAAATGCTCTGGGCCCTCCCCGGTGGCACAACAGGATAAAGCACAGCACTAGGAAGCTGTCTGCAACCACTGCAGCACAAGTTCGACCCTGGCCAGGGGCATGACCCACAGTGAGTGGCAGACCTCTTCTGTCTCTCCTGCTGCTTCCCTCAGCAGTGTATTTCAGTAGATCTGCCTATTATGCTCCCCACACTGTTTCTGGTGAACCCTCTCACCCACTGCACCTCTGGCATGTACCCCAGTTCTTGTGTGCATAATTAAATAAATGAAACAAATGTAATAGAGTAAAAATGAAAACAATGAATAACTATAAACCAGGGACATTTTATGGGGGTGGAGATGGGGATGGGATCAGAACTGGGGTGGGAAGAGTGCACTGGACTATGGTGATGGCACACGGGTGAATTGGTGGTGGGAAACCCATGGGGATTACAACTGAGATGAAAAATGCAATAAATGAAGAATGAAGAAGATAAATAAATAAATAGATAAATTAGCAAATAAATAAATAAATTCACTTACACAAAGCAAAATAAATAAAAGATATATATTAATGATCTTGAAGATTAGAGTAGGGTTAACCATACATAATATTATTAAGACAGACCTTGCTCAAAAAGAGTTGAGGCTCGGAATGAACTCTTTACAATTCAAAACAAATATTCAAGTTTTTCAATGAATGTGAACTCTCATAATATATAGATGCGTGTGCTGGTTCCATTTTTGTTTCATTTTCGCCAGAAAATGTACTTATTTCCTTTTCTTTTCCTTAGTCATTTTCAAGTTCATCTTTGACAGACTAGTAAGAAAATGCTATTTAAAGTCTATAGCTTTATACTAAGACTATTTAATTAAAGATGAAGGATAAATTAATTCTGTAACCTCTATCCACTAGTCTGCAGAACACTTTGTAATGTACAATCCAATTTGTAGTAATACTTTCAAGGTTCCTCTGCATGATCATTTGCATTTTTGTTATTGAATGTCTGCCTAAGAGAAGTGTGTGTGTGTGTGTGTGTGTGTGTGCGCGTGTGCATATAAATTTTATTTTTATGGAGATACCATTGATTTCAACACTATGATTTAGAGGCCTAATGCCACATCTCTTCATATGCATTAGACATCATGCCCACTGTGAGGCCATCAATAATACTTGAACATATCCATTGGGCCCCCCTCCCAACTTTTGCTTACTGCCCCTCTTTATTCTCCTAGTATCCTCAATTCTTCAGTCAAATTCCCAGGGTTTATTTTAGTTTAGTTGTGTATGGTTCCTTGTTTTGTTCTTTGTAGTCCACATAAGAGTGAAATTATCAGGTAATTTTCTTTCTCCTGACTTTTTGCACTTAATATATATTATCCAGTTCCATGTTGTAAATGGCAAGATTTTGTCTTTCTTTAGGGCTGAGCAGTATTCCACTCACCACCTCTTCTTTATCCAGCTGGCTGTTTGGGCATTTAGGTTGGCTATTTTAGATAGTGTATAGTGAGCACAGAAGTGCATATATCCTTTCAAAATAGTGGTGTTGTTTTTTTTTTTTTTTCCTTTTTTAAAATTCAGATAGAATTGGATTGGAATTGCGAGATCACATGTTAGGTCTATTATAAGTATTTTGAGAAACAGGGCCCTCCCTGGTGGTGCAGCAGGTTAAAGCACAGCACTACAAAGCTGACCATGGCCACTTCAGTGCAAGTTTGATCCCCACCCGGAGGTCACCCACATGGAATGGCAGACTTCGTGTTTCGCCCACTGCTCCCCTCAGCATTGTACTTGGTCAGTGCTTCCCACTCTGTCTGTGGTGAATCCTCTCACTGCCCCTGTATAGTTTACAATCTTATCATCAGTGTCTGAGATTTTTTTTTTTTATTTTATCTCCACATCTTCATCAACACTCTTTGATATAGGCCATTCTCAGTGGTGTGTGGTGTATCTCATTGTGGTTGCCTTGGTATTTCCATGATGATAAGAGATGATGGGCATTTTTTCATGTGCCTATTGTCCTATACGCAAACAGTGAACTAGAAAAGTAAGAAATGAGCAGTCTCATTTATCGTCACATCAAAAAGAATTAAATACCTATGAATAAATTTAACAAAGGTGAAGTGTGTTGTAGCGAAAACTGTAAGACTGTTAAATCGAAGAATAGACAAATAAATGGATAGATATTCCTTGCACGTGGATTAAAAAAATTAACACTGTTAAAATGACTCTCTTCTATGTTGATGGCACACGGGTGGTTTGATGTTGGGAAACCCACAGGGATTACAACTGAGATGGAAAAATGCACAAAATGATGTAAAAATAAACTATAAAAAATTGACCCTCTTATCAAAGTATTAGAGTCAAGGCAACCCCTATAAAAGTTTCAGTGGTATTCTTAAAAGATACAGAATGAACATTACTGACATTTATGTGGAACCGCAAAAATCTTTCAACAGTCAAAGTGGTTCTGACTAAAAAGAACAGAGGTATCACATTTTTAAGGTATATTTTCTATTCTAAATTAGGTATGTGTTTTTCTCAAGTTTTCTAGGCAGAATGTTGCTCAAATTGCTCTAACAGTGATTCCATACACTGAAAATTTGTGTTGTTTTACCTGACTTTAGACTCTAACATGCTCTTCAAGTGCTGCTGACATTTATTTCATGATTAATTCATCTTTTGGAAAATGTTAGTTGCTTGGACATCAAGGGCTATCCATCAAAATTTATTGGATTGTATTCATTAGTCTTTGCTCTTTCTTGTAATTTATTGTACTCATTTTTATTGTTATGATGTTCCCTCTTAATCTCCTGTTCTCTGCTCTTTATTGCTGCTATCTGATTTCTGTGGAGTAGCTTATCTGTTAGTGCCAATTGGACATCTGGTTCACCATTATCATTTACTCATGTTCTCCACCATCCCCTCTGCTTTTCCACATGGAGTCACTGGAAATCTCTCTCTCTTTTTTTTTTTTTTGTGGGTTTGCCTTTTGATATAGTGGTACCCCAGCATGAATAAGCTTAAACTTATCACATCTTTCATTATTTTGAGGTAGTGTTTGACAGATTTGTTCTTTAACTAGTCTTTATTCTTTAATGAAGTGCTCAACCTATAGAAATGCATAACTATGTTTCTTTTATACTGATTGTTATATAGAAATTGCACAGTACAATGATGTTGTTTGTGTAACAGTAAACTAAGGAGTAAAGATTCCATTATTAATATAATGGAAGAGCCTACGTAGTTTGCAATAGGTGCAGGGCAATTTATGAAAGGTATCTCCAGTGACATCCTGAATAGTAAGGTTTAACATCATTATCATTGTGCTAAACTCAGGCTCAGAGAATTTAAGCAGTTCATCCATGTTATCTGACTTTGAAGTAAGGAACTGAAGATTGGCAGCTAGGTTTCTCTGTCCCTTGAGCTTTCCTGACCCAAGGCTACCCTGTGTAATGACTACATTCATGGTAGGAACTCTGTTTTGGGAGGTGCCTGTTACCTGCCAGCATTTCTAGCCTGATGATTTTCATATGGTGGTTGCTCAATATGCATTTATATAAAGAAAGAATAAAAGTGTGCACAATGATTGTTCTAACCAAGTGTGGCATTTGCAATCCATCTTACCTTATTGTTCTTACTAATTGTAGGACAGTGAAAATACCAGACTCAGCCGAAGGACTAGGATTCCAGATCCGAGGATATGGCCCATCAGTTGTGCATGCAGTGGGGAGAGGTAAATAATTCATTCTTCATGATAAACATGATGTTCCTTGGATATTCCAGGATATTCCTTATTGAATAGGAATGATTAAAATGTCTGTAACTAGGTAGTTCTGGATTTTCCCAGATATATACTTACTGTATTGACTCAATGGCAGTATAGTCCTAAAACAATATGTATATTTAAAAACCTTAAATTTTTAAGGCATATTTATCTCTGTTAACAATTTTATTAAGTGAATGATGCTTCCCAGCTTCGTTTTTCTGCATGCTTGAGTTTGGTCAACGGATATAATGATTTTAAGGTTATATTTTTCTCTCAATGAAGGCTAATAATCATTTTAGTGTGTGTGTCAATAATACAAAGATGTGATTTGAGAGCTTTAAATATGTTCTATGAGCTTGATAAGCTGTAACATCATTTTCCTCTATCTACCCAGCATCTTAGTGACTAAAAACTTGTTTTTATATATTATTCCCCATTTCATAGACAAATCGTCCTCTGACATATATTTGTTATGGTTTCTAACTTCTATATTGATATTAATAATGATTTAAGGGAATGACTATTAAATTCCACATGGCTAAACAGACAAAGTAAAGAACTTCTAGAGTAAGAAATGCTGTGGTAAGCTTAAGAAGCCAAGTATTTATATAATGAGACATATATGTCTCTTACATGTCTAATAAGAGACATTGCTTTTCATTGCTAAGAAATGTAAAACATAAGGCATCTTAAACTGACCAAAAGTCATTAGGCAGGAAACTTTTGAAAGGATGAAAATAAAATTTAACAAGAACATACTCAGCAAGCCTGTATTTGATTATAAAATTACTTCCATCATTGTATATATGACAAAATTAATCTTATTCTAAAAAATTTGTCTTTTCATTCAGGCTTTAAAAATATAGGTTGATGGCCGTTCAAAGCCTTTGTAATAACTCATTAAAAATTATGAAAGGGAAATGAGATATTGATGCATCATATAACCTCTTTATTTTCACTAAACATCAAAGTAAGCCATATTATGAGTATATAAAATAACCAAAAACCTGAGTGGATCTAGTTGTACCTCTTTCCCTAATAGGCCATTTAAAGAGCAAGCTAGTATTTGGAAGTAATTTTTAAATTTAGGCTTGTGTCTTTTTTTGCAGATACTGTGCTCACCCTTTCAGATGGATACTAATGAAAAGAACTTATTCTTTAATTTCCTTTTGCACTGTGATTTTGTTACACAAAAGAAAAATTTTTTCATTAGCTTTTCCATGGCCACACTCTAGAGTTAAATTAATAGCTAAAATGTCAACTTTGGAATCTAAATTTTCAATATGCCATGTTCTGATTCTGATAATATTTTATTGTTTTGCTCTCTCTCAACTTGATAATCTTAGTTTTCAACTCAGTTGGAATCTCCAATCTTTGAATCCTTTCCTCCTTTTTTTCCCTTGGTTACTTATACCCCTCAGTCTTTACTTGCTTCTTCAACCATCCTTATTCTCAGTATTGGGTCACTCTTGTCCCTCTCACCAGCATCCATAGGGTGCCCTCCCACTAGTCTGTCAGATGTAGGCAGCTCACCTGATTTCAGCCTTGAATTAGCTTAACCACCTTCTTTGTTATTTCTCCTGAGTAACTGGAGAATACAACCATGAATATGGGATTAGTGTCATCCCAATTCACAGTCTTGTCTTTAATTAGGTATATATTTTTGCAGCAACCTTGTCCTGTGTCTCTGACCCACTCCTTCTCATAATTAACTCTGATCTTCCAAGTTGAAATGTTTTCCGAGCTCACAGACGATTTCAGTCATGAAGCCTTTTGTGCCCACATTTCTGGCTGTATCATCGCTACCAGTTTCTCCCATTCTGTCTCTTTCCCCATCTTCTTTTTTCTTCTTTTCAAGGTTAATTTCTCCATAAATGTTTGGGATCCTACCCCTACTGTCCTTTCTGCCCCTTTTTTTTTGATATTGCATTGCCAAGTATCAAACATTGTTCCAGAATTTTTATAGTTTGGCTATAAACATGCTTGGTTTTTTCCTAATAAAAATAAAACCATCTTGAACTAGAACAGCAAACACAAAATATCTCCCTATTTCTTGTTCTCTCCTGTAGATATTTTACATCTGTATTCCACCAACCTACAGCATTGTCATCACCTGAGAGCTGGTTAGAAATGCAGGCTCTCTGCCCCACCAGTAACTAGTGAGCCAGAATCTGCATTTTCATGTTATTCCCAGATCCATATGAAAGATTGAGACCTTAGTTCTAAAATCATGCTCTAATAACTTTTATTTTTGTCATGACCAAACTTCCTGAAATGCTGGTCAGTATTTTTGCCTCCCACCATTTGAATTTTAGCCCAGTATTATAGCATCTTATCCCAATTCACACCCCTGCCTGTAAACTCTGCCTTAGATGTGTTACTGTGGATTTAACTGGAAAAAAAAAAAAATACAGGGTTGATAATGCTTGTCTTTTAAAAATGTTTATTTATTTATGCATACAAGATCTGGGGTGTAGGCCAGATGTGCAGGGGGTGAGAAGATTTATTAGAGACAGAGTTAGAGATATACTGCAGAAGGGAGCAGTAGGTAAGATGGAGAGGTCTGCTGTGCCAGCTGTGTCAGCTCTCTGGAGGATCATATCATGCTGCCGATAGCTTCACAGTGCTGAGACTTAACTCCTTGTCATATGGGAGGCCCAATCATGCTTATCTTTATTGAGTTTTTGGTGCCACTTGTTTAAACCAACTACTCTCATTCGCTGTTCACTTCCTGATTTCTGAGATGGCACTTTTCAGATTTGTCTCCTGTTTCTCCTCTGCCAGCTCTCATTTGTTGACTTCTCTCTCCATTTTAGATCTTGTCTGAGTTCTACAGCCTATATTTCATTGCTTTTTAGACATCTTTACCTAGCTGCCTTTTTGGCACCTTTGAACTCTGTGTTGTCCTAAATTGAACTGCTCATCTGTTTTCTGAAGTTATTTGACCTCTTTACTCTTTTTATTGAAATGACTCTGGGTTCAAAGGCTGAGGAGTACTCTAGCCTTTTCATAAACTCTGTTACCAAATATCAAGTACTTGAGCTCATTCGCCCTTTCTAGCTAATGCTACCTTAGTTCCAATCTATAAAATTGCGATAGTCTCTGGTGGTATAGACTTTAGGTTTAAACTTCTAAGATTCAGCCTCCAGAAAGAAGTTATCTTCTCACTTCTCTGCTTAAGATTCTTCAGTGGCTTTTCCTTTCCATAAGGTTCACACATAGGACACAAGGGTTCACAACGCCATTATTCTCAACTCTCCAGTTGAGAATATTTTTTACAACCCCTGTTCTAATCTTATAGAACTGCTAATGTGCTCCCAAACGTCTAAGTTACTTCTTGACTTTGTACCTTTTTTTACAGACCTTCTATCTGTTGGGAATGTTGCCTTTTCCCCTCAAAACTCAGTTGCATACCCCCCCAAAAAAGAAGAAATTATATGTTGCCTTTTCGATATTCACTATATTCTTAAAGATGCTTGATAATACCTTCATAAGAAAAATTATTACACAAAAAGGTTCTCCTAGCATGCTTACTAGTTTTACAATCATTTATGCTAATTTTATTCATTGAGTTCATTAATGGTTCTTTGTAACTGTGGATTTGTTCAGATAACAAAAAACAAAGATGTAAGGTTCTGAAAAATCTTATCCCACTGGTTAGTATATACCACTTCCATATTTAAATCTGTATCTAAGCAAAATAATGACTGGACAGCAGTTGTTATCTGATTTAGTCTGTTTTCTACACTAATCCTCTGGTTCTGGACCCTTTTTACATATCCTGAACTTACATTTTTCTTAAAATGTGCTGTCTATGATTCGTTACTAATTGATCCAATTTTTCCTTTAAGAATTTCTTTCAATTGTTGGCATTTAAAACAATGAAGGAAAATGTTCTTTATTTTATTGAAGTAACATTACATTATAACACTGTATTAAGTTTCAGAGACATGCATTGTTGAGGAACAATATGTGTAATTTAATGAATACTATTTTAACATGTAGAGACTAAAGAAAGATCGAGAAGGCATATTATTCTCACTTTGTCATTATACATGCATGTTTAGAAAATTAGATTGAGTAGATACTTGAAAGGGAAAATAACTAATTGGCATTATAAAGGTCACTTTTTAGTGTCCTTTCAAACTAATTCTTAAGGAGGTGGGAAAATATTTTGTCAATTAGAGTTCAAATAACCCATTAAAGCATAAAATTTTCAAAAGGACATTGCTGTAAGAACCAAATTTTTCAAGAATATATTAGTGAGTTCTTTCTTATGTTTATAAATTACTTCCTTTTTTATATATGTGATAAAACTGAGCCTTAGTCTACAACTAGTTTTTGACAACTTTCTCATTTGTATGTAAAGGAACTGTGGCTGCTGCAGCGGGTCTTCACCCTGGACAGTGTATTATCAAAGTAAATGGAATCAATGTCAGCAAGGAAACACATGCCAGTGTCATTGCACATGTGACAGCCTGCAGGAAGTACAGGCGACCCACGAAGGTACATTGCCCTCCAGCCAACTTGCGAACATCCTAGGGGCAACATAGGACAGTGACAGACATACTTTTGGTTTCCATTTTTAGGTGCACATTTAACCTCAGAATTATAAATCTGAGAGTGATTATTTTAGCTGCATAATTAATTATAATTGTTATACATAGTTGTACTTAATACTATAGTGTCATCACCTGTTTAAAGAGTGTTCCAGGTTATTTTTACTTTCACTGTGTTGTGAGTTTTCACATTTTGAACTCCTAGGGTTTAAGCTGATTTTTAACCCTACAGATACTCTGAAATCCGTGATGGTCATCATGAATCTGTCTACATACATGGATCACAAATATTTACATAATTTCTTACAAGATTTCTCGGGGGGAAAATGTGGGGTTATAGTATCTGTAATTGAGTTTGGAATATGTTTATTTAGGTAAGTGGATTTAGCTCTTAAGAGGAAACATCAAATTGTATTTGCCATTACAAAATTTTAAAAACTCTCCTCTGATCCGAATTTCAAGTGCCATAGAAAAGTAAAATTAGATTCCTAATTTTAAGCAGAGCTTATTATCTCATGAGGTACAAGTGAATATTGGAAAAGTCTCTCAAATTAATCAACGAAATACCAAAGGAATATTAAAGGAGAGGCTTTGTGTTTTTTGCTATTATGAATGGTGAACTACTTTCTTTTGGATTTGAGAATATAATGTTTTGGGACAATCCAGAAAGGTGAATCTATTTTCTTAAGCACCAAAAATGATATCCTGTAATGTATCGATCCTTGAATAGAGAGTTGTTCAGATTTCCTTACAAATTAGGTCATACTAGCCTAGCAAATCAGATTTCATACCAAGGTGCATAGGTTTTTCTAGTTGATAGCAGTTGAAATAAATATTTGCTAAATTCTTAGATGAATTTTCACAAAGACATTTCTGAAATTATCAAATGTTTCACCTTCTCTAGGAGTTTTAACAAGTTGACACATTGATTTAATTTATATCTTTTATTTTCCCTGCCTGCCTTCTTAAAGAGGTATTAATCAGTGGACTAATAAAGAAAAACGGTAAATGAACAAGAAAAAAAATCACTAAGCGATTAACATGCTGTAGCAGTTTTTTTTTTTTTTTTAAGATTTATTTATTTGTGCATAGAGAATTGGGGTACAGACCAGATGTGCAGGGGTAGTGAGAGGATTCACCAGAGACAGAGAACAGGCATATCAACAAAGTACACTGCTGAGGGGAGCAGTGGGTGAGATATGAGAGGTCTGCTGTGCTGTGTGGGTCACCTCTAGGGCCAGGGGTTGAGCTTACAGTGCTGTGTTGTAATACTTTGCAACCAGGGAGGGTTCCCCCAGATTATTTTAATGATGAGGTGTTAATAAAACTTTTAATGATGTATAGCATAAGTTTTAAACACAACTGTAAAGTTAATACAAGAGAAAAATGGATACTATACTTATGTCACACTTCAAGAGTATAAGTCAATGCATCATGTTAGTTAGTAAAAATTATGTTTTAATAACAGCAACTCTGAAAGCGTTTATTTGGTTGCTGTTTTATCTCTCTTTTATCTAAATAATTGGATTTAATATTCCAATTAAAATACCAGTTAATCTATGCCATGAAAGGGTTAAAAAGTAGTTGGGGACTAAGACTAAGAAAGACTTCTTTCCAGTGTTCATGTTGGTTTGATTCAAAAAAAGCACTAAAATGTTCAAATCTATGTGTTTCTTAGAGAATAAATGTACAATTATAAGTAATCTGTTCATCAGGAGACTGTCCATCTAACATTTTTTTTATTTTAAAATGAAGTTATTAAAGTACGTTTGAGGTATTTAAATTATACATTTGGAAAGTAAGTCTTATTTAATATCATCTTTGGAAAACTACTTTAGACTTTAAAAAAAAAAACAATTTAATTGCCATTGATTTTTTTATTAGATTCTGATGTTGATTATTTTCTCTTTTAATTTTCCTATTTTAAACGGAAAGCCTAAATAAGCTAGGCTTATTTCATTATGCACTAATTTGCACTAATTGCTTTCCCCCACTCATTTCCAGCAAGACTCCATACAGTGGGTGTATAATAGCATTGAGAGTGCTCAAGATGACCTTCAAAAGTCTAACTCCAAACCCCCAGGAGATGAAGCAGGGGATGCTTTCGAGTGCAAAGTAGAAGGTTGGGTCCTTCTTTTTCTCTTCATTTGCTCAGAGTATTCTGTACCAATGTGCCTATGTCTACTTGAAATTATCTCCTATTTCTTATGTTCACTTTACTTCCTGAAACCATTATAACCAAATAAATGTTATGTCTAGTGATAACTTTAATAACTAGCAACTAATGTATTCTCTTTGTTAGACATGAACATTTTGCAAGGATTATCTTGTAAAGTCATCCCCAAAAAATCATAAAGAAGGTGATTATCATCTTCGTTACAGGAGCAGTAATTGGGCCTATGAAGGTTAAGAGTCTGATCCAAGTTAGTGTTAGAATGAGAATTCAAACCCAGATTATAATGTTTCTGTGTGTTGAGTTTAAGTGTTGTTCAGATCCCCCAGTCCTGTGTGAGTCACAGATGGCAGTGTCATCATCACGTGGGAACAAGACAGAGTTGCAAAATCTCAGCCCCAGTCCCTAGCACAGCACAGAACCTCCATTGTAATAAGATCTGACCTATGTATATATTAAAATTTGAGAAGCCTTTTTAGAAGTTCCGTAGTTCCTTTGAAAATAATTTCTTGATTCAAGTAACGTTTATTGTCTAACATTGGCAAGAATGAGAGGCAAACTAATGATGTGAGAATGAAAGATAGGGAAAAGAGCCTTATCTTTGATAAGGGCTTGTCTTTATTTTCTCAGGGCAGCAAACCAGCAAATTGCTGTTTTTAGTTTTGTCTTTTTATTTTTTTTTTTCACCAAATGGGGAGATACTAAGGCAATTACATTTATGTTTGCATTTGACAAATACCTTGAATTATTGTTTTAAAACTTCTTCACAAAAGTCCTGAGTCCTCTCATATTTTCCTGCACTCACTTTTCCAATGATACTATTGGTGGGTGTCACTGGGCATTTTTTTTTTTAATTTATGTATTTATTTGAAGATGTATTTATTTATGCTCATAGTACTGGGGGACAGGCCATAGGTACAGAGGCAGTGTACCTAGCAGTGAGAGGATTCAGAGACAGAGTGGGGAACAGAACAGGCAGATCAATGAAGTACGCCACTGAGGGGAGACATGGGCAAGACAGGAGGGGTCTGCTGTGCCATGGGGCCTGGGATCAAACTTGTACTGAAGAGGCTGTGGCTAGCTTGCAGTGCTGTGTTCTAACCTGCTGCACCACCAGGGAAGGCCTCTGAGCATTAAAAAATATATATATTTATTTATGCATATAAGAACTGGGGTACAGGCCAGAGATGTAGGGGCTTAGAAAATCCATCAGAGATAGAGGGGAGCAGAACAGGCAGATCTACTGAAATACACTGCTGAGGGTAGCAGTAGGCTAGGTAGGAGAGGTCCGTTCCCTGGCTGGGGATCGAACTCATGTGTAAATGGCTGGGGATAACCTCACAGTCTGTGCTTTAATCTCTACACTACCAGGAGGACACTTTTATATACTATCAATATTAAGATTTTTCCAAAACAGCTGGAGAATTTCCTATATACCTTGATCGTGGGGAACATAGAACAAGTTGTATTGCATCCAGTCATGGGAAGCCACTTGCTAGGATCCACTCAAAATATAGACAATATTAGAAATATTTCAACCTCTTTGGAGCAACAAGTTTATAATTCTCTGATTCTCATATTTAAAACAGGATAAATCTTAGGACCTTATCCTGAGGCTTTTATTCCTCACTTGGAATTAGATTTTGCTAATTAGCACTGATGCCACTCTGAGAGTAGGTTGCTGTGCTGCTCTGAAAATTGATTTCTAGCTATTCTGAGACTTCATTATTTTATAATAACTTATTCTGCTTTTCTCTATTTTATTTTTACTATTTGTAATATTCTAGGACATAAATGTTTACAGTAAACTAGTCTGTTTCATTGTTTAATATTAACTAATTGGTTTTTGACCAATTTCTTACATGAGGTTACAGGAGTTTTTCCACCAGCTGACTGGAGGTCACATAGTTGTATGGGAAGACATTCCAGAAGCTAATGCTGGTGTAGTGAATAATGACATCTCAATGCGTTATCTCAATAATATGTTCTTTGAGAAAACTCAGGCACCCATTCTGTTTGAAAAATGATTATTGCATCTCCTTTATCAAAATAACATTCTGTATTTTTCTGCTTTAAGAAAATATTCATCCATTGTTTGAGACCGTTGGAAATCCTCAATTTAAGTCATACATTCTTTAAATGAGATAACTATAAAATTGTATGTTTAATGTTTCTATTGATTTAAATAAACATATGTTCACAGATCAAAAAGGATGTAGAAAGATAGGACTATAAGAGTGGTGTGATTTGGGTCACTCAAACTAGATTTTGTTAATTTTTATTTTTTTATTCATACAGAACTGGGGTATAGGCCAGAGGTGCAGGGGTGATGAGAGTAATCACCAGAGACAGAGTGGGGAGCAGAACAGGCAGATCGACAAAGTACACTGCTGAGGGGAGCAGCGGGCGGGTCAAGAGAGGTCTGCCATGCCATGTGGTCACCTCCGGGGCAGGCAGGATCGAACTCATGCTGAAGTGGCTTTAGCTTCTTAGTGCTGTGCTTTAATCCGCTGCGCCACCAGGAAGGGCCCAATGTTATTCTTTTTTTAATGTTAACAAAAATAGTTTCATCACTTTGCAAGTTGGATTTAGTCATCTTTTAAGAAACTTTTAAACTGACTTGAAATGATAACTTGTTTGGAGAGCCTAACAAACCCTTCATCAATTTGCTGAATTTAAATTGTCTTTATTCCAGAAGTAATTGACAAGTTCAACACCATGGCCATCATCGACGGGAAGAAGGAGCACGTGAGTCTGACCGTGGATAACGTCCACCTGGAATACGGAGTGGTGTATGAGTATGATAGCACAGCTGGGATAAAGTGCAATGTGGTGGAGAAGATGATCGAACCCAAAGGTTTCTTCAGCCTCACTGCCAAGGTCTGAGCAATCCGGGGAAAACAGGGTTCTTGTTCTGGTTGAAGCCACTGAAACCTCTTCCACTATAAAAACTGTAAATGATCACATACATTGCAGCTGTCAGGACCTTCAGCTTTTTGTTTGTTTGTTTTTATCTCCTCCCATTCCTCAGTGTGGGTGCACTTCTATTCATTGTTCTCTTCGGGAGCACAGTGTTAAGTTAGATGGGATTCTTGCCCAGCCAAATGTTAGTTGACTTGCCAAGGGCTTCACTACATCTAATACGTTTACCACCTTTGTTGATTGAGTATCATGGACATATTCAAGATTTGTTTTTATGACGGGTGGTTCTATTTAAACATTCCTAATCTTTTGAAGAATATTTGAAATTCTGCAAGTCTCATGTTTATTACAAAGCTGGGAGATCAGTTTATAAACAGGTCCCCAAACATTTATATAATTACTTCTTAGTTGATACATGACTCATACTTAGTCTTTAGACTGTAGGCACAGTGAAGAGAAAATAGGAGTCTTCACCAAATGGATAAAACATGTGGTAAGAGGTGACCTCTACTTGTTTTTCATGATCCCTGCACAAGGAGAATCAATCAGATTCCTACTGAATGACCTTCAGATCTGGGCCTTTGTGTTTCATGTGCTTTTATATCACCCTGTGAGAATTGAGGTATTACAAGTAGGAAATATGAACTATAGCTTTACTGCTTTTATTTCTTCATTTTAATTCTTTTTTCATATGTATGGTTGATTTAGATTTAACATTTATACCACACATTTGAAAAATTTAGTGAGAAAAAGTAATAGAGATCCAGGTGAACTATTTAAAAAATAATTGTTGTATATCTTTGGTTTATATTCTGAAAGTCAATTTAAAAATTTATCATTCTAATGACGTCGTACCATTGTGATTATCAACTGAACGCACCACTGAAAGCTTGGGCTTCTCCTGCCTGCCTTTCCTCCACCGCCCCCTTCAGGCCTAGATCTTGTGGGAACTGGGCAAGACTAGGGAGTTGTACTTGGGCTTAAGAGCAGCTACCTCAGTCTCGGCCTTCTGTCTTCAGTGGGCGGCCTGGGCCCTCAGTGCCGGGGGCCTGGCGTGGGGCCAGGAGAAACTGCTCCCTCCCCAGCCAGGGGCAGGTTTGGGTCTGGGTCAGCTTCTTATACCTCAGATGTTCTGTTTGCAATAAATTCCCTCTAGCCAAAAAAAAAAAAAATTTTTTTAATGCAATCCCCTCCCAAATGCATTATATTATTAAAGGTATCCACACAAAGACTTTATAACTCTTTTCTTTCATTTTTTAGCTAATTCAAATTTGCATACTTACATGGATTATTTTATATATGACAATTGCTTAAGCTAATATTGCAAACAAAAATCTATTTTACAGATAAGCAAAGTCAAAGAAATTAAGAAAATTTAACCAAGATCATACTGCTAATGATAAAATTAGTTCTAATTTTGAGACTAGTTATTAAACAAAAAACTCACACTCTGTTCTGTAAGACAGAAAGTTGGAGCAGAAGCTCAAATAAATATAGTGTCTGTATATACATTGTATTGCTCACAAATACTATAAAAGTGTGTGGTCGGAGTATAATCAATCATTGTGCTCTTTAAGTAGTCATAAATGCTAAATATAAATATGACACAATTAATTAATTCTCAAAACCTTGGAAATTCTTAATGACCCATGGTGTTCACACACATACACACACTGTCTACCAGTTGATTCCAAATAGTCAAGGGGATTTAGTAATTCAATACATCATATGGGTGCTTTGATCTGATAGAGCTCAGATATTGCATGTAACATTGACTTTTCCATTAGTTAAAGAACTTTCCATTTATTCATCTCTTCAGCAACCATTTGTTAAATGTCCTCTCTGTATTGGACTCTTAGTAGCTGACAGGGATGTTGCTGTATTGGTTTTCCTTACATTTCTTTTTCTACTACCAAACTGAGAAATGAATGTGCTGAGTGTCTCTTACTATGTGCAGGTGATGTTTTCCCACATCACACAGTATCTATTTAGCCAACAGTCTTTGAAGTCCTATCACCTCTCTCAGGATCATTTGTAGATAACACAAAGCAAGTCATGAGGAGCTAAAGACACAAGTCTATTGCTTTGCTGCCCATGTTTTACTGAAAATCTAAACCCCAGGTGTCCCAAGAAGCACAGTGGGTCAGTTACCCCATGTTGTGTATTTGGTTAATTTTAACAATTTTATTTTCTTGTTTTGGCATCTGCATTTTGTGTTTACCACTACAGATTCTTGAAGCCCTGGCTAAAAGTGATGATCATTTTGTACAAAACTGTACCAGCTTTAACTCTTTAAATGAAGTAATTCCTGCTGATCTTCAAAGTAAATTCAGTGCCATTTGCAGTGAAAAAATTGAGCATATACGTCAGAGAATATCCAGTTACAAGAAGGTAATGGTTCTTTGTAGCTATAATATATGATTATTATTTTTTATATATATATATCAGGGTTGATTCATCACTTTAATCACTTGGCCACCTCATTTACTCAAAATTTAATTCAATGCCTGCTATTTTCATTACACATGTGTTACATACCAGTATATTGAAGTAGTAACATTTATATAAATTTTAATGTTTTTACATCTTTGAGATTTGCAAACCTATAAGCTAAGCAATAATATTTTCCAAATGTAATAACTGAGGCCTAATAATTAAATTACTTGCCAGTCAAAAGGGGGGTTGAAATTTAAAGTAACGTGTTACTTTAACATTTAAATTACACTGCAGTTATTCTTTCCCTTTTCTCTCAACAAAAGGGACTGAACCATCAGTCAGAACCAACCATCAGGCATGTTTCAGTACATGACACACATAGACTAAATCTATTGATTGATTCACTCATTTGATATGTACTTATTGAACAACTTCCATGTGCCAAGCACTGTTATTGTTGCCAGAACTATGGTTCTAGAGGAGAGGTGTTTTTTTTTTCTCGCATGGTGCTTTTATATGAAGGAAGTAGCAAAAGAGTATCTAAGTCTTTACAATGGTGTAAAACTAAATATTGAAAAATGTTAGGAGGGAATAATAATTGGGAAATAAGATGGGAAATGTTAGACTGGATGGCTTTAGAAAAAGCCTCTTTGCGGGAGCTTGTATCTGAATGATTGGTAGAAATTTCATTTATACTGGAGTAGACAACCTCCAGGTAGATGAAGTGGCTAGGACTGAGGTCCCATAGCAAAATGAAGGCGTGAATGGCAGGGGGAGAGTGGCCAGTCATGGTCAGAGGTTTATGCAGTTTGCAGTCATGGAGAGCTAGGAAGTCTGCTACAGTTTGGAACTTTGGAGGGAGTTTGGATTTTCTTCTAATACCAATTAAAAGCAACTGGAAACTTAAACAGTGACAACTGCATTTCATTTAGGTTTTAAAATGTGTTGGCTTCTCTATAAGAATGATTTGTAAAGAGAGGTGAGTGAAAAACTATTACAATAATCAGGTGATAACTTATATTATGGTGAAGATGAAAGACAGATAATTAAATGGGTTTGTGATTGTGTTTTAGAAGTACAGTTAATAGAAATTGATCTCCAAAACATATCCTACAGCAGGTTTTGTTTTATATTTTTTTTTACACAGTAGGACATCAGATTATTAAATTATTTCTCTTAAAATGAGAATTGTTGCTTACATTTGATACAGCTACTACAAAATCCTATTTATCTCAATATTTGTAAGTTAACTGAGTATGTTTTATGCTCCTGGATAGTAATCAAAAATTAGTCTAATAATATTCAGATGAATCTATGTGTAGATAAGAAAATGTCTGAATGAGTGTTCAGTACACTGTTACCTTAGGTAGAGTCAGATAAGGGGAAGAGGCATTGGTAGTTTTTGCTTCAGGAACTTCTGATAATCTTTTAAATAAATTGAATACATATTGTTGTTGTAATTTTTATAAGTACCTGTATATACAGAAAATGACATTCAGGATTGCTACTTACCTTTCACATCAACTCATTCTTTCTTTGGTTGCTCAGTTCACCTCTCTGAGTTCAGAAAGATGCCATGAATGTCTTGTTAAACTGGAAGGACTAATGATTCTCTTTTTACTTGTCTTTTCTCTATCAGATGTGACAGTGCTTTGAAATAAAATTTAAAAACCTATAAAAAAATGTATTTCCCATTTGAGCACATTTTGAAGCAGAGAATCATCCTACTTCAGAGATAAGAGCTATGTGTTTCTGGTTACCTGTCTCATTGAACTTGCACTGAAGTGTCTGTAACCAGCTTGCAGTGCTGCGCCCTAACCCATTGCATCATGGCAGATATTTTTTTTTTTTTGAAAGATTTATTTATTTGTGCATACAGAACTGGGGTACAGGCCAGAGGCTCAAGGGTGGCGAGAGGCTTCACCAGAGACAGAATGGGGAGCAGACAGGCAGATCGAGGAAGTACACTGCTAAGGGGAGCAGTAGGCGGGTCAGGAGAGGTCTGCCACGCCATGTGGTCACCTCCGGGGCAGGCGGGAATCGAACTCATGCGGAAGTGGCTTTCGCTTCTTAGTGCTGTGCTTTAACCCGCTGCGCCACCAGGGAGGGCCCGGCAGATATTTTTTAATGTTAATGAAAACCGATAGCATAGGTCAAAAACTCAATTTCATGAAAGAAAATGTTGTGGAATGGGGCAAGAAAAAATACTAAATACATGCTTCTTGCAATGGAAACTTAAGTAGACCTTAAAATGTCAGTACATGAAGTAAGTGATAATAATATTTACTATTTCATCTACTATGAGTTGCCCCAGTAATGATTGCACATGCTGGCCCTCATTCCTGGTTTTCTGGTAGTAAAGTAGCACACACCAGTTTGTGGCAATTTATTACCAAGCATAAGGCATTTCATAGCATAATTTACATTTTCATATATTGTATACTCTTACCTACAGAGTGATAGGATATATACATTGATAAAGTGACCAAAACTCAGGGGACTCAAGTAAGTTGCTCAAAGGCACACAGATGGCGACAGTGGTGTACTTTGAGTTTGCTCCCTTATAGTCTATTTGTTCACTTGTCCATTTCTGCTTTAAAAGCTTCCTGGGATCCCACTGGGAGTGTTAGTAAGCTGTCTTTTCTACCTGTGGACAGGCAACTTAATGTTGTTCAGGGCTCTGGTAGAAGCCTGGAAGATAGAAAAGGACCAGTACATGCTTTGTGTAGAATTTAAAATTTATGTGGATTTATGAGAATTTTTTTATTGAATGAAGAAAGCCTCATTTCTTGGCTTCTAACAAAAATACAGTTTGAGGAGTGTGTGTTCAGCTGGATTAGAAACATTTGGTGTATTTCCACAGATACATTGGGGATTGCCCAAAATTTCCTGATAGGAAGTATCTTTCACTGATTCTGCAGTAACTGCACAGCTTTTAATGCAGTGATTTTAGATGATAAACTATTGATGAGTTTTTGAGATCTCTTTTATGTACATTATTATTGTTTGATATGAAAATAGCACCTATACTGAATACGTAGTATCATGCTTCTTTCCCAAAGAAATTAAGAATTGAGTTAAGGCCGGGCCTTCCCTGGTGGTGCAACAGGTTGGAGCAGAGCGCTGTGAAGATGGCCATGGCCTCTTGAGTGCAAGTTCAATCCCTGCCCTGGAGGAGATCCACATGGTGCAGCAGACCTCTCCTCTCTCTCCCGCTGCTCCCCTCAGCTTTGTACTTAGTCTGCCTGTTCTGCCCTCAACTCTGTCTCTGAGGAAACCTCTCACCGCCCCTGCACTTGTGGCATGTACTGCAGTTCTGTATGCACAAATAAATAAATCTTAAAAAAAAAAAAAAGAATTAAGGTCACAATGCTGGCAATTAACAAACTAGATTTCAGTCCTATGGAGAATTATCTCACTTCTATTTTCAATATAGAAATAAAGTGAAACATCATAGTCAGTCATATAGGACCTCAATGCTTCAAAAGCTGCTTTACCCTATGTCTCTTTTTGACCATAGACACATTTAGAATAATTGAGTTCTCTTTAGATAGAGCAACAAAGTTAGCAAAAACTATTTTAAGTATCTTCTCTTTTGGAACAAGAATTAAATTTCTGAGATAATAGCTTTAAAAGGTCATAGAAGGTTATCTCTATTTATGTATCAGTGAATGTCAACAGAAATGGTAGCATTTGTGAATATATGTATTTTAATTTCCACATATTTACTTTTAAACTATTATTAGCAGCATATTTGTCTTTTAGATGAAGGCTTCAAGCATTCCTCTTTCTGTAAAATAAAATGTATCCATAGAAACTGAAATTTCAAAGAGGCTGGGTTTCCTCTCTTTTGACTCTAATAAAAGTTTTAAGTTTTAAAAATAGAAATGTGTTGGTTTCGATACTTTCTATAGCCAGACTGTTGCAATCATAATGGACTTCCTGGCTAGTGGTACAGGCCACAGATGTTTTTAGGCACATGTCTGAGGTAAGTTCTTATCTTACTGGGGCTTCAATGAAACTTAAGCCAGCATTTATTCTTGTGGAGTAGTGTGTGGGGGCTGTCCAGATATAAAACTATGTACTGTTTGGAGGATCTCTCTTACTGTAAATTTTGTCTAGAAATATTTTATTCTAGATTCATTTTTCGGTTTTAGAATAATTTCATCGTTTGGCTTATTTTGGATATTGGGGATACTTCCTCAATGTAAATATTTAATGAGCTTTAAGATAGTTCCTGATTTCATAAAAATGTTACATGTAGGAATCAAACTGTTATTTTCAAGATTCCAGGAAGTTTCCTTTAGTTAGTATTGCCACATACTTTTATAATGATACATGGATTAGCAAATGTGTGTATGTAAACCTTCTCCCTTTACCCTTCCCCCTGAGATAAAGTTTTTGTAACTACCTGTCAGTGAAATCTCATACCTTATTGAGATCAGAGACTACCTAGAAAATAATAGCTTATCTTTATTATTATTGATTTTCAGTCTAACAGCTATAGATTTAAATGTATTGTCATGCTGAATAATCATGAATTAGCATATAATGCATTAAAAACCTGAAGTTCCATTTCTAAGAATTGTTTATTTCTCTCAATATACAAATATATTGTGATTCACCTATTTTAAATTTTATTTCCCTTGACCTCTCATACTTTTCTCCACCACTTGTTATATTTCTTTGATCTCTGTTTTAGGAAGAGTTACCTTTACCTCCTTTCCAACTATACATGTCTCACCTTTCATTCTCCTCAATTCTCCTGTCCACTCTATGGAACTTAAAATGGCTTTGGGGGGGGGAGGTCACCAATGACCTGTATTTTCCCAGATCTCAATAGATATTATCTTAATTTATTCCTTGTCTAATAGCATTGATGTGGTGACTTTGTACCTCTATTTAGTAGTTTTTTTTTTTTTCACACGAACACACTCACATATGTATCTAAAATAATTAGTTGTCTTTTCTTGTTGGTGAATTATTAACATTATCCTAGTGGCTCTTCTTCTCTCTTCAACCTTGTCTTGTGGTAAAGATGGCCTATGTAGGAGTAAGTATGACAATGAGGGAAGAAGAACTTTCTCATCACTCTGATCAGTGTATGTACTAAGACATAGTGAAGCACAGGTGTGTGAGAGGAACTGAGTGATGACCAGAAGGAGGAAGGCCAAGTGAACTTGAGCTTAATGAAACAGGTGCTGGCCAGACTTTGGGCAACAGTATAGACCATGGCAAGAATTAGGTAGTTTTTTTTTTTTTTTAAAGATTTATTTATTTATGCATATAGAACTGGGGAACAGGCCAGAGTTATAAGGGGTGAGAGAATTCACCAAGGACAGAGTGGAGAGCAGAACAGACTGATGGACAAAGTATACTGCTGAGGGGAATAGTGGGCAAGACAGCATAGGTCTGCTGCTCTATGTGGTCACCTCCTGGGCTGGGGATTGAACTTGTTCAGAACTGGCTGTGGCTACCTTTGCAGTGCTGTGTCCTAACTAGTTGTGCCACCAGGGAGGGCCCAGGATTAGGTTAGTTTTAAAAGAAACCCATTATAAAGTTATAAACATTAGAGTGGATGCATTAGAAGTTGTGAAAATTCTCAATGGTTTGATAGCAGAGTCCATACCAATCTTTGGACTGATCCTGACCCAAGGGTTCAGTGGTGATTAGCAAAAGGCGGGGAAGATACGGTTGGGTTTGCCTTTTCTCTGGCCATTTTTGAAACAGGAGAGTTCTGCTGACATCACTTCATTGTCCAACTGGTTCTTACATTGTTTGGAGTAATATCGTCTTCTACTCTCACTGATGCCACTCTACTGTGCCACCATGCGACTCTTTAAAGATTGAATTCCTATTTTGGTGTCCTAGGACGCTAATTAATCTTTCAGCTGCTAAGAGACTGTGGATTGAGTCCTACCTATTAAGTGATACTGGTCATTTAATATAATTCACTCTAGCTCTTAGCTTGCAATCAGAATTTCAAAGGAATCATAGATGTTTGCCACCTCTCACCTTACTTTATTTAGAATGTGTGGGTTTTAAAGTAATTAAATTTCTAACAACTTGTAATTTATTTCACTCCTTCCAGTTGGCATGATTTAATTTTCTTTTGATTTTTGCTATGAACAAGGGAGGTGAAATGTTTGACTTATCTCTGTGTTCAACTGCTTTTATTTCTTTTTAATTTACAGTTTTCTCGTGTGCTAAAGAATAGAGCTTGGCCCACATTTAAACAAGCCAAATCTAAAATCTCCCCACTGCACAGCAGTGATTTCTGTCCAACCAACTGCCATGTCAATGTGATGGAAGTTTCTTATCCCAAAACATCAACCTCCCTGGGGAGTGCATTTGGTGTTCAGTTGGATAGTAGGAAGCATAATTCTCATGATAAAGAAAATAAATCTTCTGAGCAAGGTAAGATGGCTTCTTAAACTTTATCAAATCACGGAGAGTAATTTATGTAATCATACCTATTCCGGTATCCTTGAAATCTGATAGCAACTCTGAATTTAATTTAAAAAGTGCTTCTACACTATAATCAGTCGATAGTTTGTCAAAGTGTTTAAATAATGACAGTGGAGTATAGCACTTTTGCAATTTTTCCTGTTAGAAAGTTTTTGCCTTCCTTAGTTGTGTGATAAGCACAGCTCATTTTGCTGTGAAAATCATCAGTGTGCAAAAGCTTTATCACTATGAGAAATGTATAGAGGAGCAGAGATGCCTAATGTCATTCTTAAGCAGCATCTTAGGACATGGGATCCAACTGTGTTCTGAGCTTTTAATCACAACTCTCCCATAAACTTTATTTCAAAAAATTTAACAATTGTAATTGTTAATGAAAGCTCTATATGAGATTAGATTATTCCTGATTAGGTTTTGTTCTTTTTTTTCTCAGTATTGCTTTGTCTATTCAGGGTCTTTTCTGGTTCCATGCATATTTTGTAATGTTTGTTCTATTGTTTGTTCCACTTCTGTGGAACAATGCCACTGGAATTTTGATAGGGATTGAATTGACTCTGTGCACTGCTTTAGTAAGGTAACAATTTTAATAATGTTGATGCTCCCAATTCATGAGCAGGGATTCTGATTTTTATATCTTCTATTCCATTTAACAATATATTAAGTTCTCAGTGTATATTACTTTCACTTTGTTAAGTTTATTGTTAATCTTTTGTGGGGATACAATTATAAACATCATAGTTTTCTTAATTTCCCTTTTTTCAGGTCCATTGTATACAGAAACACAGCAGATTTTCGTATATTGACTTAGTAGCCTGCTACTTTACTGTACTCATTTACACTTTGTAGTAACTTTCTAAGATTTACTTACTTATGCATATAAGAAGTGAGGTACAGACCAGAAGTGTGGGGTGAGAGGATTCACCAGAGACAGAGTGGGGGAGCAGAACAGGTAGATCTACTGAAAATACTGAGCAGAGCATCGGGCGAGACAGGAGAGGCCTGCTGTGCCATGTGGGTCACTTCCCTGACTGGGGATCAAACTTATGCTCCAGTGGCTGCAGATAGCTTCATAGTGCTACACTTTAATCATTTGTGCCACCAGGGAAGCCCTGTAGTAACTTTTTATTGCTTTCCCCAGTGGCTTTAATTCCTGAATTTAATTTATCATAGGGTTGGAATTTTGTTTTATGTAAGCTTAGAACTCTGAAATGAATTGTACTGGATTATTATTGTTAAGTTAAAGGCAGTAAATATTACTTTGGAATGTTTTTAATTCCTCAGGTAAACTGAGCCCTATGGTGTACATTCAGCATACAATTACAACCATGGCAGCCCCTTCTGGTCTGTCTTTGGGACAGCAGGATGGACATGGTCTCTGGTATTTGTTAAAAGAAGAAGACTTGGAAACTCAAGATATCTATCAGAAACTACTGGGCAAACTTCAGACTGCCCTGAAAGAGGTGGAGATGTGTGTTTGTCAAATAGATGAGTAAGTATTTTTATTTACTATGCTTCTAAATGTAACCATTAAAATAGCTGTAGGTAATGTGATTACTGAACCTCATCTTTTTTTTTTTTAAATGGGGTGATCGTTTTTGTTGACCACATAGATCCTATTCCTCACGGAGGGCCCCTTCAAATTCTTAAAAATATAAAATATGACAAATATATGTAGATAGATATTTTAAGGAAACATTTAATAATTGTGGAAGAGAATGACAAAATTAGATCTTCTAGAAAACACTTAAGTCTCATAGCAAAGATATTATTAAGCTGAAAATAGAATTGAATAGCATTAGAATAGAATAGAAGAGAATAGCATTAACTGTGTTGGAATATCTTTCTAGCCTTTATAGAATAGAGCATTATAATTGGTGTATATGCATTTAATAGATGCTCGTGAAAATATAAAATATAAAAAATCTTAATTAACATTCTTGTTGTTAAGTAAATGCAAACTGTTTTATCCTAAGACCAGTAATCAATACTTTCTTTTCTTCTTTTTGAATTAGTGTCTTATTAAACAGTTAATAGCTGTGATAATAATTTGAACATTTTTATTAAGAGACGATAGAGAAAGTTAATTAGAACGTTTTAAGATCTCAGCTGATTCTTACTTAAAAAATTGACAGTTGGAGGATTTGCTATATCATGGGATATAATTGTTTTACAGCCAGTCAAGGCAGCTGTAGAATCAAAGCAACATGGGATTTGGGGCAACACGTGTTTAGAGCAGAATTAAAAATAATAACAATTACACATTTTTGGTGAAAATTATAAAAGTTAAAGCAAAAAGCAACCACTATATGGTATCTCACATCACATTTTCTCATCTTTCAAAGGACTGGCATGGGGGTAGAGTCTTAAAGTCCGGTTTTGTTTTACTTTCTTTGTGAAGTTACATAAGATTTAAATTGCTATCTGATGTGTAATGTTTAATTCATGTACCCATCTGCACATACAAGTGCACATGCTCTCTCTCCCCTACTCCTACAGATAATTCAGTTTTGAGTAAAATATTGAGAACATATTCTAAGCTTAAGTTATAATTAAATACCATACTAATGAAGCCTAATTGATATTTACCCATATTTATTCACTTTGAAATATAAAGCGCAAAGCTACCATAGTTAGTTATTTCATTTTTCTAAGATAATCTTTGCATATTTAATGCTTAGTATATTACTTTTTCTGACTTGTGGTTAATCTAAAATTAAAATTCTGTTTTCCTGTGTCTAGTACAATAGTTTGTTTTTGTTTGTTTGTTTAATTTCTTATATTTGGGGTATTGTGACTGCCCCATATACAGATGGATTAAACAGTCTGAGGTTGCTAGGAGAATTAGTGGCTGTTTCTAAGTAATTATAAGATAATATAACTTGTTTTAAAATGATCTGTGCCAGAGAATTTAACATTTTATGATGGTCTATTTTGTTTTCTTTACTAAATTGAATGATATATGTCTCATAAAAAGATATATACATACACACATACATACATACACACACCTTCCATTTTAGAAAGCAGGCTTTATTCCCTTAAATAATTTAAGAAGTGCATAGAGGAAGAATCTTAATTACTAAGGCAGTAAATAATGGCAATAAATCACATATGCTAGCTCTCAGAGGGATTTTAGTAGAACATCTGGACCAATCCCTCGCTTCCAGTTAGACTAAGAGTTATTGCTCCCCTTCTCATATGAGTCGTTAGTCAGGATTATTTATGTGCCCCAGTACAGGCTGCCTTGGGGACTCTCCTCTGAAGCACTGAGTACCCTGCACTGGCTGGCAATGGTCCAGGCTTTGTCTGTCTTTGTTAATATGTTGACTTTTCTTTTGATGTTTGGCCAATGTAGATATTTGCAATCTAGATATTTTTAAGAAAAACAATTGGAGCAAAGGTGCTCCCTTTATTTACAGAAGTAAGTCCTTAAGTTACAGAAAAGAATTAAGGTCGTTTTATTAAACACACCTAAATTCAAATGATCACTTATTTTTGCCTAAGCTACTGACTCTTTTATTCAACCATACATATTTATTTGGAAAGTGGCACAAAATGAGCAAATGATTTTAGAAGCTTCATTGATCTTTACTGTGTGTACCATGTAATTTAATTCTAAATATAAATATGTTCTACATAATTGGATGTGCAATATAATAATTTTAAGATAGTGCCATGGCCCACATGCCTGGATTCTGCAGTTCAGTCGAATTTGACAAAGTATTTTAAAAGCTGGGTACCAAGCAATTTTCTCACCATGTAGTAATTATTCTTGGTCAGAATGGAGGAACATATCACATATGTTTTGCCAAATTTTTAGAGAAATCGCCTCATAGCTTCTCATTGCTAGCCTTGCTAGAAGTCTTCACTCCTGTAAAAAGGACTGTTGCTGAGCTTGTCTCGTCGTAAGTCTGGTTATACAATTTTCTTTAATATGTAAATGTTCTAGTAAACCCTCCAATGCAGTAGGATGTGTGCTACATCATATTCTTATGATTACCGTATTCTTATAATTAGAGAGAAAAGCAAATGTTAAGAAAATCATAAGGTAAGGAAAATATATTTACAATAATGTACTTCTTACTACTCTAAGTTTGTTGTCCGCTTACAAGAAAATCTGCAAATTGATGGAGCCAGGTAGTTCAAATGTGTATTGTTCAAGAGTTAATTCCAAATACTCCCATGGTCCAGTGACTTATATCATGGATATCTAGATATCTGCTTTCTGTACAAGTTTATTTTACCTTCTTCATCATTATATTCACAAAAATCTCTATAGTTTCAAACTTAAAACAAGATTTCTTCCTTACTCACTTTTCATGCCCCTCTGGGACACGGTCTCAGCTTCCCATGATCTTGGCCACAGAGTCTAGGCTGGAGGATCCCCCATTAATTGGAACATCTCTGATTTTCACCTCAAATTGAAGTCAATGAGGCACTTCTAGGTTTCCACCTAGAAGCAACCCTTGTTTCATACCTGACGTTGCATTGGTGAAAGCCAACCCATGGTCATTCCATCCTGACAGCATGGTTAGGGGACAGTCACTTGCCCAGGACAACTGGGATGTGGCAGATACATTGATGACCACATTCCTCCCTCCAGGACTTACAATTATTATTCAGGAGGGGGAATCCTGCTGGACATAGGAAGTTTGTGTATATGCCAGCATCTCACTTACACCATCTTTAAAGAAGGGGTGATTATGAAGTAATTATAATGATGATGACACTAACTTAACCAGGTGATTTTAGAGAATGAGTGAGTGAATATCTATTGTTTACTTAGTGTAGTACATGGCAAAAGAGCTCAACCAACGTTATAGCATTTAAATAGCATTTAAATCTCAATTTAATAGAAAAATATAGATTGATATACATAGTTTAAAAATTCTTAATTGGAGCTAAATTAGAAAGAGATTGACCTGGAATGGCACGCCACTTAGGATTTCAATTGAGTATAGATGAGAAAAAAAGTAGAGAAAAATACTTCTGCATGCACACATATTACTTTAATTTTGCTTTTAAAAATCTGGAAATAGTATGTAAAACCATGGTGTCTAAGTTTTCTATCACTTGTTTGTTAGCCTAATACTTGTCCCCATAGGGTCAGTACAAGCATGATTGCATTTGTAGAAAATAAAAAGCAAATATGTGAATACAATTCATAAAACTTTGAAAAAATGTTTGTTTAGCCCCATGACTTCTAATTTAAAAGATAGATAAAGCACAGAAGACTCCATGCAAAATGAGAACTCCTGTGTCTCTTTCCTCTTTGGTATTCAAAGTGCATCTATCTGTACAGTATGGAGCTTGGGTAATTAGAATTAGCCTAATGTTTTAAGCTTTGGGGTGGAAAGAGTGAATAAAATACACAGTCTGTTTTAAGCAACATAAAATTATCTTTCTAGATAGAAAAAACTACGCTTAAAATTATTCATAGCTTTCAATTACTGAAAGTGGTCTCAGGACCTTGAGCAATTTAACAAGGGTCCTTTGATTTTCATAGGTGCCAAAAATATATAAAAAGCAAAAATATTATTCAAATAGTTCCTGCCAGTGAGACTTTCCCTTACTAAACTATTTGAAGGTGCAGATTCCTTCTGATTTTAGGAATTAAAAAAAAAGGACTTCCTCTTTCCTTTTTAATTTTTCTCCATAGCATTTGTCATGCTTGATATACTGTAGAAGCTTACTTTTTAATTGTGTTTCCCACAGTAGAGTCAAACTCTAAAAGGTCAGGAGCTATTGTTGTGTTGTAAATGTCTGTGTCTACAGCACCAAGAATAGTGTATGGTATAATGAATATGTCTGACAACATAGTGAAATCATTTAACACATCTTTACTCAGGACAGAACATTGGGTTTGGCATAATGGGATGTATATAAATAAAGGATATTTTCATAGTCTTAAAACAATAAAATATAACATTGCTTTAGAAAATGGGTGTTAATATTGGTGCACTTTGTGTTCTTGATGAGAATAGAATGTCTAGGATTTGGTAAATGAGAAGGTGATTATTAGATTTGGTAAATGAGATGATGATTATTAATGCATGTTCCTTAGTTTAGATATAGTTAAATTTCTTCTGCAAGTTTTATAGCATGTTGTTTGATAGTAAAGCCTGATTCCACTTTAAATTTTTGAGACTTTGATTTAGACAATTTAAGTTGAACATTCAAGCCTTCAAATGGTGTAATAAGTGCTACTCAAGTCTGCATCTAGTTTTACACCAGTCTGAAGGTAGCATTTTAGCCTTGCAACAAGTGGAAGAGCCCTTTGTTTGGTCAGATCCATGACATTTCCTCATGACTGTTTGTGGAGGTAACTCCTGGGGCCACCTATTCTGACCTTGTAGGTGCCTCTGTTTAGCATCTTACATGATCACAAAGCCCAGGACTCCTGTTTGTATGAGCAGAGAGAGTGGATGCAGAGCACAATATTCTCCCTGTCAAGCAAAGAAAGTCTGGGAGGAACCTAAGACAGGGATAAATGTGTAGGTGGGTTTTTAATATCTGAAGAGTATACCTGTGAAAATGTTAAAGCACATTTAGAATTTAATATTTGATGGCATTTAAAATTTTCTCAAGTATGTTTCTATGTGGATGATAGCAATGAAATGACTAGGGAAAGAGGGGGTGACCCTCCTTCCAAGAATATGCTCTCATTTCATTCATTATAACCATGGGTAGTTATTATTCTTATTATCCCCATTTCATAGCTTTCTGCCAGAGCTATCGTAGCTTTGTTAACAAATGGCAGAACCAGAATTTGAACACAACTTCTGTGTGTGGTTTCTGTTATTTATTCTGAGAGGGGAAAATGTATTTTGTGTGACAGTTTTTTATGCACTAGGATACTATTTCATGTGACACATGGAAGCAATCTTGTCAGCCTATAATGTGCAACAGGTGAGATTGACCTGTCGCAGCCAGTTTGAAAACATGTGCTTAAAATATTTTTCATATTGTATTGCAGCCTTCTGTCTTCGATAACATATTCTCCAAAATTAGAACGTAAGACCTCAGAGTGCATAGTTCCTGTAGACATTGATAATGAGAAAGGAGAACGAAATAGCAAACGAGTCTGTTTTAATGTAGCAGGAGATGAGCAGGAAGATTCAGGTCATGACACCATCAGCAACAGAGACTCTTACAGGTAATTCATTCATTCTTAAACTCATTTTGCCATCAAAGTCAAATGTGGTTTCCTTGTATTCTGTAAAGTTCTCCGAAAGTTTTTGTGATTGTTTTTGTTTATGACTCTTGCAGTGAAGCACCAACTTTTACCAGCCCCAGACAAAGCATAGTGAGACAGCATAACCTTTCAAATCCTCCTCTTTCTAATTAGAGTAATATGGAAAAAGTATTTTTTCTCCAACTACTTGGACCTCGTTTGGGAGACTTTCTGTTCTCTTACGGATTGTGGAACATGTATAGCAAATAATCAACTTTTTCCAATATGAACTGTACTGGGAGACCCGCAGGAGCCAGGATTGTGTTATCTGAGTTGATCTCCCCAAATCTGAATGGATGGAGCTCAGTGCAAAAAGGGACATATTTCTGATGATTTGACATAATTCAAAATAATCTCAGTAGTAGCATTAATCTTAATGAAAAGTGGAAGTAATTTTTCATGTTTCCAGATCACATGTCAGTAGCATAGCTACATCTTACTGACCTCTTAATCTTTTAAAATATATGATATTTTGAATAATTTTTATTTGGGAGATTTACACCATTCAGTTTTACACAAAGTGTAAATGTATTATCTATATCGTATCATTTCAAATTTATGTAGTTTACAAATGCGATGCCCATGTTTATCTTATTTATAATAATAAATTTATAATTTACAAGTAATGCATATTTTCTTTCCCACAAGTGCCAATATCAGTTATTTTGCTTGCTTTCTTAATCATTTTCTTGAAGTAATCATCACCAGTTTTATTCTTTGAGATGTTAATTAAATGAAAGATATACCTTTACTCTCAAGTTATTACAACATCCCCCTGAAAAAATATGAGTACAGAAGTACGAAGGCATACTATATTTCACATTTTTAAGAAATAGACTATTTGAGTCTCATTTATTATATATGGTTTAGTTTATAATAATCATCAGAGATGATGTCTTTACATTCCGTAGCCAATCTGGGATATCTAACAGTAGATAAAGTATGAAATATAATGTCAGTTAGTGAGATTATTATTATTATTTACTCACAGGAGTAAATAATCCAGTCCAATTCAATCCAGACTTTTGATTCCTACTATTATCTTCACAACTACTGGTTGTGGGGTTTAGAGTTGTTGTAATATATAGCAGTGATGTTATAATTTAAAAAAATAATAAACCTTTATTATCAAGAACCTAGAAATGTAAAGATCTCTTCAGTCTAGGCATGGATATTTTCATGGGCATTTATTATTTTAAAAAGCTCTGTTTTAGCTGTATTGGCTGTCTGGCTGCAGCAGTATAAAAACAGAAACAAAGGAAAAAAGGTTATTTTTTTTTAATTGTTTTAGCATATAGATTAGTATTAATTATCAAGTAATGGGCTAAAGTTTCCTGCCAAGAAGCTGAGGTTTGTGGTTCCTTTAATGAGTATTTTCTTCTCACTGGGTAAAATAAAAATTTTAAAGTTAGGGATTCAGTTTCTCTAACAAAGTATCAAGAATTAAATGGCACAAACAGGGGCCCTCCCTGTTGGCGCAGCGGGTTAAAGCACTGCACTGAGAAACTAAAGCCACCTCTGCATGAGTTCGATTCCCGCCTGCCCCGGAGGCGACCACATGGCGAGGCAGACCTCTCCTGACCCGCCCGCTGCTCCCCTCAGCAGTGTACTTTGTCGATCTGCCTGTTCTGCTCTCCACTCTGTCTCTGGTGAATCCTCTCACCCTCCGCATCTCTGGCCTGTACCCCAGTTCTATACGAATAAATAAATAAATCTTTAAAAAAAAAAATGGCACAAACAACAGAATTTATTATGTTACAGTCTGGAACTAGAAGTCCAATGATTAGGTATCAGTTGTTTGGATCTTTCTGAGACTGAGAGAGAACATCTGTCAGATATCTCTCAGCTTTCGATGACCATCTCTTCTTGTTCTTGAATCTCACACCACTTTCCCCACAAACTTTGTTGTCATCTTTCTAGCAGAGCCTCAGATGATGGCTCTGCCAATCAATTTCCTTAACCAAAAGGCTTACTACTCGCTTGACCCCGGTATCGCCTGAGTCCTCCTTGAGAACTGCTTTGCCTGCCATAAATGCTGTGTGCGTTACTTCTGGATCTTTCATTTCACTTACTTTAATTTAAAACAAAAACTCCCTTGTTGTTTACACAGTAATTTTAAAACTAAAATATATCGAACAAATCCAAAATTATTTTCATCAAACATTTAGCACAAACTTATTTTTACCTGACATGTGGGGTTTCCCATAATCCCAACCACAATCTGATATGGTAGATTCTGATATTAACTCTGTTGCATACAGAAGGCAGAGAAGATACACAGTTAATAATTTACCTAAACAAGCAGATATGCTGGCTAAAAGTTTCTCTTCAACTTTTTGCACAGCAAAATAAACATCACCAAAACAAAGAGACAACCCACTGATTGGAAAACATTTTTGCACATAACATTAATGATAAGGGACTGATCACAAAGGTCCACACGGTGCTGATGAAACTCAACAAAAACAAAGTAAACAACCCAATTAAAAAATGGGCTGAGACACTAAAAAGACATTTCTCAAAGAAGAAATGCAAATGGCCAACAGTCATTACAAATGATGAAAAATATTTAGATCACTTGTAATCTGGGAGATGCAAATCAAAACCATGGTGAGATGCCATCTCACACCAATGAGAATGGCACATACTAAAAAAACTAGCAGGACAAATGTTGGTGAGGATGTAGAGAAAAGGAATTCTCCTACACTGCTGATGGGAATACAAAATAGTCCAACCACTATGGAATGCTGTTCAGAGTTTCCTCAAAATGCTAAAAATGGAGCTTTCATACGATCCAATAATTCCACCCCTAGGTATTTACTTAAAGGGCACAAAAACATTCATTCAAAAGGACATCTGCACTCCCATATTTATTGCAGCACTATTTACAAAAGGTAAGTTATGAAAGCAACCCAAATGCCCTAAAATAGATGATTGTGTCAAGAAGATGTGTGTGCACACGCGAGAACACATACACACACACACACACACAATGGAATATTACTCAGCAATCAGAAAAGATAAGTGTATGCCATTCTCAGTACCATGGATGGAGCTGGAAGTTATTTATTCTAAGCAATGTGACAATGAAAGGAAGTTAATTTCAGATTATAACATTTTTACATCATTTTGTGAAATTAGCCAGAAAGAAAAAGAGAAATGCCAGATGATTTCACTTATAGAGGGAATATAGAGGATCCAAATAAGGGAAAAGAGGAAAAAAGTAATTATAATAAAGTATATATGGAAATCAACAGGCTACTATAAACCAGAGACATTCTGAAGTACGGTAGAGGGAAGTAGGATCAAAACAGGGGTGGGAAGATCACTAGGGAGTATGGTTATGACACAGTGGTGAATTGGTGGTGGGGATTTCAGGGGGTAACTATAACCCAACTGAGAAAGCTGGGTTATAATCTGAAATTAGCTTCTTTTCATCATTACATTGCTCAGAATAAATAGCTTGCATGACAGAGGGAAAAAAATTCTCCTTAGACCAACTATTCTCCTCTCCCAGTTTCTTTGTGAAAAGGTATTGAATGAATATAAGATAGTGATTTCTAGGGAATTAACATATAATGCAAGTTAACCACTTTTACCATTTCCTTTCCTTTTAGCTTCTCAGAATATCAGTATGCTCTTTTTTTTTTAATGATTTATTTATTTATTTGTGCATACAGAACTGGGGTACAGGCCAGAGGTGCAGGGGTGGAGAGAGGCTTCACCAGAGACAGAGTGGGTTGCAAAACAGGCCGACTGATGAAGTACACTGCTGAGAGGAGCAGTGGGTGGATCAGGAGAGGTCTGCGGCACCATGTGGGCGACCTCCGGGCAGGCAGGGATCAAACTCATGCTGAAGTGGCTTTAGCTTCTCAGTACTATGCTTTAACCCGCTATGCCACCAGGGAGGGTCCTTAGTATGCTCTTTAACAGGAACCTATGGTTTCTCTCCAGTGTCAAATTTTACCTTTAAAAATACTAGCTTAGCCTCAGGTGCTACAATCTTAATGAAAATTACCCTTGCAATCTCCCTTTAGGTTAAAATAGAATTTTAAAATGTATATTTAAAGTTAAGTTCTTTTTCTAGTTATTCTGAAAAGAAAAAAAAATTACCACTTGCAATATTTCATGAATCTGTAATATGCCCGTATGCAGACATGAACATGTTGAGCATTCTCCCTTTCACATGCACCAGTAGAGAGCTCTCACTAGGAGAGGTCCTGTGGATCAAGCTCTGTTGTACAGAGCTCTGATGTGCAAATGATGAGTTCTAATTTAAGCTCTCAGAAAGGGTGAAAGACAGGAATCAGGAAACAGGACCTTGATTAGCAAATTAGCAATAAGTGTGTGCCTTGAAATAAATAGGATATGAAGAAATTATAGTTTGGTCTGACTTCTAGTTTTGCACCTGCATTTTAAAACATCCAGTTATGGCTAGAGTGTAATTTGCAAAAAAAAAAAAAAAAAAAAAAAAATTGAGATAAGATTGAATTTAAAATACATTTTTAAATGAGTTGAACAAATAAATCTTTCTGAGTTTTTGTAAAATATTGATACATTCTTAAATATAACTGTGTATGTTATCTAATTAGACATGACAGGAAAACCTTGGCAGAGTAACATAATAGTTCATTCTTTCAGTGACTGCAACAGCAATCGGAATTCCATCGCCTCCTTCACCAGCATCTGCAGCAGCCAGTGCAGCTCATATTTTCACAGTGATGAAATGGACTCAGGTGTGTTTGGTGAAAGCCAGTGTGCCTTTTGATGCTAGTTCGCTTAGAGACACTTTTGAAGAACACAGTTGCTTTTACTTTCCATATATGTGCTTTTACCTTGCAATAGTCTTTCTTGCTAGCTGCATTTTGCTTTATGTGCTCTGTAAAATCAGTTTTCCATTCTCACTGTCACCAGTGTAAATTGAAAGGAGATGAAAGAAAAGAAACTGATTTTTTTTTTATCTTGATACATGCTTTATGATCTTCCTGTGGGGCTCTGAAGTGTAATAGGTACATAGGAAATAGGTCTGACTAAAACATTAGACATTGTAGATTGGGGTCAGATGGTGGGAAGGACTTTGAAACTAAGAACTTTTAGGTTAGCTGATGAACCTGCAGTAGTCTTCTGTGTGGGTGATGGGGATAGTGATAGTGAGTCAAGGCAGATAGAAATATCTTAAGCCTATCTTATTTGGGGTGTATTAGAACAGGTTTTTCATCCAGTAGGACAAATCTTAATTTGTAAATATGTGCATAGTTTCAGCTATTCAACTATTAGGAAAATGACCTTTTGAAAGAATCCTTAACAGATGACCTTGCAGTGTTCTCTGAAGTTTCTGCTGTCATCTGCTTCTGAGGAGCAATAAACTGATAGCATAACAACTATTAAATATTTGAGAATTTGTGTCTATGCAGGAAAGCTATTTTGTGGAATAAGAGCACATGTTAAATTATTGTTTTATCTGTATTAAGCTACTTTGGAATACTAAACATAAGATGAAGAGTGTTTTTTCTTAATATTTAGGTGATGAGCTTCCGCTAAGTGTTCGCATTTCTCATGATAAACAAGACAAAATACACAGTTGCCTGGAGCATCTTTTCAGCCAGGTATGTTTGGAGAGTTATGAGTATTTTTCGCAGATGCTACAATCAGGAATCCCTTTTTCCAAAATAGTATTATAACTTGAGATTAGGTCTTTCCCTTAGGTCTTTCCCTCAACCTCTTACTTCTATTTCCACAATTTTATATGGTTTTTGATCCCATTCCCCACTCCACCCCCACAAAATGTCTCTGGTATATAGCTGTTCGTCATTATCCTTATTTTCTCGCCTGTTCCATTATATTCCTGCTATGAGAGAAAACATCAGTATTTTTCCTTTTCTTTCTGGCTTGGAAATAAGGATTTGTTCAACCAACTATTCCAAAGGGTTGTTGTGAATATCAAAGTATTTTATAGTATTTGAAAAATTATGAAAAGTTACGTAATAGGATTACAGTTTGTAATAATTTGTTCTTCATGGATTTTTACGACATGTTCTGCTTGATTTTATTCCTAGTTTTAGAAAGTATAAGTCTTGGAGCATATTTTGGTATTTGTTATTTTTAAAAAATATTATATCCTTAATGACCATGCACAGTGTAGAAGATGTTAACCCTTGGAAAAGGACTCTGATAACTGTCCAGTTTCCTATTAAATAACTCTAGAACGTTTATTTCTTTTTTGAATAAAAGAAAAAGATTATCATTTGATAGATTTAAAAATAGACTTCATAAGCGTCATGGAATTTCAAAAACATTGCTTAAGAAAAAATATTTTACAATGTTTAGTCTTCAAAATATATATTAAGTATTGTGAGATGTATTCTCTGCTGTTATGCTAGGTGGATTCCATTACCAATCTCCTAAAAGGGCAAGCTGTTGTAAGGGCCTTTGAGCAAACCAAGTATCTTACACCAGGTCGAGGATTACAAGGTAAGATTTAAAAAATAGCAGTTTGAAGCAACTGGGAAACCAAGGAGGAAGATTTGTCATGAAGTAAATGTATAGTATAAGGAGAAAAGTGCTGATTGCTTATGTTCTGTAATTCATAATACCACTCTTTTGATAACTTTGATTATATAAAAAAATCAGCATTACAGATTTCAGATTTCTTTGAACATTTTCACTGTCTAATGCACAGACCAGATAGAAATGAGTTCGTTGAAGAGAGGTAAGTGTTAAGTTGCTTTTATTGGCACCAAGCATATTTTTTGTAGTAGTGGAGTGAGGAGTTGGCAGAACAGGGTACAACAAGCAGGACAGTATCTAGAACTATCACTTTTTGACAGATAGTCTAGGATATTGAAGGGTTTATTTCATCCAAACTTGATCCTCTATTTAGACATTTACAAGAAAATATAGCTAAGATGTGATTTATTATACTCAACAAAGTTTATCTTATGATACTGAAGAAATTACCATCATGATAATAAACTCAGACATTATCTGTGAAAGAAAGAGGATTCAGAGCTCAAGCTTGCTGATTGTTTGGTAAATGGTTAGGACTAAAGAGATTTTGTGTATTTATTTAGAATTTCAGCAGGAAATGGAGCCAAAGCTGAGCTGCCCAAAAAGGTTAAGGCTTCACATCAAGCAGGATCCTTGGAATCTTCCCAGCAGTGTTCGGAGTCTTGCTCAGAACATCAGGAAATTTGTTGAAGGTCAGAATGAAAAATGAATATCATATAACAGAAATCATTTAAGACCATTAAAACCTCAACTTCAGCAATACTTTGAATAGTTTGTGAAGTGTTTCTTATTATGAGGATACAAAATGATTAACAGGGGCGAGGGAAGAGAATGGGAAGTAGGGCAAGATTGCAGAACTTCATGTTCCATGGATCTCAGTAATGTCAACAGTGTCATGGAAAACAGTCTTCAGCAAATAAAATGAAAGTTCATACTTCAGAAATGAGTTGAACATGAAAAGACTTTAACATTTTATAATAGAAAATAATATTAGAAGGATTTGTAAAGATTTTCAAAAACCATGGAGCAAGAATTTACAAAAGCCTAAATCTCAAGTATATGAATGTATGAGAATAAACATAATTTCATAGGTTGCATCATTAGTTTTTAAGTTTTATTTTCAGAAGTTTTGTCTAAGTTGATTCTGAGTAACTTCCATGACATTATTTACTTGACATCCTATAATTGATAGAAATTTCAACTGGAGATACTGGAGTAATCTGTGATATAAGAAATAGAATTATATATAATATATATGTATATATCTTTATAGATGAATATTTTTTAAGAATTTAAATAACTCAGGGGGAAAACACTGCTGGACGGTATATTGATGAAAACAATAATACATAACAGCAATAGGAGCGCAAGCAAGCTACAATGAGATTTGAATAATGTTTTATGGGAAAGTGATATAGGTAGGTAGGCAAGCCTAATATTTTTAATGAATGGGATTTTTGTTCTCCAGGATAATAAGCTTCAGTTAATTTTCACTGCAAATGTGATGTTAAGTAACAGAAATTAAGACTGAATAGCTATAATGTTTTCTTTCTCTGCAGAGGTAAAATGTAGGATACTCCTGGCTCTTCTTGAATATTCAGGTAATATTTTGCATTACTTTTATTATTTGAAACCATATGATTCCTGACCTTAGAACTCTCGTGACTTGAAGGCAATACCTTCAAGCTGTTAAAAATATATGTAAATATTATACCCATATTCCAAAAAAAGCCAAAAGATTTCTTTAGAAAAATTCATACAAAGCTTAAAAGATAAACAACTTCATAGCTTTTATAAATATACAGTAAGAGCTCAAACCACGAAAACATAAAAATATGTATTTAAACAGAATATAATTAAAAAGGAAAAAAGGCAAAGTTTGGTAAAATTATTTGTGCAAATAGGAGTTATGAATCTGTGTCTAACTTTTATTTATGAATGAGGGTGTAGGTGCCCTTGTATTCAAGAGGTGGAGAAATAGATTTTGCTTTTTATAGATGAAGTGACAATGTTAAAATCATACTGGAAGGGCCTGGGTATAGGGAGGAACAGAATTTGTGACCACTTTAACCACCCTCCGAACTTGGAAAATTTCAACTGTAAATAAATTAATATGCCAAGTTAAACAAGAGGGATTTTGTTGTTTGTTCGTTGGTTATTGCCTTAAATGTAAACAAACTTTTGCCTTCCTTTTCAACTAATAAAAATAATAACAAAATTAACCTTGATTTTTTTTTAACTTAATAGAGTAGTAGGGCCTTATTTTATGATTTCATTGAGTTCCTACAGCCACACTTTTAAAGTATAGAAATCAATATTTGACATTCAATACCTAGTAAATCATATTCACTCACTACATATTTATGCATATCTAGAAGATCAGGAATATAGTTAGGTGGCTTACTGAGAAAATATATAAATAGTAGGTAGAAGTTTTGGAATTCAAACTTAGTTTTGCCAATCTGGAATTTATTACTTTAATAATACTCAAATAGCTGTTTTTATAGGTTCTTATTTAGATTTCATGTTTACTTTTCTGTTTCTGTCACAATTCTTTTTTTCTACTACGTTTGCTCACTTTTTTCTCTCTTCTATATAGAATGTCACCTAAAAAGTGGTAGCCAATTACTCTATATTTGGCTACTGCGAAAATTTCTTCTGTTGAAAAGGGTGGGCTGTGTCTGCTACATGTTATTCTTAACTCTCTTCTCTCTCTTTGTTTCTTTTGCTTTCTGTTCCCTACAATCTCAGAATAATGACTTTGGTTACTTGCATTTCTTTTTAGACTAGCTAGCTAGTTATGACATTTGAGCTTTTTAAACGGTTTAAATTAAAGTAAATGTTAAGATTTTGAAACCTGTAAGTAGAAGATGAGTTTAAATACAGAAAAGAAAGGGTAGGTAAAACAACAACAAAGCAACAAAGTAAACATTTGTATTCCTTCTACCAAAGAATCCTTACTCTTCAAAAATAACAAGCTGTCCAAAATAAATAAATAAATAAATGAATAAATAAATAACAGAACTGCCTGTTCTTCTTTTCCTGAAATCTGGAAGCAGCAGTTGTGATTCTTAGTGATAAAAAAAAAAAAAAAAGAGGAAAGGGAATTGTTTTGCTTAAGGATGAGCACTTATGAATTTTAAACAGCTGTGTGTTTTGCTGTAAATTAACATATGCTGGTTTATCATGGTGTTTCTTCTCCATTAAATAAACTAAGCACTCACTCAGTGCTAGATCCTATGTCTACTTGCTATAATAAAGAAGAATCTCAGTAATAATGTCTACTTTCACTTTGCTAACTTTGTTTAGTCTTTTATCTCATTTATCATTATTACAAATCTATAAAGTAGGGCTACCTATGTTTTGGGGTATGGAGATCTGATGCCTAGGATCATATGGTTTAAAATTGGTGAGTCTGTGTGGTAACATACACCCAAAGAGTGTGATCATCCTATATTCTAAATCCTATGTAGTGTTGGAAATCACTATTCACTCAATAAAAATGTAATGAAGTGAACTGAATAAATAAAATTGGAGGAATGCTTTGAAGAGATTAAATGTCTCTAAAGTCCTTAAAATAATTCATGTTGTATGTTGCTCCCTATGGCCTTTATGAGCAATGGTCCCTTGAGGAACATAAACGTCATTAGCCTTTAGTAGAAGGACACCCTCGGCATGTGGTAAGGACATGCATAGTACTTCCTGAAGGAGAGGAGAAATTTCATAGAGATCATATTTCAGTAATTTGTTGACCTTCAGCAGTTTAATGAAGACTAGTTCAACCAATGGATGGTTTGATTTTTTGTTTGCTTGTTTTCGTGAGAAGGACTCACTGCCAGAGGTGTGGATTTTTAAGTGCACTTACAGGGCATTTTATGTCTATACACTTAGCAAGTTCCATATGCTCAAAGAGGAGAGAATTGTATAATCAATTTCAGATACATTGTTTTATATTCTCAGCAGAATCCTGCTAGTTTGTTGTAGACTTGTGTGATGCGCAGTGGGAAATTACATCTTTAAGAAGCTTAATTTAGGGATAAGTTGTTAAGACCACTCTCTGTCACTCTGAGTAGTCTACTTTTGTGACTTGCAAAGCCTTAAAATATGATGGTGCTTTTTGCAGTCCACACAAAGAAGTTATTTACTCTGTTTTTTAAAAAAAGTTGTTAACTGAAAATCACGATATGGTACAATAGTGATTTAAGTGCTTGGCATTTGAAAATATGTTGATTTAAATTTAATTTGTTGTGTGGTCCTAGAACATCTTGTGTATCTAAGTCTTTCACTCCTGTAAGCAAGCCTTACAGTAAAGGCTTAAAGTGGACTTCACACCCTCAAATTTACATGATTTTTAATTCTTGCAGGATATTCAGTGTTAAAATTTGAATTAATGAATGAATATCACTTTTGTGTGGTCAGTTCTGACTTGATAAGAAACTTGAACAAAATGTTTAGTTTGACTTAAAATGCATATAGAATAGCAGAATAGAATGAATATTCTTAATATAATTTTTTTAAAGATTTATTTTATTCATACAGAACTGGGGTACAGGCCAGAGATGCAGAGGGTGAGAGAATTCACCAGGGAAAGAGTGGGGAGCAGAACAGGCAGATCAAGAAGTACACTGCTGAGGGGAGCAGCGGGCGGGTCAGGAGAGGTCTGCCACACCATGTGGGTCACCTCCGGGGCATGTGGGGATCGAACTCATGAGGAAGTGGCTTGAGCTTCATAGTGCAGTGCTTTAACCCGCTGCGCCACCAGGGAGGGCCTCTTAATATAATTTTTAAGGTCAGAGGCAGCTTGGCATATTCAATAACCTTTGTGATATCTTCTAATACCTACAGTGGAATCAGATCCTTTCTTCTCTAGACCTTGGTTTTTCCATTCTCAATGCAAGCAATTTCTTTTCAGTTAGAGTTTTATTAAATTATTCTCAGGTCACAGATGAGAATATTCCTGCCAAATATTCTCCTACAGAGTATGTTTAAAAAAACATCCCCAGATTTTCTGCCTTTCTCTATAACAAAAGAAACAAAGGAAGAATGTACAAAGAGCAATAATGCAGTTTATTATTATAAATAATATAATAATATATTTACTTTATTATTATATATACTTTACTATATGTCTCTACTCTAACTGCATGTTCAGTTGACCAGTTACCCATTTGAATTACCTATGTAAGTTCAACTAAATCCAGTCATTTCAAGAAGCCAGAGAATGAAGTTGTGTATTTTTATTCTGCTTAATTAATTTCCTTGTTAGCTGCTCCTTTGGTAGGTTATCTTCATTTATTAAGTAAATATTAGCAGAATTCAGCTGTACATTTTTCACCTGGTGTGAATTTAATGAAAGAATGAAATAATCCCAAAGGTAAATGCTTAATGAATTGTTTCAGGTTGCCTGTGACATTCTTCAAACCTATCTTTTTGTTCTTCTGGATCACAGACAGTGAGACACAGCTCCGAAGAGACATGGTGTTTTGCCAAAGTCTTGTGGCCACTGTGTGTGCCTTCTCTGAGCAGCTCATGGCAGCCTTAAACCAGATGTTTGACAACAGCAAGGAGAATGAGATGGAAACTTGGGAAGCCAGCAGAAGGTGGCTGGACCAGATAGCGAACGCAGGTGTTCTTTTTCACTTTCAGTCACTTCTGTCACCAAATTTGGTAAGGAATCACAGTGACATCCTCTGTCTCATTAACTGTGACATTCATTGTTCTCAAATAAGAAGTGAGTTATTCATTTTGTATCAGCAGTCATTTAGCTACTTTATGAAAATATATTTTTTCCAGTGGAAATATTTTTAGTAAGTATGTAGAAGGTATCCCTTCTTTCTGATTTTTATTTCTTTTCAGTGGCTGCTAAAATATGAGAAAGCCTCCAGCTGGTACTAATTCTGGTACCCTAAGCACTGATGGGTAAAGGTCATCAGAGCAAAAAGTGTCTTTCTGCTGCTGTCCTTTATATCCGGGCTAGGTGACAACTTGCCACGGAAGCAAAGCTCCCACTGAGGCTGATTCTCTGGAGTGTGCTTGCTAGACGGGCTCTGAAAACTTGCATACTATACTGACAGTCCATTAAAATATGACTGTGTTAAGTGATTTTAGTTCTTTCCTGTGTATGTTTGTCCTTTAATACCTAAGAACACTGGCTTAATTACTGCAGAATATACCATACTTATGCATCAGTTTTCCATATTGGATATGGAAAAAAACCTTGAAATATTTGATAAATAAAACTCACTCCACCGGAGAGGATCAGTTTCTTGTGGTATATAAACAACCTATAAGAATGAGCTAAGTAATTTAAAGAATGTTAAATAAAGTGTTTTTGGCAAAGTGTTTAAGAACAAAATAAATATCAATTTTTGCCTATCAAGTATGCGTTATGTAGGATAGAAAAGTCACTTACTTTCTAACACAATGTAGGCAGTATGTATTTGTTGAATGATGAAAAAGGCTCGTTTCTGTTCTTTAAAACTGCCGTTGTCTAATCAAGTAATGGTACTTTTACTTTAAATTTAATTTTATTTGAAATCACAAGGAATGGGAGAAAATATTTCTAAATCTCATATCTGATAAGTGACTTATATCTAGAGAAAGAACCCTGAAAATTGAATAATGAAAAGATAAATCAAAAAGCAGGCAAAGGATTTGAGTTGCTATTGCTCTAAAGAAGATAGAAAATACACAAGAAACTTGTGGAAAGTTGATCAACATCATTAACCATTAGGAAAATTCAAGGCAAAAATCACAGTGAGAAACTATCATATGGGGTGTGAATGTCTCTAATCCAAAAGACAGATATAACTATTGGTAAGAATTGTTACACTTAGACATTGCTGTTAGGAATGGTGATAAAGTATTCAAAAATATTGGCATTTTGGGAAATAGGCAGTTTCTTAAAATGTTATACACAGAATTTTCATATTACCTAGAAATTCACTCCAAAGCACCCAATCAAAGTAAGACATGTATACATACAAAAAAAAAAAAAAAAAAAACTATGCAGGTGGTCCTAGTACGATTATTCATAATTGCAAAAATATTTTAACAACCCATATGCCCATAAACTGATGAACTTGTTTATCCAAACAAATGTGTTTTGTCTTTACAAAGAATATTATTTGACAATAAAAAGGAATGAAATTCTGATACATGCTACAATGTAGATGAACCTTGAAAACAGTTTCTAAGTCTAAGTGAAATAACCCAGTTACAAATGACCACACATTGTTTGATTCCACTGTTATGTAATGGACTCAATAGGCAAGTTTTGAGAGTAAAAGTAGGTTAATGGTTGTCTAGGACTAAGGATTGGGTGAAGAGACCTGGTAAGAATGCTAATGGGTACTAAGCTTCTTTGGGAGATGAAATATTCTAAAATGAGATGGTGGAGAGAGTTACAATACTCTGTGAAGGGATTAAAAACCCCCTGAGTTGTGGTCTTTAACTGGGTGATTTTTATAGTGTATGAGTATATCTCAAGAAAGCTGTTTTTTCTATTGATTTTGTATGAGTGTTAAGGTTATTTTAAAAATTGATTAAGAGTGGCCCTCCCTGGTGGCGCAGCGGGTTAAAGCACAGCACTAAGAAGCTTAAGCCACTTCCGCATGAGTTCAATCCCAGTCTGCCCCCGGAGGTGACCACATGGTGCGGCAGACCTCTCCTGACCCGCCCGCTGCTCCCCTCAGCAGTGTATTTCATTGATCTGCCTGTTCTGCTCCCCACTCTGTCTCTGGTGAAGCCTCTCACCACCCCTGTGCCTCTGGCCTGTACCCCAGTTCTGTATGCACAAATAAATAAATCTTTAAAAAAAAATTGATTAAATAACCCAAAGTTTACTGAGAGAAAAATTCAAAGAAATACATAGGGTTTCCACCTCTGTAGCAAGAACATACAATCCTCCCCAGGATGGCAAGGACATTCTTTCTTTTTTATTAATATATTCATTATATCATCCTTCATTTTTGTACAATGTATGGTTTCCCCATGAAATTCCCACCACCAGTTCACCCTGTACCATCATCGTAGTCCCTTGTGTTCTTCCAACCCCTGTCCTGGACCTTCTCCCTCCTCATTCTTGAGAGGTGCAGACACTGTGGCTCTGTGTGTCTTGGGACTCCAGGCAGTCGGTGGTCACTGGTATTGCTTTAACTGCATCTGCCCAAGCAGTAGAAGTCATAGAGCAGCCTCCTTGGGCAATTCTTCCTGTATGTTTTCCTTTCATCTGAAAATGTTGATTCTTCAGTCCTATCCTAACTGTTCTAAGTTCATGATATTTTTCTGCTTCTTCAAAGCACTTAAAAAACAGAACTGCAGTAAATGTTTAGCCAGCATTTACTCTGTATTGTGCACTGTGTTAAGTACTAAACTAAGGCACAAAGGTGGCAGTGCTCTTATCATTTTGATTTTTATGCTGCCGTTCTTCAGGATCTTCAGATACTGCAGAGGTTCCTTTTCACACACGGGATTCCTTCCACCTGCGTCCCCTCTGTAATATTGTCAAAAAAAAAAAAAAAAAATAACATATGGCTCTAAACTTACTACAGCTTTTTGAGTTGTGTGCAAAGCATATTAAAATTACTATTCAAAAGGCACATTGCCATTCTAAGGGAGACAAATGTTCCTCTTAAATCATAATTTTAATCTTTTAAAGAGAAATTGTAATGTCACAAACTCTTCTTCCTGGAGGAAATTAGTGAAGGCTCTAGGTCATGCTCTAAACTGCTAACAGGAAGGCCAGAATCTAGTACTAGCTGGATAATAGTGCTGAGACATACCCTGAATTGTTACTATGGGTCTTAAAAGCTCTGAAATTATGTGCTGTAAAAATGAGGCAAATGATTTAAACAAATTGGATCACATATTCACAAGGTTCTGGATAAAAGCCCCATAAAGGCAAGTGAAGTGAAAATCATGATTCTTGTCCTCATGCTCTTGGGGGGGGAAACATTGTATACATTGAAAATTGCTTTTATCACAGTTATAGCAAATTGCAAATTGAACAATGTATAGATTATCTTATTCTAAGATAGGAAGACTAGTATGTACTGCAGCTTTTAAATAAAGCAATATTTTTGCTTTTCAGCTGTTAGGAGGTTATAGAAGCTTAGAAGAAAACACTATGCTTTTTGTGTACACATTTGTAAATGATAAATGAAATAAATATGATTAGAAAATAGACTGAAGAGTTGTGCAGAACCATAGAAAAAGGAATATATAAAAATGTGACTTTGGGGATTTGTTAATTTTTAAGCAATCAATCCATATTGATTATGGACAGTTAGGCTTATATGTAAATAAAATGTGAATGAGGCTATTTTTGGTCTGGACTCCATTATATTCTGCTGTGTTCTATTTTGGTTCTATGCTATCCTATACAATCATACCATATATTCTTTTTCTTTCTTTCTAGACAGATGAACAAGCCATGCTAGAAGACACATTGGTTGCCCTGTTTGACTTAGAAAAGGTTTCCTTTTATTTTAAACCATCAGAAGAAGAACCACTGGTTGCTAGTAAGTAGCTAAGTATTTTATAGAATGCCTTTATCATCAAACAAATAACTTTAATGTTAACTATTAGATATAGCTTAACTTGTTTTAAACATATTTATGGTAAATAACTTATATGACCACTTTATAAATGATAGAATGTGTACATGTTGTAAATCTAGAGAATTTTATTTTATTTTTAAAGATTTATTTATTTATGCATACAAAACTGGGGTACAGGTCAGAGGTGCAGAGGGCTGAGAGGATTCACCAGAGACAGAGTGGGGAGCAGAACAGGCACACTGATGGAGTATACTGCTGAGGGGCACAGTGGGTAGGACAGGAGAGGTCTGCCACTCCATCTGGGTCACCTCCCGGGCTGGGGATTGAACTCATGCTGAAATGGTTGCTGCTAGCTTCACAGGGCTGTGTTCTAACCCATTTTGCCACCAGGTCATGCTCTAAACTGCTAATGGGAAGGTCCTACAGACAATTTTAAACTTTTATTATCAAGTTTCATTTTTCAGTCTTATTAGTTTGGCCCTGAAACTTTTTTTGAGTATATAAATATTTTTATGCTGGTCAATTTATTGTTAACTCTGGTAAAATGTACATACCCCCAAATTAGTATTTAACTGATAGTATTCTATTGAGTGGAGTTAAGAACATTCATAATTTTGTGCAGCCATTTTTACCATCCATGTCCCAAACTTTTTTATTCTTCCAAATAGATACTTTATAATCAGCAAGCAATAACTCTCCATCCCCTCCTCTTCCCATCCCTAGTAACCTCTGTTCTATTTTCTGTATGTATGAATTTGGTTAAGTACCTCATATAAGTGGGGTCATAGATTATATTGTTTGTCCCTTTTGCATCTTTTTTATGTAAAAAAATTAATAAAAGCACAACTCTTATATTTTTGGCTGTGTATACAAGCTCTGTGCCCTCCAAAACTTTTACACACACATACATACACAAATATGTATGTGTGTGTGTATATAAAACAATTATATAGCAAAATAGACTTAATGAAATTTCATTCCTCATCTTCACCAAAGGATGTGTCAGTAGGCAATTAAAGAAAGGATTTGAAACCAGGAGAAATGAAGATATAAAGAGAATATTGACTTTGAAGTCAAGGAACCTAAGTCCAAATTCTGGCTTCATTCTCATTGGTAAACATGAGAATATTAGCTTTATCTGACTCAGTGGGTTTCAGAAGCTTAAACAAGAACAAATAGAGTTGACCCTTGAATAGCACTAGGGATATTTGTGCTAATTCTTCCTAGAAAAAAAATCTACATATAACTTTTGAATCACCAAAATCTTAACCAATAGCCATTTATTATCTGGAACTCTTACTAATAACACAAAAAAATGATTTAAAACATATTTTGTATATTACATTTATTTTTTAAAATTTTGTTAATGTAGCATTGTATATACACATGTACAGTATATAGGGGTATTTATAAGATACACTCCTTCAGATGTATGTTACCACAATATACCCACCACCAAGGCAAATAGCCTTCTACCATTATGCTCCCTCCATCCTTTGTTCTCTACCATCTACCTCCCGCTCTGGTATTCTCCATTTTATATTAGATTTATAGGATTTGTTCTTTGTTTAGTTCTGTTGACCCTTTATTTTTTTTCTCTGTATTCAAATGAGTAAAGCCATCAATATTTGTCTTCCTTCTCCTGGCTTACTTTGCTTAGTATAAATCACCTCCATATCCATCCATAACATGTCACAAATGACCATTGTAATTATTGTTATAGTGAACATAGTGCATGTATGTATTCCTTAAAGTTAGTGCTTCTGCATTTTCAGTGGATACTAGGAGTTGAATTACTGGATCATATGTTAGATCTATTTTTAATGTTTTGAGAAACCTGTAGATGGTGGACCAGTCTATATTACCACCAAAAGAGAATAAGGATTCCTTCTTCTTCCCTTCCTCATCAGTACTGTTTCAACCTGTTGGGAGCACGTATATCCCACATAGGCCCACTCTCAGTCAAGATAATGTTCCTCTGTAAAATTCAGTTCTTCCATACGCAGGTCAGCCCGATAAGTGGCAGAACCTTGGTTTATATAGCAGCTCCCTGCCCTGGACCACTGCCTCCTGGAATTTCTTCTTCATCTCTTGTTTACTGACACATTGTTGGCTTTTCTGGTGTTATTTGTGCTGGTCACTGCTGTTCATTAAGTATCCCAATTTGGCCCCAAGCCACAGACCTTCTGGGTATAGTATCCATCTGGATGAACTTTACTCCTGGGAATGAAGCAAGGAACTTAGCATCTAATTCCAGTCTGTTCAAAAGAAAATGTTATTATGAAAATCATGAAGGACAGGAAATATATTCATTGTACTATATCCTGTTTATCAGAACCTTAAGCTTATATCATCTGTTTAGAAGAATAATAAAAGAATATTATTTGACCCATACAGTTTGAATTCATGTAGTTCAATTGTATTTGAAAGTGCCTAGCATTTTATAAGCCTCATGGTGGTATTCAGTAAATATGTAAAACTGTGATCCTCACTTGATTACTTTGTATGCTTTTTAAAAAGCTTTATTTAGCATTACTCATAGTCTTGCTTTTGCATTAAATAATAATTAGATTATGAAAAAATACGGCATGTCAAGCAAGTAGGATTCAAATGTCTGGATAAGACAGTTCATTTTCCTTGAAGAAATAATTATGTTTATATAAAACTTGCTAAGTTGAGCTGAGTTCTGGGTTTTAATGGGGTCTGAATAAAACAAAGCTCTTGTTTGCCTGAAACTTAAAAATTAGTTAGAAATACAAAGGATAAGTGGGCAATTTGATCCACTTAACTTACCATGTCATATGATTAGTGAAGGAGGAATAAAGGAGCTAAATAATTAGGTTGTATATGATTAAATTTACTTTGTACAAAATCTTTATATTTTTTTAAGAATAATGTAATGGCAGTGGACCGTCCTTAATGATGATGCAAGTAATTTTATAGTAATTCACTAGGAATTGATACAGTAATCAATTCTCCATGCCTCAGATATTAGGCCTGGAACTGTGAATGGTGAGTCAGCAGAAATCTGTCTGTCTTCGGTGCTCGCATGATGTTCACTTGGGGGAGAAAAATATAAGGAATCGATTCCAAAGATGTCTTAGGAACATAAGTCCTCTGCCTAAAATAAGCAAATATATAAAGGATAAGGGTGATGTTGCTCTATGAGGCTTCCTTGCAGAATTAGATTTGAAACTGAAATCTGAACAAGACCAACTCTGCAGAGGATTAACAAAGAGCAATTTAACATTCAAAAGGAACTAAGAAATGCTTAGTTAAAGGCTTACTTTCAAATATACCAGCCCTTTCATTGAGAGACAAACAGATTTATGGGGATGGGATGAGCCTTGAAACTCCTTTCTAGGATGAATCTCTCAGGCTCATTTCCTCAGGCAGTAATTATTTTGAATCTTTTAATTACTGAATGGGCCTAATAATCAACTTTGTTTATGATAGTAGATATATTTTCATAAATAAAAGGCAAGCATTTTTTTACACATTAGTGTAGACTGTTATAGGCACACTAACTACTTTCAGACATTCCTCATTCTTTCATATAGAACTTTTAGTTTTAACTTCACTTTAAATTTACTATACTTGATAATTTTAGCTTCGTTGTCTGGTACAGCCTCTTTGTTCTTTACTAATCCTATAATATGGAATTTCAACTGCTGAATTATTATTTTTGTTTTGATAGCATTATCCACTTGATAGCATTATCCAGAGGTTGGTTACATCAGTGCCAATAATTTAATTAACAGCAATTAAAACATATCTGAAAGTGATGAAATAAATAAAAGATGTTATAGGAAAATATATTCTATAAACTAGAAAACAAATATTTATATTTAAAAAATATGTAGGTTACTTTATTGCTCTTGCATTTTTTTTTTTAATTAGAAGCCAGGAAAATAGGTTTTCCCACTTGTTAAAATTTAGTTAATTTCTAAAACTTTCAATGAGAAATACATTCACTATCTTTTCTAAACCAAAATTCTTCATTTCTCCCTAAAATATGAAAATGAAAATAAAGTAACTATTTTTATACTGCCTAGGAGAGATTTGTAGATGTTAATAAATTGCCTACTTTGTTGATACGCAGAATTAGATACATTTAAAGGACACTTGGAATCTCTGATCACCAATTCTTGAGGGTTACTTACATACACAGTTTATGTTAAAGAAGAAGGTTAGAAATAATAGTAAGTCAAGAACGTGTATTAAGTAGCTACTGTATTTTGACCATATTTTACACCAGTTAATGTAGCTATTTTAGCTTTTTAGGAAGATTTTGCTTTTTTAATGAAGTAGAAATTGTCTTGGACAAATATCATAAACTGAAGAGCATTTATGACAGCCCTGTGAAATACTACACCATTCTAGCTTTGTGAGTTGGTTGTTTACAGAACTTTTATATGAGTCATTAAATTTAGGATCTTGGGATATAGCTAAAAGAATTTGGATAGATAATTTCCAGTGTCTATAGAGTATCAACAGAGGTAATACATTTTTGGTCTGGTTCTCAGGGAATGGAGCTTGCAAAACCCAAGCTAATTTTGATAATGGTTGCTGTGTACTCAATTTCTTGTACACACTGCTCAAGAAGTGAACCCCAAGGACTCATTTTGACTAAAATATGAATGAGACAGCTGCCCTGGGAGATTCTAATTCCAAATCATGTATAGCTAAACTTCTCATTTAGTTAAGTGAGACATCTGGTATGTCAAAGTATAGCAAAGTTTCTGATTACAGGATTTTATATACAGTATAGTAATAAACTGTAGTGTTAGCTAATGAGATTATGATGCAACACTTTATGGAATAACATTGTAAATATGCCTAACCTGAACTTGAAATGCATGGATACTTTTAATATATTCATTTCTACTCATTTTCAATATTCTTTTTAAAGTTTAACAAATATACTACAGATCTATCCTGATTTTAGAAAGTAATATAACATTCAATGTCATTTTAGATGTTCCTCTTACATATCAAGCAGAAGGAAGTCGGCAAGCTCTGAAAGTTTATTTCTACATTGATAGCTATCATTTTGAACAGCTGCCTCAACGGTTGAAAAATGGAGGAGGGTTTAAAATTCATCCTGTTCTTTTTGCACAAGGTAAACTGCTTTGCTTTTTATGCTTCATGTGCTTAAATTATTATATAGCTTTCAATTTTTTTAAATAACGTAACCATCATGTTTTTTTTTTTTTTCATTAATCCAAAATTGCCCTCATAAGACCTAGGTAATATTTTTACTTCTGGAAATGTTATTTAATAAAAGAATAACATATAGTTCAAACGTTTTTAAAATAGGATGTGGCATCATTTATAATGGCTTGAATAAATTATCCATTAAAGTTGTATGATTAAATTTTTTTTTCAGAGGGAAAGTTTGACATACATAGCAGATTACAAAAAGAATTGATATTATATGTCACACATTATCATATATACTTATATTTTATAAACTATTTTCTATATCATTAGGTGATTAAATTGATGTTGATGTTTTTTCTTTTTCTGCATTATTTCTGTTTCAATTTTCTCAATTAAATGTATTCCTTGATAAATAAAAAATATTTTACAAATGAATATTGAGTGTCAACTACAGTAGAAAAATTAAAATTAGTCTGAGTAAGGCTTCTTGCAGTGAATGGTTTTCTGGGAGGTTCTGTGTCTTTTTCATTTGTAGGATCACAAATATTTCTCAAAAAAGATCAAAAGTTCAGATTATTTTGCATTGCCTTCTGGTGTATGATTTTCTTTAAAGAAATAACTCATGCTGTAGTCACAGATTATATCAGTTTTCTGAGAATACCATAGGACATTTCATTTTTCTCTTTTTGAGTTATCAAGAACTGCACTGGTCTCTGTGAAACTTTATATTCTAATAAAAATGGAAGAATAATACCAATCTGTAACTGAAAAGCAGATAGGTATAAGAAATGTAAATTGACTACCAAAGGAAAATCTGCTCTGTAACACATACATATTGTTTTACTTCTAAAAGATAGAACAATTGCCATAGTTTAAAAACTGTGGCTACCTCACACAATCACTTGGCAAGATTACATTTAAGCAGTGGAAACTTTGAGGAAAGAAAAGATCTTAGGAGATCTTAAAAGGTATTTTCATTTTCTATGGAGGACTATATTTTATCAGTATACAATATTCTTCAGTGAGAAGAAATTGAAAAGAGAAAGAAACTGAGCAAAAATAGATCTTTGGAGCTTTGTTAGGAAAATGATTTAACCTAAAACATGTTAAAACATTACAGAGGTAGCTAGTCTTAGAAGATGGGGAAAGATGCTGACCGGCATGTTAATTACAACAGGGTTTAACCAAGGGTTGCAACTGTTAAAGCTCTTTACTTCTTCATTTTTTCCTCTCTTTTTACAAATTTGGTCTTTGATATCATTATTGAGATGACAGATGGCAATAGGCATCTATTCTAAAAAAATATTACACATTTGGCACATCAGCCATAAATAGCTGAATATTCATACCCAGGAGCAAATGTGCATAGGAAAAAGAAGTTTATTTTGCAAGTAACGTCTATTTTATAGTTGTGTCTACAGCAAATTGTGCCCAATTTTCAAATAATTCCTAAATATATATTATTTCAGTGAGTACATCTCTTTTAAAAGGTAATTTAAAGTTATCTATAGAATATGTTACATTTTACTATTCTCCTAGCAATAAGATACAAAAAATTATTTGAATAAGCAACAGAGGAAATATTTTTGCCATTCAGGTCACAGATAAGTAAAGAAGACTGGAAAACAGTTTGTCTCATTGAAAATCTCTCCGTGATTCGGTTGTTTATTTCAAGGAGATACAAGTGTTCCTCTGCACTCATAGAATTCCCACAAGGAATCATTAGCTCCTTTTTTTCTTTAAGACTTATTTATTTATGCACACAGAACTGGGTGCAGGCCAGAGGTACGGTGGGTGGGTAGATTCGCCAGAGACAGAGTGAGAAGCAGAACAGGCAGATCGACTGAAACACACTGCTGAGGGGAGCAGTGTGGAGACAGGAGAGGTCTACTGCGACATGTGGGTCCCTCTCTCTGTGGGGGAGCGAACTTATGCTACTGTGACTGGTGATAACTTGATAGTGCTGAGACTTCATCCCTGTACCACCAAAGAGACCTTCATTATTAGCTCTTAATAATATTTGTCAGATTGAGGGAAGTACAAGAAATTCAGACCTGGAAGAAATTTTCTAAATGGGGAATTGAAAGTAATGGTAAATGAAAGAGATCCCAAATGGAGTCTATCCTGGGATGAAACTTTATTTGAAGAGTAGCTTTGTCTTGCATGTGTACATGAGTCTTTGTAAGCAAATAAAATATTTTTGAGTTTGAATAGTTTCTGGGGCTATTAAGTTAACCACCCTAAAGTCATCTATGGTACCATTTACTTAGAACAGGAAGCAAATGCACTGCTTCTTCCCATTTGTCTTGCCTTCGTAGACCCTAGGACAATCTAATTCTAACGGATGGGTCACCACACAGAGACTGGTGAGCTATTAAATCGGGAATTCCATGATTGGAGGGGAAGAAGATATATTTTAGGCAGCATTTATTGCTGACAGCCAGAGCTTCAGGAAAACAGAAATCTAGACAGACAAAAGTAAGACACATTTCCTAGGTAAGGAACTCTCAAACAACCTGACAGACAAGCCACCACAGAAGTATAACAACATGTTAAACAATGTAGAGCACACTAAAGCAGTCATCTAGCTAATATTTATTAGTTCTTATGACAAGTCACAAATTAATTCTGTTGGGATTAAGCAGTAATGCTAAATACTGGTGAAAATGGGAACAAAAGGAGTCCAGCAAATAATGGGCTTGTTCAGTTAATTCATTATAATGTTGATGAAGATAAATGTCGATTCCTAGCCTGGATCTCCTCTGTGTGGAGTCTGCCCATTTTCCCCAAGTCTTTGTTTTCTTATTGTTGTTGTTTTGTTTTTTGTTTTTCTTTGTTTGTTTTATTCAGGTACTTCAGTTTTCCCACACCCCAAAGATGTGCAAGTTAGGTAAATTGGCATGGTTACATTTCCCCTGTCAGAGTATGTTTCCCTGTGTGTGTTTGTGTGTATATGTGAGAGAGAGAGAAAGGAGTGTTAGAGGTAGATGTGCTCATGTGCACAAGCACACACTGTCCAGGGTGGATTCCTGACCTGTGCCCTGATCTGCTGGGATGGGCTCCTGCCACCGTGAAATTGAACTGGAATGAACAGGAGGAAGCTATATGAATGATGGAAAAATGATTGCCTACTAGTAGAAATATTTTAGGTCTTTATTTAGAACTGTGGAGATGTTTTTATGACTAGAAACCCTCTATATGAACTTAATTTTAGTATGTATCAGTTATCCTTTAGTAAAATTGGTTTTGTTATATGTAGTTTTACTAAGTCACAGTTTCTAAGAACCTACTGATAATAAGTGAGGACTTAACTGTATAGCTTTCAGGGCCACTTCCGTCTCCTCACTGGCTTGTTTGTCTGCTGTCTCTCAGTGGTTGTAATATGGGCGGTACATTAATCACCTTGGGAAAGTTTTAGAAAATATTCATGTTTGATCTCCCCCAGCTTAATACCAATATATTTTAGAAATTTTCCAGGTGATTCTAGAATCCACGGTAGAGGAAAAGCACTATAAAACTACTGTAATTATCTAATAAAACTTTACTCAATTTATACATTTATTTCACAACTCTAGATTTTGGGGTGCTGGCATGAAGGGACTGAGTCTTTGCACTTCTGCATTGCTAAGTCATTAGGATGCAGGCTGTCCCCAGAAGGTTTAACTTTGTGGCAAAGTTTTCTCCAATGTTAGCTGAAATGCCTTCAGGCTCATCTGGGGCTTCTAGTATCGCATTGACCAGACAGTAAGTCTGTCATTTCTAAATGTTGATTGGGCATTGACCAGTATGCATGTTGACACTTCAGGTCTTGTGTAAACACTGATTGTTGATTCTCCAGGACTCTGATGGGTCTCACTTCCAGGGTGGACAATTTAAAAGAAAAATATTATGTGTGTATGTGTGTATTCTTTCGAGAGACATTTAGCCTACTATATTCCCCAAGCTCACACACTCTGCATAGATTAAAATTAAAGTAACATTGCATTTATATTATGAACTTAACAATTTACATAAGTTCAGGTATGCATCATTAAAAATCAACATGAGTCTATACTACACTAAGTTCACCACTACATTCAACTATATTGAATATCTGTGATATTCTCCCCCTTTACCCAGTTTGCCACTAATTAACCTTATAGCTAAATGTATGCTTGTTTGTTTATTTAACTTGTTTCTTTCCTCTGTTTAACATATGAGTCAAATCATATGGTGCTTGTCTTTCTCCTTCTGATTTATCTCACTAAGCATGATACCCTGTAGATCCATCCATGTTGCTACAGATGACAGGATGTCATTTCTTTTAACAGCTGAGTAGAATTCCGTTGTGTATATAGACCATATCATCTTTATTCAATCATCTGTTGACAGATACTTTGTTTCTAGCTCTCAGCTATTGTAAATAGTGCTGCAATAAACATCCAAACACCTTCAGCTAGGCATTTATGTACCTTTCAGGTAAATAGCCAGAAGTGAGATAACGGATCATATGGAATTTCCATTTTTAATGTGTGAGGAATCACCAAACTGTTTTGCATAATGATTCTGCACCAATTTACAAAGGTTACTTTCTTTCCAAGACTAGTTCGTTCTTTCCTTTGAATAGTAGTCATTCTCATAGGTGTGAGGTGATAACTTTGCATGGGAATAAGAGATGATGAACATTTTACAAGTGCCTGTTTTATGTCCATCTGTATGTCTTCTTTGGAAAGGTGGCTCTTTAGGTCTTGTGCCCATTTTTAATCAAGTTGTTTGATTCTTTGTTGTTAAGTTTTGTGAGGTTTTGTGTATTTTTGGATACTAACCCCTTTGGACATATGTTATTTAAGTAGATTCTTTTAGATTTCTCTGAATGTGCAGAAGCTTTTTTGCTTGATATAGTACTATTTGTTTATTCTTGGTTTTGTTTCCTTTGCTGTTGCGGTCTGGTTCCTAATAACATGTTGAAGGCCTATGTTTTAGCAGAAAATGTTAATGGGACTAGTTACAGCCCTTGCTGGTTGTTGAGCTGCCACAGATTGTCCTTTTCCCTCCTCTGCTAGGCATTCATTGTACATTAACCTCACACTCAGCTTGAACCTCAGCTGGTCTTCATGGCTAGCCTGTGGAAGAGACCATCAGGTTGCAGGGGACTGGTCCTCTAGTCACTGTGTCTTTCTCGTGTTCAGTTATTGTTAGATTTTGACAAGGGAGTACCAAGAGGGGCTGGAGGACACTATGTGGGTGCCAAACATTTTCCTTCCAGCCCTTATTACGTAACAATGGCCCTGCTTTCTGACAATGATCAGAACCAATTAAACTTACCAAAATGATGTGTTGCTCTTCCTGGACTCTGATACTTGTCACAAGGAGCCAAAAGTGCTCAGGCAACAACTATAGCTTACAGTTCAATGGAACCATTGATGTGTCTCTTAGGAAAACGTGTCCCTTGGGAACTCAGAGCCTTTAAATACAAAGGATCAGAATTACACGGATAGAAGTCACCACTTATCAAAACAAACTCTTTTAAGGGTACCAGTCATTGGATTTGAGGATACCCAAATCCAGTATAATCTCATTTTAATTTGATTACATCTGTGAAGACTATCAAAATAGGATCACAGTGTATTATATGTACATCTTGATGGTCAAGAAATGTAATGAAAATGTCAATTTATTGTATTGTAGAAGCATCTGCTTAAAATTAAATAATAGATTAGTATTTTTATTGCTAGGGCAAACTGAATCAAGACTTTTATCAAAATTAGATCCCAGGAATTCTCCTGTTGTTCCTTTTTGGTGTTCTTACAGTATTTCTAGTCTTAAATCATAGATTGAACTGTCCATGCTAGGAAATTCTTCTTAGCTCCCAAACTTCCTGTTTGGCTATGCATACCTAGGTGGTTTCTGCAGAACACATGGCCTACTGCCTAGTACTTAAAGCACACTCAGTAAATGAATAGAATAGTCATATGAACACTATTAATATACTAATTCTTTCCCAAGATCCATAATTAGTAGATTCTTTATTTTCCACTTCAATGAATAAGAACCCAATGATTTTAAATATTAATTAAAAGTCCCAAGTTCACACAACTACTGAGTGGGAGGTTTGGTTAAGGCCTTTGGTTACTAGCTTTACAATTAGTAAGTATATTTCATGTTGAAGTGTGACTAAGACTGAATCTTGGAATATTTGGCTTTTAAAATAACATCCTGCTAATGGAAGTGAGCATGACATATATTTAAAGGTTATTTTATCAAGATGATTTCCTGCTATTTCTTGTGAGTATTCAAGATGCAAAACTTACTGAACCAATTGCAAATATTCTAATTAATGTGCAAGTCATGAGGATAAACAAATATGAAATAAGCCCACAAATTTGATTTTTTGGACTGTAGTAAGAGTTCTCCATAATTTTCCACAGATGCTTTCCTTAATTATAAACCAATAACATCATTTTTTAAAATTTCCAATTTAGCAGTACTCTAAAAGTTGTTTCTCAAGTGCTCTAGAAATCTAACTAGTTTAGAAAATATAGCATAGCTAAAATTAGCAGACTTCCTAGTTTTTGCCCAAAAATAAATGGTGATTTTTTTTTCAATGTGTGGGAAATAAACCTTATTCCATTTTAGAAACTATTATTTTTTAAAAGTTTATTTATTTATTCATACAGAACTGGGGTACAAGCCAGAGGTGCAGGGTGGTGAGATAATTCACCAGAGACAGAGTGGGGAGCCAAATGGACTTAAGTACACTACTGAGGGGAGCAGCAGGCAGGTCAAGAGAGGTCTGCTGCACCATATGGGTCACCTCTGAGGCCAGGAATCAAACTCATACTGAAGTGGCTGCCTCTAGCTTGCAATGCTGTGTGCTAACCAGTTGCACCACCAGGGTGAGCCCTGGAAGCTATTCTTTTTAACAGTTTTGAAAAAAGATTGAATTCTTCATCCATTTTGAACAGTTTGCTAAAACTAAAATTTACATTTCCATTGGATGCATTGATCCCTCCCTTTTGTTCCAGCTTCTCCTTAGGAAGCCTTATATTTTATGTATTTATTCCCCCTCTAAAATATTTTTTTTTAAAGCACCTCAAGGCCCTTCCTGGTGGTGGAACGGGTTAGGACACAGCATTGCAAGCTAGCTGCAGCCACTTCAGTGCGACTTGATCCCCGCCTGGAGGTGATCCATATGGCGCGGCAGACCTCTCTGCCCCACCTGTCCTGCTCCCCACTCTGTCTCTGGTGAAGCCTCTCACTGCTCCTGCACCTCTGGCCTGTACCCCAGTTCTATACGCAGAAATAAATCTGAAAAGAAAAAAACAGCCAATTTTAAAAAAAAGAAGAAGCTAAAGCCACTTCAGCATGAGTTCGATCCCTGGTGATCTACATGGCGTGGCAGACCTCTCCTGACCCGCCCGCTGCTCCCCTCAGCAATGTATGTGGTCAATCTGCCTGTTCTGTTCCCTGCTTTCTCTGGTGAATCCTCTCATTGCCTCTTCACCTCTGGCCTGCACCCCAGTTTTCTATGCATAAATGAATAAATCTTAAAAAAAAAAGACACCTCATAAAATCATATATGATCATGTTTATTTGCTTCTGATAAGGTTAACCATTGGAGTAGAGGTAGTATTCTAAATTTCTACTTTATACTTATTATTTATGTTGATCTTTTATGAATTAATCACAACCACAAGAGAACCGGAATATATAAGGAGATTAACGATTTCTTTTTTTTTAACTTTTATATATGTGAATATAAAATTCAAGTATGTGTAATCCATGTTTTGTGCATTTTATGCATATGTGTATACATTTGTGTTTGTCGATATAAATAATAGATGTGAAATTTGAGTTTACATTCTCCAAGAATGCATACAAATGTTTTATAAACAGAAGACAATTTATAATAGAAATTACCTTTCCCTACTTAAAGATAATCACTAAATGCTTGTTATTTATTTTAAGGGCTAAAGAATAGGGATGGGACTGGGCAAAGATAGTTTAATACTTTTGCTAATCACCAATAAGATTACATGAATTGTAACCAAATTGGGTTATAAAATTAGGTGAAAAGTACATTTATTTATTTATACAGCACTGGAGAGCATGGAAGGATATTATTATAAAGAAAATGTTTCTGTTGAAGAATTTCAAGCCCAAATAAATACAGCCTCGTTGGAAAAGGTCAAACAATACAACCAAAAGCTCAGGTATGTAATTGTTCATTCTTCACATATTTTCACAGGAGCACATGAATAGAATTTTTGACATGATTTATTATATAAGGTGACATTTATTTTGATACAAAATTCTCTTATGTTCAGTTTAATATTTCAAATGTTCTAATGGGTTAAAGTTTTCCCCGAATGACTAGTAAAAATGTTTAAAATCCTTATACTCATGTTTCCACTTCTGAAAAAGTTAAAGGGGGCCCTCCCTGGTGGCGAAGCGGGTTAAAGCACAGCACTGAGAATCTGAAGCCACTTCCGCATGAGTTCGATTCCCGCCTGCCGCCTAGTTTTCCTCATGGCGTCGCAGACCTCTCCTGACCCGCCCGCTGCTTCCCTCAGCAGTGTACTTCATCAATCTGCCTGTTCTGCTCCCCACTCTGTCTCTGGTGAAGCCTCTCACCGCCCCTGAGCCTCTGGCCTGTACCCCAGCTCTGTATGAATAAATAAATAAAATCTTAAAAAAAAAAAAAAAAGTTAAAGGGATTAAAGTTTTAGGAAACCATGTCCAGAAAAGAGTGTGTTGACATATTTTATAGTTGTGTCCCCTAAGAGGTTCAGTGAATCAAGAGAAAAATAGATTCTTTTATATACCATTCAATACTTAGCAGCTGTACACAGAACATTTTCAGCACAATATATATGACACAGTTTGGTACTAGAATAATATCTACTTTCAAATGCACATATTAATGTTACTGTTGTTGTTTTTTTTTTCCATCAAAAATAATGTTACGAGTATAATAAAAAGTTACAGGGAAAATTAGCCACAGCAAGTGAAATAGAAATGTGTTATAACTTAGAAGCTTGAATTTTCAGCAAATTATTCACACTTGTATCTCCTTTCTATAAATTACTCTTGACAAAACACAATTTAAAATTATGAATGAATTATGGGTTTTAATTTTAAAAGAAAAATCTTTTAGTTCTAGCTTAAGTCTTAATCAAAAGCATGTATTAGTTACAATGCTTAGATGAGTTATATGAATCATTAAATAAACTAGTGAGTTCCATATTATGACATTTATTTTTATACACAATACGGCTAAACAGTTGCAATATATTCATTCCTAAAATTCCCAGTGAAGGAAGTGTGGGTTTTTGTTATGACCAGTGGGTGGGCTTTCTTTCACAATGCCTACCTCTGTCTCACAGCAATCTACCACTTTTTCAATTTTTTGTTTTAATTTATTTATTTATGCTTACAGAACTGGGGTACAGGCCAGAGTTGCAGGGGCCGGGAGAGGCTTCACCAGAGACAGAGTGGGGAGCAGAACAGGCAGATTGACAAAGTACACTGCTGAGGGGAGCAGTGGGTGGGTCTGAAGAGGTCTGGCTCGCCATGTGGGTCAGATCCCTGGCCAGGGATCAAACTTGTGCTGCAGTGGCTTCAGAGAGCTTCATAATGCAGTGCTTTAACCCATTGTGCCACCAAGGGAGAGCCCAATTTTCTTTTCTTTCTTTTTTTTTTTTTTTTTTACTTCATTTCACATTTTATCATCTTCTGAAATGCTCAGCTTCAAAGTCCCCAATATCATTTGTGATTTCTCATTTTTCTCTCCCTCCTAAAAGGTATTGGAGATCCTGATCACTTTGACTAAAAAGTTTCTACAACTGCTCCACTTTTATTGCCCTATGTAAATCATTAGTTCTCAAAAGTATATTATATATTCACTGCCTATCACAGGGGGAAAAATATTGAATTTTTGTTTCAGGTGAATGCATTCATTTGCCATTCATTTATGTAATTGAGGGGTATGGCTTCACACCTCCATGAAGCATTCAAAAAAGACAAGGGGTATTTGTACACACATACTTTACTTCCACTGCCCTCAAGAACTTTAGTAAACGACCTGGAACAGTATTCATTAGCCAGACTCTAGTCCTGTGTCCCTTCTTAGGTGATGTTGGTACCATAGCAGACCAGTGGGCTTCACAAAAAGTCCAGCATAAGGATGACAAGCAAGGAGAAATAGTGTACTTCACTCCTTTATGAGATTTCTCCAGAATATCAAAGAATAGGTAGGCATAATTTCCTACTTAAGAGAAAAGATAATTATAGTTACAGTATCTCCCAATTTTTAAGAATATATAGAGTTAGTTACAATATTTAGATGAGTTATGTGGGTTATTAAATAAGCCTATGAGTTTCATATAATCATTTTCACTTTAGGGAGAACTTATACAATTTTACTGAGACAATAAGTGGTAAGACCAAGATTTAAATCATCAAATAAACTTCTTTCCTTTAAAAGTCCAGAGTTTTTGTATTATGTAAGGTCATGTTAGTAAATGGAGAAAATGTTATTCATTGCATATTATCTATAACTTAAGTGTTGACATCAGATACTATCAAGTGCCCCCAATGGCTTGACTTCTGTACCAGCAGTTATTCATTCTTTCAGTCTTTTCAGGGTTCATCCTACTAACATGAAATGTGTCAGTTCTCTCTATCTCAGCGGGGAAAGTAGTGTCACTGAGTACGTTCTCCTGGCATGAGATAGATTTGCAGGGTTGCATGGACTTCCTTTCATTTCTTGTCTTTACATATAGCAACTAAACAGAATGAGAACGCGAAACAACCTCCACACCCTTCTCTCTCCAGTCTTCGGCACCTGTCACCATTCCCATCTCTTTTTCCTCAGAGCCTTCAGTCCGTAAAACACTGTTTCCCATTTCTTCCTTGGATAGCAAACAGCTATCCAAAATTGAAGTAGAAAGTTCTGTTTTTGTTACTGAGAAGCTGTGAAAACTATCTTAAATCAGCAAGAGCATGAACTTAATAAAGTCAGTGGAGGAGGGAAAGAAACATTAGATTCTATATGTATAGTCTTTTTCCTTTAGTTATTGACTTTATAAGTCTGAAGCTTTTATAATTATAAAATGATGTGATTTCCTTTTAAATGAATTGGAAATATTACGGATTTATATTTATCTCTTCTGTAGCCTAATTATGTTTGCTTTCCACTCTGCTTTCAGCTGGATTCCATTGTTTGTTTATACCTTATGATGCATCCATATTTCTGTTTCTCTAAGATGATTCACAAAGTAAATAGGAATTCAATTTCTTTCTGTTTTCAGATTCAGAACACAGGATATTTCCATAGTTGTAAATTTTGTTTTATATGAGAAGTGGTTCTTCAGTAGCAGGAAAAAAATAAGTAAATATACCAAAAACATGAAAGTATAATTTTTTAAAGTTTTTTTTAGACTTTTATATACTACAAATAGAAAGTATATTTCTTATATTTATAAGAAATACAAATGCAGAATATAAGGTCCTTTTCTGTCCCCAAATCTCACATAATGTAAACCTAACAATCTCACATAATGTAAATCCTAACTGCAGGATACTTAGGTATATTACACTAAGCATACCTACCTACCAGCTACCTGGGCCAGGCTTTGTGACACTGGCCTTACAGTAGACATGATTGCTGCCTGGCAAAAAAAAAAAAAAAAATATATATATATATATATATATATATATATATACACACACACACATATATATATATATATAAGAAACATTAAACCAAAGTTTTACTAATAATTTATAGTAATATGTGAAAATGGGTAGGAGAAAATATAAGGTGTTCTTTGTGTGTATAAGAAAGAATTCAATCTCAATAGGGGATTGGATGAGGGGTAAAGGAATGTAGCCTTTACACAGATTATCTCAAAGAGGAGTTGGAGTTATGTTGTTTAGGGGAGTGAGAGAGTAAAGGAATTACAGGCATGGGGAAAGAAGGGTATTTTCTAGCTGGAGGAGCAGCACATGAGAAAACCCTAAAGAGTAGTCATGAAACAGATGTGCAGACAGAATCCATATGCCTTCCTTTGCTACTTCCCTATGGTTCTTCATCGCTTTAGTCAACCGACACCCAAGACCTACTTCAGGTCTATTTCCTCTAATTCCTTTTGCCGAACAAGTGTATATAGAATCCATTTCAAATTTATCTTCCTGCAGGAAGCCTGCAGTTATAAGTAAGGCTGGAGTTAATGGGAACTACTCTGTTCTTTAAATTTTAACAACCTCTTTGACTTCATTTGTTTTATTTTGATTTGTATGTTGCTTAGTACATTTAAGGGCAGCCAGGTCCTAGATCTCCACTGTGCTTGGTACATAGCAAGTGACTTAGAATGATTTCACTAAATTGAAAATCAGATGAATTTATTTATTTATATATATATATATATGTGTGTGTGTGTGTGTGTGTGTGTGTGTGTATGTATGTATATATATATTTTTTTAGTGATATCATGTTACTGAATTTATCCTACTATCCAGTGATATCATGTTACTGAATTTTTTTCTATCCAGAAAATTCTGGGCCAATTGATGCTGATTCTGTTGGAAATCTCTTGCACTAAAATTCATCATTGTACCCAAATTTCATAAATTTCACATGAGACCAGATCATATGAAACTGAAAATGGAATTATAATGACACTTTTGGGAGTCATGTATCTCTCCTTGATTTGGAAAATACTGTAATTATATTAAATGTTTCTACTATTGCTTTCTAAGAATGCACATACATTTTGTACATAATCATTTCATTTTTCGAACTACACTTATTCCTGTCTGAATGCAGATTAATTCATTTGTCCTAGAGAAGTTGCAATTTTATCTATTATTTATTTAATGCAATTTTTAAATAAGAGCAACAAATGAGATTAAATTACCTAAAAGTGAGTTCTCACATTTTTTGATAAATCCTTCATTGTGGTACTAGTTATTAAGGATGACTAGATTTTCTGTCTGAAAAGAAGAATCAGATAAAATCAGCTTTTAAAAGAAACTTTAAAGAGAATTCTCACCTCTATCACTACCCTAAGAAAAGCCATTGTTTTCACCAAAGCAAAAGAAAGATCAAAGTGTTTTGTGCTCAGAATTTACTTTGGAATAAATGAGAGCTGGCAGTGTCAAGGAGAAAATAAGCATACCCAAAAGAATCCGTTAGGGGCATATATACTAA